TGTGGAGCTTACATGTTCTCCCTGTGTATGTGTGGCCTCCCTCCCGGCCTCCTCCCACAGTCCTCTTCAGGTTATTTGGTGACCTTAAATTGCTCATAGATGTGCATAGTCGTGTGACTTGCACTGTGAAAGTTCCTGTCTCCTGACTGATGAGCGGTCCAGTGTGTACAGGGTGTACCCCGCCTCTCTCCAAATGTCATCTGGGTTCGTCTCACAGTGAGGAGGTTCCATGAGAAAAGCCGTAGAGATAATGGCTGGATATTGAACTCCTCGCTCTGCTCGTTCGTTCTCTGTTTGTTGATCTTCATAAAATTCAGTGACGTAAATCAACAGCAACGTTCAAACTGAGATGTGTAAAAAGTGCAAAGATTTGTGAAATGGAAGATGTTTTAACCAACATGGAAACTGTTGAGGTAGATGATGTGTTGATTTTCAGTTTAGAGTCGTCTGTAATGAGAAAGCTTAAAGAGCCATTTGAGAGACGACGATTCATTTTATCTTTTTTTAAATTTGGGATTAAAATGACAAAAGTAACAAAGTCATCCATCACAGAGGAGACAGGAGTATGATTGAATGTGGGTCCTGTCTTTCAAAGTTTTAATTCCTTCTGAGTAGAATATTGAAATTGCTGCATCCTGAATGGGACCTGAAAATCCCTTAGCTGAAAGACATATAGCAAAAGACATAAGGAAATAATCTTCACTAATTAACCTTTTAGCATCCGTGCTGCAGAGCGAGAACGCCGACCTAATGCAAAAACACTGCAAGTAACACGGACAAGAAAGAAGAGTTTTTGCATAGGGCAAATAAATGTTTTGATCCTACGGTGAGTACAGGCTGGAAGTAGAGCTGGTGTGACCTACATCCGGGAGGTGAATGCCGTGGCAACGTGCCCTGATTGATCAGGGTCTGCATCCAAAACCCGGAGAACTGAAGTTTATAAAATTATCCAAAAAGTCAAAAAAATGTACTTTTGGTAAGTTCTAGAGGAGGGCTGCAAGGTGGTGTGTGTGTGTCTGTAAGAGAGTGTGTGTGTGTGTGTGTGTGTGTGTGTGTGTGTGTGTGTGTGTCTGTAAGAGAGTGTGTGTGTGTGTCTGTAAGAGTGTGTGTGTGTGTGTGTGTGTGTGTGTGTGTGTGTCTGTAAGAGAGTGTGTGTGTGTGTCTGTAAGAGTGTGTGTGTGTGTCTGTAAGAGTGTGTGTGTGTGTGTGTGTGTCTGTAAGAGTGTGTGTGTGTGTCTGTAAGAGTGTGTGTGTGTGTGTGTGTCTGTAAGAGTGTGTGTGTGTGTGTGTGTGTGTGTGTGTGTAAGAGTGTGTGTGTGTGTGTGTGTGTGTGTGTGTGTCTGTAAGAGTGTTTGTGAGTCTGAGTGTGTGTGTGTGTGTGTGTGTGTGTGTGTGTGTGTGTGTGTGTGTGTGTGTGTGTGTGTGTGTGTGTGTGTCTGTAAGAGTGTTTGTGAGTCTGTGAGTGTGTGTGTGTGTGTGTGTAAGAGTGTGTGTTTGTGTCTGCAAGAGAGTGTGTGTGTGTGTGTGTGTGTGTGTGTGTGTGTGTGTGTTCAGGGAGATTCAGTGATGTTAATTGAATATTGATAAGTGAGGCGAGCACATGGGGTAAACAGCTGTGACTGGTACTTCATCATATGTGTGTGTGCATCACTCATTATCAGGCCCAGCTGGTCCTCTAAGACGAGTCATCAGACAGTGACCGCCAAACGCACACACACACACACTCCTACATGCTTACACTTACTACAGTAATTGACAAACAATTTTGACAGAGATCAAAGTCACTAAAAACTGTGCTCGCCGCAGAGAGCGATTCCCTGGAGACGTGTCTGTCTCACTGTCGCTACATTTATTCATCTCAACTTTTTATCTAAAACCAACACTTTCTTTGTATGTCCCTCAAAGGTTTCCCTACCTGGGCACGCCAACCAACATCCAAATCCTGTTTCCATGACAACGGAAGCCCATCACCTCGGACGTCAGACACGGAGCGTTTATGAAGATCGGCTTCAGAAACGACTGGTATGTGTTTGCATGACGATGTGTGACGAAGTGAACGGAGAGGAGTTACGGTTGCATCAACTGTCGCTTAGCAACCACAGTGGGAGCCATGGTTGCGGGTCCACCTGAGAAGCAGCTGTGCATGAATAATAATTATTACATATAACGATGGAAGAAAAAAAGTCGACATTGGGTCGGAGATTTAATGCAGCAATGCTCGACTCTGGAAACTTGTTCACTGATCTGCAACATGAGCTGCTTTCCTCGTCTCGACTGACGACACAGTCTACATAAAACCTGCAGAATCTGTAACCGAGGTCTGGATTTCTTATTTCTGTTTGCAGTTTTAACCAATCAGGTATCAGCAGGCTTTGGTGTATGCAGGTAAAAACAGTCCTTGAAGGGATCAGAAGACGGAGCGCAGTCTGCGAATAACGATATGACGGCTCCCGTCGGGCAGAAATCCGACATCTATTTATTTATTTATCTCTAGAAACAGATATCGGCTTTAAAGTGTTGCTTACAGCCCTTCATAGATTCAACATAATTTCTACTTGAGCAACAAATCTGCTTGACGCTGTCTTCTCTTGAGGACAGACCTGACAAAACTTGACTTTTCACTTTTTACAAATCATCATCATGATGTTGTTACTTCAGCGAACTTCCAGTAAGACTCGTTAATCACAACGACATCAGTTTCTTTATCAGGTTCAGAGAGAGTCGCTCCCATGATTCCCCGCCAGCCTCGGTGTCATCTTTTTGTTCTTGTTTTGATTGAGAGCCCCCTGGTGGTGGGATGTACATACTGCGCCTTGAAGTGAGCATCTGTTCATCTGTTTCTGATGAGTCACAGCTGAAAGGCACGGTATATAAACTCCGCCACCAGGGGGCTCTCAATCCAAACAATTTGAGACACAAAAGATGACGGTGAGGCTGACAGGGAATCATCGGAGTGCTCTCTGTTAACCCCCGCCCGTTGAAATGGAAACCCGACCCGAGAAGTGTTCCGCTGTAGGTTACGCAATAGGTGACGTAGCTTAAATGAATGCACCTGATTGGATGAACGCGCGGTTAGTCCAAGCGGTCCCTGGACTCATTTGCATAGAATACAATAGAATCTGGTCTGTAGTTGTCCAGCGAGCGCGGCGGAGCCCTTCTCAAAACAATCCCAAAATGCACGCCGTGACTGGCGTTGAGACGCTATCTGTCGTTGTAACCTACGCTGAGAAGTTGGCCATCTTTCCTAGAGGCAGATCATCATTGGACGACGTTTTCTAAGCCTGATCCAGATTCTCAATAACACGTTAGATCGTGGGATTTTTTTGTAACGTCATTTTTGATCTATTGATGAAAGATAAAATAGGTGTTTTTGGAAAATGCATCAAAAAAGAAAGATTACCTGAGAGAAATAGAGATAACTGCTGTGAGTGTATATGAGGTATTTTAGTCTGAAGAGAGGTTGATTTGTTTCTCAGCGTGGGTTACTCTGACACGGAGCTGTCAGGTTTTGTCGCCCCGGCTGGCTTCTCGTGATTTTTCCTAAAAGTCGCTTTCTTTGGACTAATCTGCACGTCTTGTAAGACGAGCAGCAGGAAAAGACACATGTACAGAGAGAATGGAGGGATGAAGGAAGAGGAAGACGTGGATGTGTTGAAGGAAAGATGTGGGCCGTGAAAGATGTTTTTTCTTCATGTTTGTCTGTCATGGCGAGGACGAGGACGGTCCTGTTCGCCCTCAGGCGCTCATTTATCCACACAGAGGATTTTACATTTTCGACAACATCCACATCTCGCTTTAATATGTGGAACACAAGCAGCACAAATCCAGAGTCGATTCTGTCATGCTTCCTACGTAGAGCCGCAATCCTGCCAGAGCCGGCTACAAACACACACACACACACAGTGAGTCATCTCAGTGTTTTAGATTTCACTTGTTTGTCAAAGTATTTTCTGTCTTTAGACCTGTGACTTTGGATGTTTGTTTGAGGTTAAATGGATATTAAAGGGGGAAAAAATTCACCTTTACACACAATCCTTTTTCACACCTGCATTCCTGAAAACGTCTAGAAAGTTACACGATAGACTCTTAAATCTTCCTGACTCGATGTCCTAGTCACTTGTCCTTCGTAGCTTGAAGATTTATGCCTTCATATTTGTATTATTATAAATGTCTTGCACATGAGAATTAAACAGAATGAATGAACAACAGTAGACAACAACACAAGCAGTGTTCAGTTGTTACTGGGCGTATTCAAGATAAACGAACGAGCGGCTAGAACAGAAAGTAGCGGATTGAATGGTCAACCTGTTAGCATTTTTAGCTCAGGCTAGTGAGCTTAAATTGTTCTCGTCGTAATAGTATTAAGCATCCCTTTGATTTGTGGAGCGTTCCATTTACCTCGGATCTCAGAGCTGGAAATAACGTCACACCCGAGATAACCGTGTTGCAGTTGAACAAGCAACATGGACGCCTCCAGGAGTACCTTTTATTTTGTTAGCTTATACCCGACAATAACAACATACTTCCGAAAAATAGCACGACGACATGTCCACAGGCTGAACTTGCACGATACTATCGGTGTGATTGATTGTTGGAATTTGACTTGATGATGACGTATCAGACTGGCAACTGAGAAAGTCCAAAATACGAGATGAAATTGAACGCACCATTACAGTACATGTGATGCAAGCCAGGAGAGAAAAATGATGACCAATTGCAGAGCTTGCTGTCTGCATAATTTCTTGGCGTATTTAGATTTTTGAGGAGGTGCACACCAGGCCAGGTACGAAGGCTTCTGCTTAGGGAAGGCTACAGCGTCAAAGTATAAATCAGGCTGAAAGAAGCAATTATTTAGTTGAACTTCAAGGGAGGTAATTTACCAACAGACTGACTTCACCTGAACACCAAGTGAAGTCAGCATGATGGACAAACTGCACCTACAAACCTTGGGAGGCAAAGTCAGAAATGTAGGCGATGGGAGGTAAACAGAGGATACACACCTTTTCTTTAAGATGCTTTTGTATCTCAGACAGAGTCATGGGAGAGTTTAGTTGTCCTCGCCTGAAACAAAGAGTTTAAAGCACATTCAGCTGCTGTTGTGCTTCTCTGTTCAGAGACGTCTGCTCTGTGTGATGCTGGAGGAGGGAAGTGAGCGCAATACCTCACACTGCTGCGGCTGCTCGAGGCTCTGCAGGCCGCCGGAGCTCGACTGAAACTTCTCAGAAACTGCAGGTAGTCGACGGTCTCAGCGCCGCCCGCACACACCTGCAGCAGACGCAAACACAAGAGACAAAGTTGTAAACAATAAAACCGCGACACGGCTGTGAGACTGATGATGATGAAATGTGAGAGGGTGACGGTAACGGAGCAGAAAGGGCTCTCTGTGACGGGAAAGGGAAAGATTACTCTTTTACAACATGGTTTATTAGTTTGATGTCTTTTGGAAAGGAGATCGGCTTAGCAAGCAAGATGGTGATATTTGATATAAGTTATTGCAAGGATGCTCGCTGCTATCGAATTGGTGCTCAAAACATTGCAACTTTTACAACATCCATCTATCCATTATCAGGGAGAGAACCCAGGCATGCACGGGAAGAACATGCAAACTCCACACAGAGAGGCTCCTGTCAGACGGGGATTCAAACCAGGAACCTCCTTGCTGTGAGGCGACAGCGCTAACCACTGCACCACAGTAAAACCTCACAACACCTTCTTCTTCTTAAAAGCTGTTGCAAAATCAGGCACTTTAGGCCGCAGCAATCACAAAAGAAGCTGGAAAAAGCGTGGAGAGACTGAAGTGCTTGCCACAGATATAGAACATTTAGCTTTAATTACTTTATGCTAACACCTCCCTTCTCTCAAGCGTCAGCCTCTCGTTAAAATATGGTCACCTGGCTACAGAAAAACCAACACAGGGACGGCAAAATGGCCAAACTTTAAGGCTCCGCAAAGGATGATGACAAACGTCAGTGAAAGTCACAGACAGACGAAGAGGAGGATGACCGAACAGAGCGAAGAAATATTAATTTTGCTTTAAATTTCATTTTCTGTTGGACTCCCCGAGTATTTTAAAGACCATTTGAATCTACTCCAGACTTTTTAAACATTGCAGCAGCAGCAGCGTCAGTGATAATGGAGGATGTAATGGCGTCTCAGTGGAGGCAGGTGGAGCAGCGTGCTGATGTTTCTGGCATCAGGTGTGTTGAGCAGTCATTTTTTAGGACGCGGCTGATCGGGGGAATAAGCTAGGTGCTTTGTTCACCTGGGGGGAATGCACACGCCTGCTTTTGTTCTGACCTTGTGCTGAAGTTTTCTCTCCCGCATGTTTAAACAAATACATTTAAGAGTTGGCACCTTCCCAAGCACACACAATCAGAGAACTAGTTTACAAAACACACACACACATGTATTCCACCTATTTTAGTGGCTCATAATCAAAGTAGAGTCCCCGCTGCCCTGCCCTACATCCGTCCATGGTGTAATCCAGTGCAGCGGTCCCCAGCGGAGCTCCCAGCATTCAGTCTTATTATAGACACCACTCGTCCAATTATCACTGCTATCAACAGCCGTGGAGCGAAACACACCGTAACACCTCAGGGGAGGAGGAGGAGGTGGGAGGGGGGCGGCGGGGCGGGGGTCTTAGTGCTCTACATACCTGTGACAGCTCCGTTACACCTGCAGTTCAGTGAGAGGCTGAAGGTGAAACAAAGGTCAGTGGATGATGTTTTGAGGCAAAAAGACACGTTGAGATTATCTGTAAATATGTTTTTGCTTCCTCTGGAGTAAATTTACAAAGCAGGAATCAGTAGTATTTATTTAAAAAAAGTTGAATCTGGATGAAAAAGTCATTTTAAGTGGAAACTAATCAACTTTGCAGAAGCCCTAAGCGGACATGCATCTTTCCATTTTATTTTTTGTTAATAATTATAATACATTAGACTTTTATAGAACTTTTCTAAGTACTCAAAGACCCTCAACAAAACAAAACAAAGAAGAAATAATCTAAGAGAAGGAGGATGACAAAAGAGTCTGTTAGCGGTTTTAGGCAACATTGAAGAGGTGAGTTTTTGGGGGTTTCTTGAAGGTGGAGAGAGAAGGGGGTCTCTGATGGTTTTTGGGAGTGAGTTCCAGAGGGTAGGAGCTGAAATAGAGGACGCCCTGTCCCCGCTAAGAACCGATGGTTAGTCCTGCAGGGGGTGGACACAGCACGAATTTACTCTGATTTTCTGTGATGAAAAGTACATTGCTTTCTTGAGCTTCTGACTTATTTTATCTCATTGTCTCGAGATAATAAGTCTCAGAGCTCCCTAAAACATGTGTGAAGTTTCTTGTTCTAAATCCACTCTGATCCTGTATTTGATCATGTCTATAAACCCCTCTATTTCAGCCCTGCTCAGAACAGGCTGTTTCTGTGTCTGTACCTTTCAATGTAAATGAGCTGTGTCTGACCACACCCCCTCTCTGGAAGGGCTTGGGTGTACTCGGGCTTTCTCACTACATGTCCTATTGTTTACAGTGAGAAGGCAGACTCAGAGGGCAGAACAAACACCTAGCTGTGGGAGTGTCACCCACCTGGGGGAGGGGCTACTGCCCTTTGTGATGTCATGATGGGAAAATCTCCAAACGGCCTGTTTGAGCACACATTTCCTGAAAAGTGGAGCAGGCAAAAGACAGAGAGGATGGACTTTTCTCATCATTGGAGGGTTTGTAAACAGACTAGGGACACATATTTGTGTTAAAAAATATTATTTTGCGTAATATGTGACCTTTAAGGTAAAATTAAATGATTCAAGGCGTTTTATAAAAAGCACATCAACCATCGTCGATATAGATTTAACACAAGCAGATCTCCATCTCTTCTTTTGAAAGAGTGTCACGTAAGAGAGCAGACAAATAAATAAATAACAGAAGAAGAAGAAAAGGAGGGGGGAGGTGGCACCTCGCTCCCTCAAGCACAAAGCAACTTCCACATCAAAATGTCAGCAGAACAACAGCTGCTCCTCCACTCATCCTCTTTTAAAGTAAACTTCCCACAACTCTCCAGAAGCACACTCACCCCCCACACACACACACACACACACACACACACACACACACACACACACACACACACACACACACACTCTCTTTAATGAATGAGACGGTGAGTGTGAGTGGGAGGGGATTGGGGGGAAGCGTGGGGTTGTGTTTTTGGGGAGGGGGTTGAAGACACAAAGTGCTGATATTATGGGTGGAAATCTGTGTGGGAAAGACAGGCAGTCAAACTGTCAGGCGTGAGCGCTGAGACGGAACAAAGAGGAACAGTGGAGACGATTACAGAGACGCAGCGGAGTGACAGAGGCAGCGTGCACACAGATGAAGATGAAGGGAGAGGGGGGAATTACTGCACCGTGCACAGACCCTGAACACACCGCACACATGTGCACGCTCGATTGATCAGTGCCAGAAAAGAGAAGCGTCCTACAAGGCCTCATGGACTCACAGTGATGACCTTCACACCCCTGCTGCAGATCGCAGACGAGTCTTTAAAATGTATTCCTTTTTAAAAAATTTAAGTGAGTTTCTGCAGGCTGCTGAGGAATGCATGAGATAAAAGATAGCAGAGAAGAAGTGTGTGAGCTGGATCAGAGGGAAAACCTGATGCCAGCCAACGCAACAGAGGTGCAAACAAATAACGTCTGCTTTAACAGCTGCCAGATTCATTCCTCCTCTGACCAGTCTGCACGGCTGCAGAGCTCCATTTGTCATTGTCAGCTGCACGGAGGAGACCAAAACAGATCCTCTACTGCCATCTTCTGGATGACAGCTCACATGGCAACACAGAAACAAGAAGGAGGGGAAAGTCCAGCTGATTAAACCAGCCTAACCAAAGCGTGATCAGATTTCAGCAGCTATGTTAGAGCGCCAATTTAACCGATAAGCCTTCTTTTTTAAAAGAGAGAACTCATAAGGTAACTATGATCTCATGAAAATTGAATATTCATAGCACCCCCTAAGCACTGGGAGAGAAAAAATCCTGCCGCCGTCCCTGATTGGCTGTTCACACTGCTCTTTAAATGTGGCCTGGATCAGACTCCTGTATAGGAATCCACATCTGAAGGTGGTCCAAATCTGATCTGAAGAGACTCCACATGCCTTGTGCTGAGTCCCAAAAGTTCAGATTCAGGTCGCTTTAACCTGCAGTGTGAGCGGAGCCTTAACCTCATATCCTATCCAGTCTGGTCCAGGTGTAAAACATTGAATCGCTCAATCAGCTGCACCTGGACTCGGGTTAGAAGGGCTTAAAACCTTCAGAGTTGTTATCAAAAGAGAGAGAGGTCTGTTGTAGGGCCGTCAGATACCAGATTTTTAAACTTTGATGTGATTCCAGTGAACATCAAATGATATCGACACCTTCTCTTTCACAGAAAAGAAGTCGCCCCCCCCCCCCCTTCACCTGGTTGATCACAGCATGGAGCTGCTTCTTGAAAACAGGCAGCAGACTCTCCAGGACTCGTCTGAACTCCTCTTTGCTCACCAGACCCGTCCCGTCAGGATCCAGCGCCATGAAGGCTGACTTCATGTTCTCCACTCTGCTGCGGATCAGAGGCTCCACCTGCTGCAAGGTAAGCTGCTGACCTGTATGATGGAGGAGCGAGGGAGATGACAAGGACGAGTAAACCAGGAGACTCAATGAAAACATATGATCACAAAGAACATGCAGGAACATACATATCCAAACACTCACCTGTGTGTGTGCGGCTCCATGGCTGCTCTAATCCTCTCCTGGAGGTGTATGTGGCTCTGCTGGGAGCCGTGTGAGGCCGCCAGCTGTGCCCCAGTGGTCCCAGGCCGGGCTGAAGAGGCAGCGGTCTGGGCATACTCGGAAAGACTGGTGTGTGTGTGTGTGTGTGTGTTTGTGTTTCTCTAAGAGTGTGTGGAGAGAGAGAGGAAGCAGGCAGGAGGTGGTGAAATGACACTGAGAGGACGGACTGTGGTTGCTAGTTAACACTTGAACCTGATCCCTTTTGTGTGTGTGTGTGTGTGTGTGTGTGTGTGTGTGTGTGTGTGTGTGTGTGTGTGTGTGTGTGTGTGTGTGTGTGTGTGTGTGTGTGTGTGTGTGTGTGTGTGTGTGTGTGTGTGTGTGTGTGTGTGTGTGTGTGTGTGTGTGTGTGTGTGTGTGTGTGTCAAAGAACAATCAGCTGTTGACACCGTACTGTATTCAAGCATTCAGTCTGGTTCTGTTCCTGTTGTCTGTCACCATGGCAACAAACATCAATGACAACAATAATAATCAAAATGTTAATTATGTAAAGTCTCTCTCTTAACGCTTGATACCAGTTTATACTTCTTCTCATCTACCAGTCAGATGCAGACATTGGACTTTCAAACTCTCCTACACTCATTAAACACATCATAGTTTCTGTTCATTTCAAGTTAAGATCTAAAATGATCAATGGGACTCCAGCACCCCCTGCAGGAACAGGTGGGTTATGTCACTCATACAGTCTGTGATTGTACTTACCTTTTTCAAACACTATCCAAAACCTGAATCCCCGTACTGTCCCTGAAGAGGTTAAGGAAAGGTAGATGAAAATATAGTGTGAGTGTGTTGGTACTCATTTCTGTCTTTAAACCACCGACTGAGGAGATTTAATATTTAAATGTTACAAAAGTTCAAACCAAGATTTCTGACACTGAAGAGTTAAAATAAAGAGAGAACACAGTCAGCAGATATTGCCTGAAGACACGACTTTATTAATAAACCAGCAAGCGAAGCATGTAAAACAGAGGACGCCCAGGAAACAGAGGCAGGCATGTATAAAAAGAAAAACCCAAACAAACATAGAGAGGAGATGGGCAGAGGAGCCTTGCCAACGGCTGTAAACAGAGTGACGCAGAAGAGAGAGAACAATGAAGAGAAAGAAAGAGAAGCCGTAAAAGTGTTGTCGTTTTACATCCACACAATAAAGACATTCACAAGTGTGTGAAGAGCGCACGGACCGGCCTGCTGGACTGGAAACTACTGAGGAAGAGGAGCAGGAGGAGGAGGAGGAGGAGGAAGAGGAGGAAGAAGAAGGAGAAGAGGAAGGAGAGGAGGAAGAGGAGCAGGAGGAAGAGGAGGAAGAGAAAGGAGAGGAGGAGGAGGAGGAGGAGGAAGAGGAAAGAGAGGAGGAGGAAGGAAGGGAGGAGGAGGAGGAGGAAGAGGAAGGAGAGGAAGAGGAAGGAGAGGAGGAGTAAGAGGAGCAGGAGGAAGAGGAGGAGGAGGAGGAAGAGGAAGGAGAGGAGGAGGAAGGAGGGGAGGAGGAGGAAGAGGAAGGAGAGGAGGAGGAAGAGGAAGAATAAGAGGAAGGAGATGAAGAAGAGGAGGAGGAGGAAGAGGAGGAGGAGGAATAGGAGGAGGAGGAAGGAGATGAAGAAGAAGAGGGAGGAGGAAGGAGGAAGGAGGGAGGAGGAAGGAGATGAAGAAGAAGAGGGAGGAGAAAGGAGAGGAAGAAGAGGAGGAAGAGGAGGAGGAGTAGTGTGTGGAGGTGATGTCTCAGGTTAAAGTCTGACTGCTGTTGGTGACACGGCTGTGGAGTTAATGCTGGTTGTGTTTTAATACTCGGCTCCCTCCTCTCCTGCAGCAAAACCACCGGACATTTATCAGAGAATTACACTGAAAAGAGGAGAACATTTAAGAAGTGCGCCATTGTTCCTCCATTCATCTCAGCCACCGAGAGAAGTGGACTCGACCTCTTAAAGTGAAGACAATGTGCAAGTGCCTTAATCGTGCATTCTTTCTGATGGGCAGCAGGGGGCGACTAGTTCGAAATAGAAGTCTGATTGTACTGAAACAAACACTTTAATGTTATTAATGCACAATATCGCTGCGCCGACAGCAAGAGGCATGAATCAGGTCCCAATGTACAAAAGCAGCTTTGTTCCTGCTGCTATCACTGAGTTGAACGAGCTGTATTTATTTATTTAAGTCCAGAATTGTTTTGAATCTGGCTGTAGAGATGATATATTTATTTGTGTTTTTGATTGATCTTATTGGCCTTAAACCTCGAGAACTGTCATTGTTTTTTAGTTATTTTCTCCTGTTTTAGTCTTTAAATAGTTCTCCTTCTCTCTAATGTGTTGTTCCTTGTTGCATCTGTGTCGTAATCTGTGTGTCATGATGGGTGTCGATCTCGCTGGCTGCAAAAAAAAAAAAAAATCAAGTCCCCTGACCCTGACCCTGACACAGACTTTCTTTGCCCCCTCTTTGTCTCTGTATCTCAAACACACGCTCACAAACATACACAAATATAAAGCTCATATATATATATACACAAATGTCCAGTGACGATCAGTGATGGAGGCGGAACACCCTGCAGCACTTTGAGCAAAAACAAACAAACAACACTCTTTCTCTCTGGGTTGATTTAGGCGATATATCTTCTTCTTCATAAGTTTGGCTTCACTTCACCTGAATAAAAATGACTTTGAATGTGTCAGGGTTCGACCGTTATGTCAGCTGATGATTTCATGAGTCTGGGCTGATCGAGAGCTGAAGAGTCTCATCGTGTTGTTCATCTTTTAGAAGGTTTATCCGGCTGACAAAACCAGAAAAATATCAGAAAGCATCTCAGAAGATTTGAAGAGATATTTGTGACAGATCAAGACCGCTAATCAATTATTTTTTATTCTATTCTGCTGATTCATAAAGACAACATACTGAGTTGTCTCATTCGTGGTTTCCTGCTGCTCTGAACGAGACATTACAAGAACTCAGTGAGACTTGGTCAAAGCCTGACCCGACGTATCAGAGCAAAGCTGTAGGACACGCCCATCCCGGCAGCTCTTACAAGGACACACCCACGAGGAAGCACACTCTAATGTCCATGTGACTGCAAACAGAGCTGGCCAATCAGAGGAGAGTGGGCACATGGGGAGGCGGGGCCTTAAAGAGACAGTAGCTGAAATGAAGCGTTTCAGGCAGAGGCTGAAATTAGGGATTTTTCTGACGCCGGTGTCAGATAAATAAAGAGGTTTTTGAGCTACACATCTCACAACGCTTTTCAACATGTCTCCCAGACTGACATCATTAATGCAGGCAGTGAGGATAATAGATCTCCTTTAAATGTTGTTCCAACTGACCAAGGAAGTTTCTATCATATTCAATTCTTTATGAAGCTTTTCCCTGGAAAGATAAAACATTAGCGTGAGAATGAATGAACGACTAACCAGCTATTTTGTCGTCCTTCCTTCCAGACACATTGATGCATCATTTTCAGTGGATTTCTGTCACAAATATCTGCACATAGCTTCAGTCCTTGATATGAAAGCGAACATGTCAGGTATTTGAATGCTGCACCGGTCGAACCCTGATTTGTACGAGACGTTTACACTCAGCAGAGGGAACGCACTGTGGAGGTATATGGGGTTGAAGGACGTTTGGTTTCACTATGTTATTGATGCATTTAATTCATTAACTAACCAACCTGGATTCTTTTCCATCTACAGAGGTTGTTTTTTTTGATGAGTTGTGATTTGACATAAATGCATTCTGGGTAAAGTCTTGTGTTGTAATCCTGCTGTCAGGCTGTACGGTTAAACTTCAGACTGAGTGTTGATGTATCCGTGTGGGTTTGTGGGGGTTTTGGCAGAAAGTGTGCGATTTGTTGACGGTACTGAAGGAGATCCATGGAGGAGAGTCAGGAGGGGTGAGGTGGAGGAGGGACGATGGGGGGTGCTCCTCACAGGAAGAAGTCAAACGTCAGGTCGGACTTTCCCATCTTCTGTCTGTACACGGTGTCAAACTTGTCGTTCATGGAGACTGTGAAGACGTCTTTCCACAGACCGACACGACCTGCAGGCAGAGGGAGAGGGAAGAACTACTGATCAATAAGAGTTTAGACACCTTTTAACACAAAACAATCCAATCGAGAGAGTCCTGAAAGAGATTTGATGCCAAGAAGTCCGTACTTATATTTCATCTGAGGGACCTCGGAGATACAGAGGCTCTAAACACTGTTAGTTTGAACAGTAACGTGCACTACTTGGACAACATCAAATGAAATTGATGACACTTGGTCCCCTTCCTCTCTTTCCCAAGAGGAACTATGCTGCTTTACATTTAGCTTCACTGCTGTTTCTGTAATTCTGTGTTCCTGTGGCGCTCCTGGTGTTGTAGTAATCGAAATCGGTCTTGGTCTAGAGAGCACTTTTTAAAGATCTCGGTCTCGTCTTGGAATCAAAATAATTTTGACTCGGTCTTATAGATTATAATCAAGACCACCACTGATCGGCTATTTTTCCTCTTCATCTCTGTGATTAGAACTAAAAGAACAAATAACTTCAAGTCTTGATTTGATTTTCAGCCCTGGTTACGGCCACAACCTTCACAGTGTTACGGTCTAAGAGAGTGACACGCCCCCTGCACACAAGATGATTGTTCACTGATATTTATGGTTTTGGTCTCGTCTCTGTCTTGCCTTGCCTTGGTCTTGGTCTGGACTCTGTCTCGATCCCTACATGTCTTTTCTAGGTCTCTGAGCAGTACGTCTAGGTCTCGGTTAGTGTGGTCTTGACTACAACACTTCTAATTCCCAAAAAACAATCATGATTACCTTCCTGACTAATTCTGATGGGAGGTTTCATTCCAGCTGCAGAGAGAGACAGCCTGAGCTCGCAGCGACTCACCTGCTGTGTGGCGTCTGAGACAGACCCTGATCAGAGTCGGATCAGACTGACTGTCAGCTGTGAGTTTATCTTAAAGCAGATCAGACACCAGACTTCCATGCACTAAAAGGAAAAGAAATGATGGAAAAACTGAAAAGCAACAAATGACAGAAAGTAAACATGAACATCAAAAACAGGACGGGAAACAAAAACTGACCTAAATAATATTAACACACGAGGAAATGTAAAAGACACATGAAAGAAAAATTAAAATATTATGTTTTAAATGGACATGCAGGTGGAATAGTTCTAAACACACTAAGCTGTCTATACTTCTAATGCAATCCATGATGCAGGTGCCACAATTACGTCAAACTGAGGGTCAAAAACAATCATGACGCCTGCGAGACAAATGCTGAATATCTTGTGGTTGCATGGATCATATTGATCAATCTGCAAATACAGAATCTGCTGCTGCGTCTGGAAGCTTTGTCATGAATTGTTAAACTGCTCTGAGTCCGATCAACGTAAAAGATTCAATCCTAAATAGATAGTATGTTTAAATGTAAATAATGTAATATGAGGCTCCAGTGTTGTAGAGTGGAGCGTGCTCAGCTCGTTGCCGGAGCTCGAGGGTTTAAAGTGCTGACAAAGCTGACAGTGTCGGGTGACCTTTACGGTGGCCCTGAAGGTCAACTGCAGCAAAGGGACAGACACACATCTAACTAAAAGCAATATATCATAAAATGTATTTGTGTTTCATGAAATACTGGTGTGTGTGTATGTGTGTGAGTGTGTGTTTTGTTGTGTTAAAAGGAAAAAGAAATCGGGCTTGTTGAGTTGAACAGAGTCTGATTACCTTTAATGTGAGCTGTGATGAGAGTAGGAGGCCGTTAGCTTACTCTAAAGGAATAACAAGTTAAATGTTAAATGTTCAGTCCGTGGTTTCATGGATTTAAGATCTCCTGAAAGTGAACTCTGCAGATTTACAGAGACTGTCAGACGAAAACAATACTGAGAAGAAGCTACTGACGAGCTTTAGTGTACTTTCAATCGATTTGAATGCCTTTCTCTTGAATGCAGCCTGACATTGGGGTGAGACTTTGGATTTAATGCTTTGGAGACTTGATCCACAATGTTGGCTTTCACCCAGACCTCAGGGAGACTTGAGTGTGTCTTTCAGCAGACCACCAGCAGGTCTTTCCTCGCTTCTTGCCCACTCACCCCTGCAGACGGACAGCGCCTCCGAGTTGCCGCATTGCTCGATGAGCTGGTTGCAGCTCTCCACCATGCCCTCCAGCTGAGACTTGTCACAGGAAACACCCAGGAACCGGGCTAACTGCTCAACCAGATTCCCCACATCCTGCAGAGAAAAGGACCGAGGACAAATGGTGAGTTGCAAAAAATGGACAGACAAACAAATCAGAAGAATCACCTCCCTCTTGAATCCTTAAATAACACCAAGGCGGTGATTCTGCTTCCCCAAACAGCATCCTCCCACGGCTGCAGAGAACACACTGTCCTCCATGCTTACACAATCTTTATGGAGTAAAGGTGAAACTCCAGTATCTATAAGGACGCGATGTACAGCTCTGTGTACACAAGACATTACCTATAGGGACAGTTAAACATGCAGGCTATCAGTTTACAGCTCAACTGACCCACAAATGACGACAAACTCTCTCTCTTACACGAGCTGGCATCATGACAAATCTGTGCTAGCAGCTCTCCTTTGTTTTTGGATAAATTTAGCAAACATGCTTACAGTCATTTGCATGGACTTGAGTATCCCGTTTATGAGCCTAATTCCAGTTTGTATCATATTCAGGCATTAAAGTCAGAATGTGTGACATGTTACCCATAAATAAATCATAAATCCAGTATCTCCTGTGTAAATGTGTCTCTAAGTCATGACTGTCAACAATGAGTGAGAAGCTCGAGTCCCGCTGGCTGTGTTGTTGTCAGAGCTGTGTTGTTGTCACTCCCCTTGTGTATAAAAGCTGTTTTAGTCAAGGACTAGAGAGAAGAAGAACAACATACTCACTGATTATTTGGATGTTAATAAGCATTTTTAGATCACAGTCATTCTGTGTCAGTTTACATACAATGTGAAGCTACGAGCTAACTAAAGAGCTCTAACATTAGCATGCTAACACAACAATGCAGGACACAGGTGATTGCAGCTCGAGACAAGGAGGATTGTGTCCTGATTATATCCTGCTGCGTTCTCACATCAGCTCACTCTCTGACTTTCTGCAGAATAAATATGAGGAGGCTGGAGGAGAAACTCCAGGTGAAGTCAGAGTGAAATATGTGGCTGTTTGCGTTCACACATGACGCTCATCCTGGAAATTTAAGAAGTTTAAGAAAATGTACAAGAACAAAGTTATCAGACGGTATGAAAGTGGCAGTTAGTGTGTTTTGTGTGTGTTTTTCTTCTACTTTCTGAGGCAGTAAAGACTGAATTGTCAGATTTGTTTTATGTTATATTCATTCATTGACTGTAATTGGACAGACCATCCAGATATTTCTTGTTTGCTTTTTGAGTAAGGGGCAGCCAAAACAAGATCTAATCCCTGCTCCTTTCTGTACATGGGATAAAGTGTGAATTGTTTTTTTTGTTGTTTTTTTTCCTTTTCTGTTGTGTGTTTTGACATGGAACAAATAAAAAAAAATGAAATGAAAAATGAAGTGTGAAAGCCCAGACACAAGCACACATAATCGAACCTGTTCCAAAAGAAATAATGACGGGCGAGTCAGTGTGCAAACATGATCAACACAACATGAGATCGTATTTATTTTTTAACATGAGCAAATTTCGGACAAATGAAAACTGGCTCAGTGTGCAAAGGCCTTTAGTGTGAGCGCCCCATGTGTGGAGGCTTCGGTCCTCCACACATGGGGAGGACCAGTTGGTCCTTTCCTGCATGTCATTCCCCACTCTCTCTCTCTCTCTCTCTCTCTCTCTGTGATTTCTGACTCTATCTTCTGTCCCGTCTCTAACATAAAGTCATTATAAGCCCCAAAATAAACCTTTAAAAATCCCCACTAAATCCTGTCATGCTAAACATTTGTGACAGCCTATTTTCAACTGGAACAAATTACTTTGATTTTGGAACAAGCTACTTGGCCTAGCAGCCATCCTGCTACACGTCTCCGATGTTTTCAACATCCAGACGTATTTGTGTTTGCACATTTCTTCTAAAAATATCCGCTTCAGTTTAGACAATTACACCAGTCAGAGTTATTCTGAGAAAGAAAGTATTGTGTGTATTTTGCAAACAGGAAACAGTAAAGAGCGGCTTGTTTTTCTCTGGTCATCTACCAGGACGTGTTTTGTTTTTTATTACCTGAGGCAAATTGAAACATTTCGAGGAACTGCATCTTCTCCCTGCAGTTCTTGGTAACCATTTCTTAGAAGGCGCTGCAAGTCTGCGCCTCATAAACGTGATAAGAGCTGATGTTGTCAAAAGGGACCTTTGACAAAGCAAAGGGCAAAGATTGATTTGGTGTGTTATGTTCTGTGAATCTTTTTTTCTTTGAATGGAGAGGTCTGTACAAAAATGTTATGTACATAAATCAGATGATAGACGTGTTTGTTTTTGTGCCAAGTTGTGCAGAAAGGAATAAATGGACAAAGTTCAAATAAGAGAGAGAGAGAGTGAGGACATGATGGTGCAGGACCTCGATATGAGGGCGGGGGGTGTAAACTGAAGTTAAAGGTGAAGTTATCTTTGATAGATTATTTATATCCAAAGTTATGGATTTGGAATTTCCCTACAAAACAAAAGGTGTTGCTGAATTGTCCCTAAAAATATTTCCATGAGTTTTAGATTACCTTCTTTATCAGTGCTACACGAAACAGTTTTGCAAAGCTGTGATTTTTGTGTTTTCTGCACTTCTGATGAAGATTGAAAGCGAGAGGTGAAGGGTACAGAAACACCCTGACTAAGAGTCTGAGCGGTGATGAATGAACAGCGGTTTGAAGCCCTTTGTAGGCCAACCTCCCTCCCACACCCCCTCGCTGTTGCACAAGTGGGTCAGGAGTAGAGAGGTTATTGTGTCTGAAATGGTCAAGCACCAGTTCAACGACAGATTGAGCAGCACTGACAGGTGAGGGGTGCTGTTGTGGAGAAATGTCTGCCTTTAAGAATGTGGATGGGGTCATGTATTTAGCGCTGGTGAGATAAGTAGCCGAATATTTTACTTCGGTGTAATCTTTTCATAGGTGTTTAGGTCTTAAAGGTCACATATCCTCCTCCTCTTCTTCAGTGTAATTAAGTCTCAGAGTTCCCCAAAAAATGTCTGTGAAGTTTCTTGTTCTAAATCCACTCTGATCCTGTATTTGATCATGCCTATAAACCCCTCTATTTCAGCCCTGCTCAGAACAGGCTGTTTCTGTGCCTGTACCTTTAAATGTAAATGAGCTGTGTCTGACCACGGGCCCTCTCTGGAAGGACTTCGGTGTACTCTGGCTTTCTCGCTCCATGTCCTATTGTTTACGGTGAGAAGGCAGACTCAGAGGGCAGAACAAACACCTAGCTGTGGGAGTGTCACCCACCTGGGGGAGGGGTTACTGCCCTTTGTGATGTCATGATGGGAAAATCTCAAAACGGCCATACTGGACTGGACATACTGATATTCAGCAGCTCAAACAGTAGCGACAGAGTCACTCATTAGGCTGCAGATTTTGATGATGTTACCTTGTACATGTCTTCATATTTCAAGAAGAGAACATTGGAGTCCATACGATGTTCCCAAAATTCCTGAACATGTTCAAACCAGGAGCCGTATCCCACTGAGACAGAGACACGTACAGAGAGAGAGAGAGAGACAGGGGTACATTAACTGAGTGTAACTCTGTAGAAAAAAATCTGCACACACGCAAGTAACCGTCAAACTCACGCTTGTCATGCATGAAGCGACGGCAGAACTCCTGGAAGGTCCCGCGGTAGCTCATGGTCCTGAGAGAGCGGTGGAACTGGTAGTAAGAGACGACCAGGTCCTTCGGGTTACGAGCCATGTAGATCACCTGGACCAGAAACAAAAATGCGACTCAGCTGCGCGGACAAGTCTAAGAAATTAAATAACAAAGAAGCTGCCAGCAAGTATTCTTTGTAAGATGCGGGCGAGATGCGGTGGCTGACAAGGGCAATCAGGCTGCGATAACCATAACTGATCGTTTGTGTCTTTGCAGGGTGGCACACTGACCTTGGCCTCTCCGTTGTGCATGGCTGTGGGGAGGAATCGGTAAGGAAGATGGCTTTTGATCAGACGCGGGGAGGTCAGCTCCTGGGGAGACACAACACAAGTCCATTTTTTAACCAAGGATCTGCAGGTGACTCAGGTGTGTCCTACCTTATCAGTCATCGGAGACTCACACACACACACACATGTTCTGTAGCTCCTTTTCATGGAAACATCAGACTCTCTTTCTCTCTAAGAACAGAACTGGCCTGTTTGTGTGCATTGTCAATAGAGTATTATATGAGGGGATGTCCATGATTTCCATGTGGAACTCAAAAACAAAGATGTGATTCAACATTATAACTATACCAGGGCAGCCAGAACATCAACATGTTTCACTTTAAATATCAGCTCTGCAACATTTATCCTGTTAAACACCTCAGGCTAAAGAGTTCCTCTTCACAATGTGAGCACTCTGCACGCTGTATACTCTTTATTGTCCAACTCTTATGTCTAAAACAGCTTCATGTTAAAAATGCATTTGCCTAACAAAAATGATAGCATCACCCTCTCCCTCCATGTCCTCAAATCAGCAGCAGAGGACCTTTGACCCCAAAGCCCCGGCTGCAGGCCGTCAACCCCCAACATAAACATTACACAAACCCCTCACCTCTCACACCACAACACACATCAACATCTTACGAAAGCAACATCTCTCCTCTTCTCCTTCTTCCATCCTTTCTCATGTTTTGAAATGTCCTTGGTTGTAGTCTTTGTCAGTTGATGTCTCAGTATTTGGCAGTATTTCTTGTCTTTGAATGGTCATCTTGAATGGTCAACTCAAAGACATCTTTTTCTGGAACTTTCCGATGTAGAAGGACGTTTGCTAACAAAGTGCAAGCCCTTAAGTATTTATCCATCTGTGTTTGAATTTTTTTTAAATATACGTCAAAGTCTGCATCGCTTCTAAACTTTCTGAAATAATTATTAACATACAGAAAACTGCTTCTGCAAACTGTCTGATTCTGACCTCTTGAAATCAACGCTGCACAGCCTGAGAGATCCTTACATCGACTCCCCCGGTATCCTCCACTCTCTATCTTTAAAAAAGTCCCACTCTGTATCCCATGCTTTTCTGTTATGTGGCCCACTATGAAATCATCCAAGATGTTTTACGAAGTCCTAGTTACACAATGGTCTTCTCAGTGCCTGACCTTTAATGCAAAAACATTTTTTAATTATATTAGTTTTATGTTCACAAGATTTCAGCTTCATAATGATCCTGAACGTAACGACAACGTCCTAGTTTAGGAAAGAGAGCGAGGAGTGAGCAGCGAGTAATGAAAAAAATTACTTTTATAAATGTCATTTAAGATGCTTTATCCATTGCAAAGCTGATGACTTAAGCCTCAAAGTTATATGAAGCTCTAGTCATGAAGACTTTGGCCAGTGGTGATTCTTGAGTCTGTTGGCGCCCTTAGGGGGTTTATTCTGTTGTAGGCTCAGAACAGACACAAAAACCACCCTATAGAGTCCAAGCGCCAAAGACCTTCTGTCAAGGCCCATCTCCAGGGGCGGTGGGGGTCCCCAGTCTGGCACCTTTATTCCGGTGGTCTTGAGTTTAAATGTTTTTTGGGACTAGACTTTAAGTCTGGCTTTGTTACCTGTATGATGTCCAGGCCTGGTTGAGGATACTCTAAGACAGGCAGCTGTTCATCGATGTTCATCAGGCCGATCTCGTCGGGGTCTGCTCCCTGACTCACGAGATACACGACCTCCTGAAGTAGACTGGTGCCTACGAGGAGAGAGAGAGAGAGAGAGAGAGAGAGAGAGAAGAGAGACTGATGAGGAGTTTGTGATGGCTGGGGGCGGCTGTGGCTCAGTTGGTAGGTCGAGGGGTTCGATCCCCAGCTGGGCAACATGTCCAATGTGCCCCTGGGCAAGACGCTTAACCCCAAATTGCTCCCGCTGCTTTGGTGGCGGTGTATGAATGGATTAGTTAATTCTGATGAATGATACTACATAGCGTGTGTGAATGGGTGTGAATGGGTAGTTGTGACCTGCAGTGTAAAAGTGCTTTGAGTAGTCGGAAGACTAGAAAAGTGTTATATAAGCTCAAGTCCATTTACCAATATGGGAACCTTAAGGTCATACATTCTGTAAAATCCTCTTCACCATGATCCTCTAACTCTAATATGTGTCCCTAGTCTGTTTACAAACCCCCCCAATGATGAGAAAAGTTCATCCTCTCTGTCTTCTGCCTGCTCCACTTTTCAGAAAATGTGTTCTCAAACAGGCCGTTTGGAGATTTTCCCTTCATGACATCACAAAGGGCAGTAGCCCCTCCCCCAGGTGGGTGACACTCCCACAGGTAGGTTTTTGTTCTGCCCTCTGAGTCTGCCTTCTCACCGTAAACAATAGAACAGCGAGAAAGACCCAGAAATCCGAGCCCTTCCAGAGAGGGGCGTGGTCAAACACAGCTCATTTACATTTAAAGGTACAGACACAGAAACAGCCTTCACACACATGTTTTGAGGAGCTCTGAGACTTATTTAAACTGGTTGAAGAGGAGGAGAATATGTGACCTTTCAACAAAAATACTACATTTCTTGAGTTCTTCAGAGTAATAATACTTTTATTTATGATTTAACTTTCAGTAAGGATTCCCATCCCTGCTTGGAGGAAAAAATGTTAATTTTTCCGATTGATTGACTCTTGCTTCGTTTTTTGCCTTGCGTTCTATTGTGGCCTTTATCAAAGTGAAATCTTTTCCATAACAAATTTTTTTTTGTTGCCATGTCAACGTTCTCCTCAGTGACTCATACTGTTTGGCATGAATCATCCCAATCCGACATCCCACACAACACAGGAGGCTCAGAGCATGCTATGTGAAACCTGAAGGATTCACTTAGCAGAGTAAGGTAACAGCTCACGCTCTATTCATTGTTGTTTTTTTAATTATCTTACAATCTAACAGCTTGCTGTAAAGGTTGACGTGAACAAAGCCGACTCTTCTTGCTCAGAAGTTGAAGATGTGTATCTGTGAGGCCGCAGGCTGCACAGATTCTGAAACCAAATAAACTGTGACAGATTCTTTTTGGTTTCCTGCAGATTATTTAATCCGTCACTGGTACGGCTCATGATGTATTTGGCTAACATGAGAGGGTCCAGTTGTGTTCGTCACATTAAAATCATGAAACATCAGCTGTGTCGTCCAAATTGAAATAAATTCCAAAAATATTTAAAACCATGAAAAGATGACATGAGGACTCTGAGTAAACATGGAACTATCAAAGAGTTTCATTTTAAAATGAGATGCTGGCACGTTATTTAAAGTCAGATGTTTAGTAATCAGCCCAGTTTGAACATGGACTATTTGGACAATTCGACATTGAACATCCAGTGAAGAGCAGACAGAGGCGCTGCTTGTCAACAGGCTACATGCAAGATGCCCCAGACCAGTAGGAGGCCCCTGAGGGCTCACAAACTTAAAGGGTACATATCAGGGGAAAAAACAACTTTGACAGTGTTTTTGAACATACATTTGGGTAACCTGATTGTCTACTGACCCACAAAATGTTAAATAAATCCATCCAGTCCTTTGTTTGTGGTCTGCATAAGTCTTACAACACAGAGAAAAATGCTTTGTTTCAAATGTGCTCTCCTTGTGATGTCACAGTGGGATTCTGGAATCTCCACCCATGGACTCCACCCCTAGCGTAAAGCACAACTTTTGTACAGATCTGCCTTTTTATTTTGCTAGCGAAGGAGTGATGTCTACTTGGAAAACTCGGGGGGGGGGGGGTCATTGCATTTAAAGAGACACACACACCAAAACGGAGCGTTCTGAGAGAGCTGGTTTATACAGGGTCACAAACCTCCTCTGGTGCTTGATTCATGATATATTTTGACCAAAGCACAGCACAGATGTTTAATTTAGACCACAGTGGACTGTGGCCTAAATTGTGCACATTTTGCAATGACAGTGGGAAGCCTCCCTAAGGTGGCCCCATCTGACAGCACTCACTCTCGTTGCCTTGCTAAGTGTTGCAGCATTGTTGCTGTGTAAACCAAAGTTTGTCACCCGAAGTCAACAGAGAAAAATTAAGAGGAATGCTCCACCTGTTGGAATGAAAAAATATACAGGAGATGAAATAGTTGAAGGATTAAGCATCGGGACACCGGCAGACATGATGGAGATGAATGCTGGTTAGAGGGCCCCCCTATTGATTTTTGCCGAGGGCCCCGACAGACTCTAGAATCTCCACTGACTGCAGATTAAATGATGAATGCTAACAGCTATAGCTAAAAAAAAACTCTGAACTCATTGGCTCTGCTTCTGGCTCGCTCACTCTTCCTCTCTCGTTAGTTTCATCCGTCACTGCCCTCTTCCTCTTGGCCTCCGACATTGTATCAAACATTACAGAGACGAGCTAACTGGCTAATGCCTTAAAGCTACATACGCACTTCTTACAAGAGAACCGCAACCGCTGCTATCGTGCTGAAAGCAGCTGACCGGGGCACTCGGTTGACATGAAAGAGATGCTATTCTGACTGTTGAAAGTTGTTGTGTTATGATGTCGACTTTGCAACAACCATTTTAAGGTGGAAACTTTACCTATCATGTTGCTTTAAAGCTGCATATCGCAGCTTTAAAACAACAAGTTACAAAACTGCTCAGGGTCACAGTGTTTTCCTAGAGTCTACGAAAGCACTGCGACCCTGAGCAGTTTGTAACAGCTGCATCACTGAACTGCTGCTGCTCTCCCTGTCCCCCGTCAGGTCTGCTAAAAAGAGGAGAAGAAAACCATTTTCAAAATGCTTGTTTTTTTGTTTTTTTTAAATGGAGGTTGTAACGATTATTTCCGATGCATCCCAGGAAGTCAGTGAAATCTAACGACTTTGATTTTGTTGGGCAATTTATTTAATTCAGGTCTGAGTCCGAGTCCACATTCAGACTTCCCTAAAACAAACTAGAGGAATTAAAATTGACAGACTAAAGAAAGAGTTAGCAAATCGATAAGTTAAGAGTTTGGATGTTCTAACTTGTGATCTCCAGAAGGTCCAGCTCAAAAAACAACAGACCGCTTACACCTTGCACTGTTGGTTAGCTGAGAATCTCCTGCCCAGTAAGTTCCTCCATTTTTTCTGCTGAGCCACAGCGGGAATGCAACTGTTTGCACAAGCTGAATATTACCTTGTAAAATTTGCATCATATCGTTTTGCAGAGCCCTGCACAGATGCCCTCTCTCTCTCTCTCTCTCTCTCTCTCTCTCTCTCTCTCTCTCTCCTCTGTATCTGAGTCATGCCCCTCTGTGATTTATTGTAGAGATTTAGATTTATTGCAGAGGTGCAGCACCCACAGAGAGACGTGATGGAGCGTCTGTCTGATGTCAAAACAGTCATAAAAGCATCACACACTGCAGACCCCACACTCACTCTAAACCCACTTTAGGGTTCATAGAATCTTTCTAATCCCATTGGCCAAGTTGGTCACATGTGAGCTAATAGCATCACAGCTCTGCAGCATTGAATCCATGTGTCCTGCCATGTGCTTTCTCTGCCTCTGCACCAGAAACTACAGATACACCAACACAGAGCTAAAGGGGGAGAGTGAGGATATTTATCCGATGTGCATGGATTTGCAGAATTCTTCAGATATAAATCATATATTTACTCTTTTTCTACTCCACAATATCATATTTTAAAAAATGCAGAAAAAACTGCCTTGTTTGCAGCCTGCAGCAGATGCACTACTTATGTCCTTCAGTGTGTTTTGAAGGATTTCCAGCACATTGCACATTCGCCTGTGTCCAAATAATGTCCTCAACTGTGAAGATAAGACAATTTCCACTCGACATTGCTCACATTGTGCGCAGAAATCTCCACAGAAACAGAGAACAGACGTGTTAAGTCGTCACTAATTTGGTCTACAAATGTCAGGGAACATTTCTGATCCGTCTCGTCGCCTGTGCCCAGACTGATTTGCTCTTTAATCTGTGGTGACATTCAGATCCCACAGATTCAGAGCCTTGATACAAATCTTTTAATGTCAGATCATCGATTTCCCCGAAATCTTTAATACCTTTATCAAACATTTTTATTAGTGTCATGTCATTTTGCGTGCCTTCTCTTAGTCTTTGGACAATTTCATCATCTGGATGTGATAAAGGTCCTGTTTTTGGTCAAACAGGCACTTATATTAGAAGACACGCTGTAAATTTGCAAAATTGCATAACAGCTTGTTGAGAAATGCTGTTTTTGGACTACTTGTGCAGACTTTGGATGAAAGGTTACTGAGTTCTTTATAGCTCCAGTGTTCAGTTTTAGAAACACAGAGTGTGTTTACATGGACGTGAGTATCCCGGTTCCGAGCCTGATCATATTCAGGATACAGTGTTTACATGCACACAGAAAAACCTGCTTAATCATATCCCTGTATACATGATAAATACTAGAATCAAGGTTTCTGGTTACTGCATTTTATCTGTGCAGGCGCCTGTGATGGTTTTTTTTTTTACGATTCAAACTGCAGCAATTTTGAAATCTAAGATAAATGAGACCATTGTGGCTTATTGCGGGCCTAGCATTTTGATGCTTTACCTTATCTAAACTTCCAATTGTATTGAAAGGTCACATCTTCTCCTCCTCTTCAACCAGTGTAAATAAGTCTCAGAGCTCCCCAAAACATGTGTGTGAAGTTTCTTGTTCTAAATCCACTCTGATCCTGTATTTGATCATGTCTATAAACCCCTCTATTTCAGCCCTGCTCACAACAGACTGTTTCTGTGTCTGTACCTTTAAATGTAAATGAGCTGTGTCTGACCACGCCCCCTCTCTGGAAGGGCTTGGTTTGGCTCAGGCCAAGGTAGACTCAGAGGGCAGAACAAACACCTAGCTGTGGGAGTGTCACCCACCTGCGGGAGGGGTTACTGCCCTTTGTGATGTCATGAAATCAGGATATGATGTACAAGCCAAGATGTTTTTGTCGTACCACTGATTTTGAAGTCGGTTGTAATCTTAGCCCGTTCAGTTGTGCAGCGGAATCTGAGGCCGGACTTCCAATCATGGCCAAATGAGATTTTAGCTGATTTTCTCGCAAGTTTGTCTATTTTTAAGACTTATTTTGGGGCTTTTTACGCGAGAGAAAGGACAGTGGATAAAGTCAGAAATCAGTGAGAAAGAGAGGGTGGGGAAAGTCTCCAAGGTGAGATGAGATGCATGTTTGAACAACCAGATGAGGATGATTTCAGGGGCAGTCCTCCTGGAGTGCATGTGTGAAAACGGCTATAGAAAGTAAATGATTGAATGTTGAGTCTCTGGGCTCAATAAAGGATTCTCTTATTTTGAAATTACATGCTTTTAAACAGTCTTTACATTATATATTTTGAAAATGATACTGATGTGATATTTCATTCTCCTTTCGTTCCGGGTGTCAGATTATTTATAACATAATGGTGATGAACGCTGGTTTGAGCGGCCCCCTGTGACTTTATGCCTTGCAGGCCCGACAGTTTCCAGAACAGCCGCTGAAAACAATAAGATGTGAGATCTTAAGTGGAAAGAAATTAAAACGCAATGAGTCAATGTAAGACCGACATTACACCTTGCAGGACACAATTTCTACACTGCCGTATTTTTCATCCACCCTTAAGTTTCCTCTACAGACACTTCAAAGTCAGACATTGTTTGCAGGTATCTACGCAGGCTGATGAAAATGCCTCTTCTATCGAGTCTACAGAACAATAAGGACACTAAACGTTTAATAAGAATATGCTTCACATACTCGGATTGATACCGTTTTTATAAGGGTTTTCTAACACTTCCGTGAGGTGCATGCTGTTCTTTGCAGGGATGCATTTCTCTGCATAACACCTGCATTATTTAAAAGGCCAGGTGTAAACAGTCTGACGCGTTTGAACAAAAGGTCTAATGATGGAATCACTTAATGCTTCCTCTTCACTTATTTTGCGAAGTGCCAAAGTCCCCCTGATAGAGACATTACAGGAGTTCATTTGATGCTAAGATACTGAACTCAGTGAAGAACGACAACAATCAAACTCATGTCGTGCTCCAGCTGCCCACCAGCCACGCGGGGTCACGTGACCGGTCCCACCCAGCGCCCAGCAGGGCACCGCGCGCACGGCGGACAGCCTGCAGCGCTGCGCCACAGACACTCTGCAGGATGTAAACACCAACTTTACCTGCATCGGAGAGCTACTACTACTACTCACTGCTGTAAATAATGAAGGCCAGCTCAGATGCGATGCACTACAGAGCGATGCATCGATCGATTTACTTTGACTCAATTAGTCGGCATCTGATTATGAAACACATGCTGCTGCGTTTAAAAGCCGGATATAGAGCAGAGGCCTCTGCTGCACATAAACAGAGCTATCAGATCTGCAGGACAACAGTGCAACAACAGCGCTAAAACACACAAAACAAGCCTCCATTTTAACTTTAACGATTAGTGCATGCGTGTCTTCCAAAATAAATCCTATGACCGACTGAGATTGTTCATTTCCCCGCTCTGAGGTTTATTATTTTTTTTAAGAATAAACTTTGATAATCGCAGGGAAATCCTGCAGACGTCGCTGCATCAGAGCGCTGAATATTTGGAAGCCACACAGCTCGCGAGGTCTTGCGCAGGCGGGGACGATGCAGATGCTTGTTCTTACCTGACTTTGGGTAGGTGACGATCCAAATGTCGCTACTTCTGAGGGAGAAGTTGGCGATCTCCTCCATCTTCCCTCTGCAGAAGGGCGGCAGCCGCACTCCATCAAACTCGAAGTATTTGCTCTCAAACTCAATCGGCGTGCTCGGCGTGTCTGCCTCGCTCTCCGCCATCCTCGAAACGAGCCGCCAGAGCAGGGACACGAAAACGCGCACAGCCACGCGAACAGTGTGATTCCCGTTTGTAATTAAACCCAGAGGTGAGGAAGAGGAAGAGGAAGAGGAGGACGGTGGTGATGATGACTTGCTGCCGCCCGCTTCAGGATGCTGGGAATCGCTGACTTGATCCCCAGCCAATCACGCGACAGAGAAGTGATGTAATGCGCGCTCACGAGGCTCAGCATCAGGACCACTCTCCCTGGCCCGAGGAGGCGCGCACACGCAGCGATAGGATGCTTCCTGCCAACAGAGCCAAACTCAAATCTAGGCACAAATAAAATTCTGGTAAAAACTCAACAGGTCCAGATAAACTTTCTTATTTCGAGATATAAAACACAGTGGTTGAAGAAGAGAAGAATATGTGACCTTTAATATCTATTATACAACACACATGCAATTTTGTTATCCCTGTAATGTGCAACACTATACAGAGTACATAAATAGGCCATGAAGTTTATTTATATAGCACCTTTTTTCTTCTATCCCTAATATCATGTTAGACCAGCATAATAATAATAAGTATGTGTGTGATATCTGCAGGTGACTTGGCAGTGAAAAGAAAACAGGAGAAAAGGAGGAGGAGAGCTGCGTTTCTTATTAAATACATGTTTTATTATTGAAGAAGGTGTGACGTCATCGCATGGTGTCTAACCCACTTCCTGTTGATTGGCTGCTGAGGAAAATAAGGAAACTGATAAACATGTTTTTATCCAATCATGCTCTAAGCGGCGTATGCTGCCTTCACGGCCCCCTGTATTTTTTTTTTTTTAAAAGGACAAAAACTGTTGAGTGAATCATCCAAAGTTATTTAATTAGAAATATTGTTCTGATGACTTTTAATTAAGCTGTTAGCATGTGTCAAATGCTGTTTTACTAAAGATGTTTTGATACAGCATGTAAGTGTTTATTTTGACATAAATGTTCCCAAAAAATTGGATTTGTACTTCTGTCTTGTGTCACACTGACATGTTAGAGAATGAAAAAGGCATTTGTAACAAGACGCCTCCCCTAAAGCTGCACAGATTATTTCAGTAATTGAGTAAAAGACAATTCGTGCCGTTTTTTATTTTTTGATTATTTAATTTTGTTTCTGTCTTTTTTTCTTTCTTTTTTTTAGATTTTTTTAATTTACCCTTTGACACTAGATGAGGAGTGTTTCGTTTTAACGTGTGTTTGTTTGACGGGACAGCTGTTTGAAGACGTCAGACATTGCATTGACTTTAAAAAATGCACATTCAAAGATTCATCTGTGACAACATGATGCAGATTTAATCTTATTGAAAACAAGCAAAATGTCTCTTGCTCATCCCTTGTGTGTCCTTCATGTTTCTTTTTTAATTACTGAAAACATGTGACCTGTAGTGATTCATTCCTTTGTTGATGTCCTATATTTATATTTCTTATGATATGAACCTTTGGGTCAGAAATTAAGTATAAAGTAAAGTAAGCAATCATTGCAGATTTAGCTTTGTCATTACGAATCACTTTGTACTGTAAGAAAAAAGATTAACGTCAGTTAATTCTGTGTAATTTGGTTGTTTAAAATCGAGTCACTAAGAGACATTTTAAAAAGTGTGTAAATCGTCCCCACTCTCATGGTTGCCAACATTTCCAATTTTTACCAGCTGATATTCATATTTCCGACAGCTCTTGAATGCATCATGAGCCTCCTCCCCGTGCTTCCCTTTATAGAGCCAGCTGTTGACCAATCGAGAGTTTCACTTCGCTTCTCTGCACCGAGCCGGTTCAACAACAACAACAACAACAACAGCAACCTGTGGACCTCCACACCACACAGCGGAGAGTACACGCTGTTCTATCCGCTCTCAGGGATCCCCAGCCGGGGCATGTCCGCAACATGTTCGACTTAAACGGAGGCTGGAACTTGTCCTTCGCCGGCTGCGGGTTTCTGGGGATTTATCACATCGGAGTAGCCAGCTGTCTGCTAGAGAAAGCGCCGTACCTCATCAGAGAGGCCACGAAGCTGTACGGAGCCTCCGCCGGAGCTCTGACCGCCTCTGTGCTCGCGAGCCAGGCTTCGATAAGTAAGAAACTGGAGCTCGATTATCGATTAGTTATGTCTACTTATGGTTATAGAGGACATCAAAGGTCCTCTGATAGCTTTTTATTCATATTCATATTATTATCGTGTTTTTGAATGTTTATTAATTAAATATTTAAGTTATGTCAGTTCAATTTAAACATAATCTTAGTCACTAAAATGACCCAAGACATTTGAATAAAAACTACGGATGTAAAAATTCACGTTACTCAGAAGACTTTTGATAACACTGCGATAAACGATACGATTTAAGAATCGCTAGTATTGAAATAAAAACTTCGACCTTTCAGCGTAAAGGTGTTAATCACGATGAGATTAAGGTCTAAAATTAACCTGTTCATTATTCTGAATAATTATTTTTCCATCTGCACTGAGTTCCCTTTTCCATGATTGTTATCATGGACTTGAACTTACTGACCTGAAGTTTCTTATTTTCTTTCTAAATAAAAGCAGTTATCCCCACAGGAAGTAAAGCAGACTTGGCTAAAGACAGTACAAATTACAAAATAAGAGCATAAAACAGTTTTGAAATGCAAAATAACGGAATGTCAAACGCAATTTATTCCCAAATACATCAAACATTCTTTGGCAGAACATACACTGCAAAAAAAACAACAACGCTTTAGGGTGATTTATAATTAGTTTACAATCCTCTCAGCACTCTGCAGCAGAAAACCGCTGTAGAGGAAATGTAACAGTGACTAGAATCGACCCCATTATTCAAACACTCAGACCAAATACCAGAAGTTGACACTTTATAATAATGACATAAACCATCCTGACGTTTCTTCTTCAGGGCTTTAGAGACAAACATGGCTGACTTATTAATGATTCATTCTCCACTACTCCTCAATCACATCGTTTATCTGTGCTCCTCCAGGGTGTTTTTAAATCTGCCAACTTCAAGAGCCAGTGTACCCTAGATTTTAGTAAATACATGTATTTTCTTGGGGAAAAGCAACGCTCCTGCGTTGTCGTTTTGGGGTCGAAATCTCCAAAAAAAAATGGATGTAAAAGATGTTTATTTTCATTCCAGCTTTAAAAAATCTCTCTAAATCAGCCGATATATCAGCAACTGTTGAGTTTTTCTCCTCTAAAATTGGTTTATATCTCAGTTTAGCAGTATATTTCATCATCACTCTTTGTCAAAATCTACATGTTTGGATGTCTGCCTTCAATATGCATTCAGTTTAATAGAAACAGAAGTTTGATTTTGTTTTTGAGCAGTTATCAGACCATTATTAGACTCTCAGTCTTCAAAGCAGCGCAAACACGGCGTGGATAATTAGCAAAAATATTAGATCAGCGTCTGAAATCGATCCTCTTCACCTTTAAAGGGCTGGCTGATAATGCTCTCATTGATAGACGCTCGGCATGAGTTTGAACGGAGCGTGTTATCGTAAGAGAACATCTCATGTCCCGATGCGGACGGCGTGAGTCACAGGAGCCTTTCCGTGTTCAAACATCCCGTGTGACGTCATTTCTCGGAAGAGGGGTCACGGTCTGTCCCCTGACTCCTGTGGAGATCAATGCAGAGTTTGTTTGTTTGTGTTTCTTTAAAACTTCTCTCCCTTTTTTTTTTTTTTTTTTTTAGTCAAATGCTGTGAAGATGTCATCGAGGTTGCAAAAGAAGCCAGGAAGAGAAACCTGGGTCCTCTTCACCCGACGTTCAACCTGGTCAAGGTGATCAAGACCGGTCTGGATCGGGACCTGCCGTCGGACGCTCACGTCCTGGCGTCGGGGCGGCTGTGCATTTCTTTGACCCGAGTGTCAGACGGGGAGAACGTGCTGGTGTCGGATTTCGACTCCAAAGATGAGCTCATCCAGGTGAGGGGAGGTTACTGACATGACAGAGCAAGTCCGCAACACTGCAGTAACGAGGCGCTGCTGTCATTCATATTGATTCTGCAATGGCGTCATATCAGTGTCCACATTGCGTTGCAGTGTCCAGTAGTTGGAAGGGAAAGAGCACGGCAAAGCGGGAGCTCCACATACACACACAGTCAGAAACGCACACACTCAGCGCTGCACGCCCCTGTTGGCTCTGCCGATCCTGTCTCGCCCCTAAGACGCCTCTGGAGGCACAGAGGGGGGGGATCACTTCCTCCCACTATTACACCTCAGTAACGTTCATATTGAAGCTGAAACGTCACCGGGATGTAAAGATCGCGCCTTGGAACAGCAGATGGAAGAGGGCTAATGTCAGGTTGGTTTGCAGGGTGTTGCTGACATTAGCAATGCGGGTAGCACCACCGGCCTTCCATCCTCCAATGCGTAACGTTGTAACACATTGCACTGGACGAGTGGTTTAAAATCCGTTTAACTTGACACATCCGTCACTGTGCTGGAGGGACGGCGTCTGTGTCTCTTCCTCTAACTTTGAGTTTTGTCCGTAGGCGCTGATCTGCAGCTGCTTCATCCCGGTCTACTGCGGCCTGATTCCTCCGTCCTTCAGAGGAGTGGTAGGTGACAAGTTGCTTCTTATCTCTTCTTAAAATGCACAAAGTGGAAGTCACATTGACTTTTTATATCGTGCGAAAGCTTCTTTTTTTTTTTTTAGGAAAAGTAAATCAGCATGTGACGGAAGTGAAAAAAGGAGAAGGACGTTTGAAGCTGCAGCAATAAGCACACATAAACAGAAACTTCCTCACGAGCTTTATCGTGTTGCATAAGAAGAAGTCTGTGTTCGAGCTGCTGCGATCTTAAGCAACACATCTTTAAATTAAAAGTGAAATCTAAAATGCGACTCTGCTGACCTCACTACTACACCAACAGAAAATGGCACAGGTGTAAAGTCCAGGTTCAGAGTGCAGCACTGCTGTGAGATCATCTTATTAGTCATTTCCATGTTTTGAAAAAGAGCTGCAGTTGTCATTTTATCTTATTTTGCTGCTGATGTCGGATCTGGCTTCATTTGGACTTTGGCACTGATCTCAGTCAGAGCTTTGATTTCTCTGTTCGCGTGCAGCACTGAGCAGAGCAGCGTGGGTTATTCACAAACACAGCACAAACATCAGACACATTAGATTAAGATGACGTTATGAAGACGTAACACAGAGCAAAGGGCAAGTGCTTTTTAATGAAGGCAGATAACAAGTTATCAATAAGATTACTTCACATTTGATGGGATTGTATGAATGAATGAGTTGTTAATGAATATAAGGGAGTCGACTTAGGGCGCCTCTATTTGTCATGGATGTGTTTGTAATGTCATCTAAACTTTCTGACAACATTAAAGAGAGAACAGTTCTATACCAAGCTGATGCTGAAGTGCAAAATCCTGCAGTTCCTCGAGTGTCCACTAGAGGCTGGCTGCAGAAGCACAGGAAGTCACATACACACCCATTCTAAAAAGCCTGTTTTTACAGCAGAGATCAACATGTTTACAGCCTGGTTCAAAAAACAAACAGGTCTGATTAGCTCATGTCTCAATCGGCACACACTGTACGGGGGAGGTGAATGTTTTGATGACTCATCAGTTTTGATTTGATGAAGGATACGTATTATCCAAAGTTAAGCACGTAGCTGACTTGATTGTCAGATGGGCACGATGTAACGGTTTGTCAGTAGGTTTAAAACCCGCCTCAGCTCCAGCTCTCAGCCTGTCGTTAGGTTGACTGAAAGTTAGACTGAGACAGCATTTCCAGCATGGAGACCACCATCGATGGGACTCCAGCGCCCCCTGCAGGAACAGACGGCTGACGTCACTCAGGCTTCAAACATTCATATTTACAGTCTGTGGTCTATAGTTGCCTTGATCAGTCGGTAAATGTGTGTTGCTGTGTTGTGTTGGACACTAGCTACACCTCGAATACAAAGGAGTCACTCAAAAATGAAGAATCAAAACGAACGACTGACGTTCAGTCTAAACTCTTCCCATGAATAGAGCTTGTTGTCTTTGTTTGGGTGACAAAGTCTGGTGTAAAAGACGGCACAGAAAACCCAGCGACACCAGTAAACGGCTGCTGGATTCTGATAAACCGTCTATAAGATGTCTACATGTCCATCTTCTGTCTGTAAGACGTTATCTGTGGATTCTGTACATCGTGTACGCTCACAGCTCAGTCAGCTGTGACTCACTCACTTTATGCATGAGTGTGCAGCTTTCTGAAGCACGGCACCTCGTGGTCTAACAGCGCTTTGAGCAGCTTGAGTGATGTAACATTTGTCAAAACTAATTCTGGCCGCTTGTACCCGCGATCTTGTTACAAGTTTCCTCTGGAGGGTGTCTGGGTTCATCCTTCGAGACAGGGTGAGGAGTTCACAGGGGAGCTCTGAGTAGGGACGCTACTCCTTTACATCGAAGGGACCCAGTCGAGAAGGTTTAGGCATCTGATTAGGATCCGCCTGGAACGCCTCCCTTTGGAGGTTTTCCAGGCACACCCAACTGGGAGGGGACCCCAAATACACCCAGAGTTCCCATGAGGGATTATATATCCAGTCTGGCCTGGGAACGCCTCGAGATCCCTGCAGGAGGAGGAGCTGGAAAACGTTGCTGGGGAGAGGGTTTGACCTACTTCGCCTGCCGACCTCGGATAAGCAGAAGAAAAAGGATTCATGTTTTAAAAAAGCCCCCAAAACAAACTCCAAGAAGTTTATTTTAACACTTCATTCCTGGTTTTGTAATAATATCCAACAAAGTGACTCGTGTAATTTTAAAGTCTGATAAAGGTGCTTCAGATTACTTAATTCTTTTTTTGTGTTAATGTTCAACCAGCACCTGATACATGACAGGCGTGCATGACTTTAACGAGTTGAGGAAGATATTGGGAATGTTTACAGTTTTTTTTTATAGAGCTGAAAGTTGAAGCAGTGACGGAGGACTTTTGCTCTATTTTCAACCACAAAGAATTTGGAAGCAGCTGTTAGAAAACTGTCGACTGTAGTTATGTAATAATAATTATAACCTTACATAACTATCGTCACCGTTGTGAGAAACCAGACAAGGCAAAGCTAAGATTACTCGTATCAAAGTTGACATCATTCTGGGTTTCTGGCATTTAGTTGAAATGATTTTTGAACAGTTTGTGACTAAGACGTGTTCTGTCCTCCCACAACCACGAAAACGGAGCTTTAAGCTAAAGCAGCATGCTAACACAGACAATGCTAACATGTTGATCCTTTGATTCCTGGCAACTTAATCTCAAGCATTAGGGCGAGGCAAGTTTATTTATGGAGCGCCATTCATACATGGAGCAACTCAAAGTGCTTAAGACAGGTACAAGAAACAACATTAAAATAAAGACAACACATTAAAAAAATATATATTAAAGGTGACATATTCTCCTCCTTATCAAAAAGTGTTAATAAGTCTCAGAGCTCCTCCAAACATGTCTGTGAAGTTTCTTGTTCTAAATCCACTCTGATCCTGTATTTGATCATGCCTATGAACCCCTCTATTTCAGAACAGAGAAGCCAGCACTTCAACATAGCATGTTTCCTTAATGTCTGATCATATAGTAAGGTCACTTTATAATTTCACTCACTACACATCTTACTGACTTTTGTTTATCTGCTTTTTTTTAACTTATTTCGGTGTGCATTCGTCTTTAAATCGTTTTCTTTGAGAAACAACAGATTTGGCTGAGAGATGTTGTATAAAAGTTTGATTGATTGAAAGAGGCCCAGCGCTGATGTCATAATCAAATATGACACTTGGTTTCATTTTTAGAGCAGGAGTGTCAAAGTACGCTCTATGATTCACGCTGAACGATCCCGACCTCCGTTCCCTCGCTGACCCACATTCAGTCTCGTCGAGGCTGCGTGTGACACAGCTGGCAGCATCTCTGGGATTTTTACCCCCCCGCCACTTTAGAGCAAGGTTAATTCCTTCTCTGCAGCGTTTTAAGCCCTTCAAACAAGAAACCGTCCTTTCGTTTTACAGATTCTACGGAGATTAAACCTGAGAGGAAAGCAAAGCATTTTATTACACAGATTTAAAAAAAAAAAAAAAAGGTCTCTCAAATTTGAGTCGATTGCACATGAATCAAATTGTAGAGTTTTAACATGGCAATGGGGTTTTTGTTTCTTTGGGTCATTATTTTTGTAAGGCTGAAGAAGGTCAAAACTTTACATATAAAGTAACCAAATCTCTGCACTTGTGCCTTTTAAATTTTTTCATTGCTGCGACATGTGCACAGAGCGATGCAGGATCAACAGCACGGCAGGCTGCGAAGTCAACAAGAACTTAAATGACCTTTTCATTATCACATGGAGCTGAATCATCCGCAGAGGTCTCCTCTTCTCGTAATCCAACAGACCGTGTCATTTAAAGACTTAAATCGATGAATTAAAGCAGTTTCACGCTGACGATCTGTGTGGGGTTTTTGACACTCTTTGTTTCTCAGACACAGAAGGTCAGGATGCTCAGAGTGTTTTTAAGGTGAATAATCTGACAGTAGGATTTAAGATCAATGTTCAGAGGTTTGATGTTTTATTTCTCTTTGTATGAAGCTGTGTATGTTTAATCTGTGTGTCTCCAGCGATACGTGGACGGCGGGATCAGCGACAACCTGCCGCAGTCGGAGCTGAAGAACACCATCACCATCTCGCCCTTCTCTGGCGAGAGCGACATTTGCCCACGGGACAACTCCACCAGCTTCCACGAGCTGCGCTTCACCAACACCAGCATCCAGATGAACCTGGGCAACATGTACCGCCTCAGCAGGGCGCTGTTCCCACCTGAGCCAAAGGTAGGTAACAACACCACAGGGACTTTCTGCTCTTACAGACCAAGGAAAAGGAGGGGAACATTTTTGTTTCTGGAGAGCATTTAATGTCATGTGTGGTTGAAAAGGTGAATTATAAATGTTGCTTTGGTCTGAATCCTGAATACTCACAGAGTAAATCTGCAGAGTGTCTCTAATCTCTGGAAACTTTGTACGTGACAGAGAAGATTGTAAATACTGCGGTGCAGTTTCCATCAACTCTCAGCTGACGGTCCATTTTTCCACTCTTCAACACCGGTGTTGTGAAGAGACTCTTTTCTGCAAAATGACCGTGTAATGCCTGTGACAGTGTCAGTGAACCACTGCCTCGTTAAAACTCCCATGAACCTCTGCAGACTGTAGTCGAGACCTCTCGGCTTCTTTTGGTTTCGGATGTAAAACGCTGTAATTATCAGTGGTAAAATTGCAGCTGCAGGAGCCCGACATAAAAGTATCATAAACTTTAATCTGCAGTGAGCTAATCAACCAACTCCCTCTCTGAGGTGGAAGATGAGGTTTTAGGATAAAGAACATGCCCGAGCACGGAGAGGATTTAAAGGCCCACTGTCACATGTCGGTAAAAACGCCTCTTTATAAAGAAATATCTCTCGTGGTTTTTGCCCTCCTTACTTCCTCCTTATCTTCCTCTGACTGTAAGACGTGTGCTCCCTGATTTCTCCCCAGCTGTTGCCCGTTTTTTATCCCCCGTCTTGTTTTTTTTCCTGTCGCTGTGTTAGGTAACCTCTGAGATGAGGTGAGCTTTGTCCTTGTTGGAGTGGTGGCGCCGTGTTTGTTGTGTGTCGTTGTGACACATTCAGGCTCCTCCTCCTTCTCCTCATGACCCCTCCCCTCACGTGTTACTTGTGTGTTTTATTGCCTCTGCAATACCGTCTGGATCCCACGGTTATGTAACCGGGAGCACGAGTGCATATCGGAAGTGGGCAGGTTTGTTGGGACACTTTCCTGGAGGGAGGAAAAGCTTCTCAGTACCCGGCTGCATGAGAACCGGCCTGAGGGGCAGTCCCAAGAATCAAATGTCAAATCAAACACAGAGCTGTGCTTGTGTTTTAACACATAATTGTGGTTTGTGTGGCTGTGAGCTGATCTCTTGATGTCAGAGTTGTATTTTATTGGACGAGTTTCTCTTATCCAATGAAAGAAATAAACTGCAGGTTGTCATTTTTAAAATGTCACTACTAAACTTATAAAAATGAAAAGATATGGAAACCTGTTTCGACATCAAGGAAGCAAAAATCAGAAGTCCGAGGCACCAAATCCTGGGCAATTTATTGATTTTAGGGACTAAAAATTGCATGCAATCTCCTGCACTCTGTCTTTATTGAACATATATTTAAATGTGTGAGTGCAATTTAGCCAGTGCTGTCTGCGGGTTAAGAATACGACTGAAGGGGCTCCTGTAGCATAGTGGTTAGTGCAGGCGGTCTGGGTTTCGGGTCCGGCCTGTGGCTCATTACCCCACTCTCTCTGTCTCTCTCTCTCTCTCTCTCTCTCTGTCTCTCTCTCTCTCTCTCTCTCTCAAAATAAAAACCTTTAAAATAAGACATGGGACTGAAGATCCTTGGGAGAAAGTTTTGTTTCGGTTTTCGTTCTTTAAGTCTCTCCCGCTGCTTGTGTGGGTCACGTGAGAGGCTTTTAAAAGGGAGTGAAGAGAAGCCTCATATGGATGTTTGCTTTCTTTCTCTATAAACCCTGAACATATTTTGAAGCTTCAGGGCTTGAACGACAAAGCGGTGACATCTAGTGGCTCATTACAATCACTGCAGCAGCACGATGGGAAAAGGTGTTGGTGTTTTAGAAGTCGTAGTCTGCCCTGTTTGTTCCTGCTCTGACTAACTGCCTCCTTTTTCAGGAAGAGAGTCAACAGTCCTGTTATGAAGATCAACTTTATTAACTTCACCAGACCGACGTATTTTGGCTTGTGGCCTTCATCAGGGTCATGATGAAGACCACAAGCCGAAACACGTCGGTCTGATGAAGTTAACAAAGCTGATCTTCATACTTGAAGTGTTGCCGGATCTACTCCGAGCTCCTCATCCTCTGTCTACCACCCTCCAGAGGAAACTCATTTTGAATGAAAAATTGTCTTTTATTGCATGATTTCAACTAAAAATTACAGCGACATTCAATGTGAAGAATCAAAACTGTGAACCAGATTAAAGCCTGTTACCGCTTTTATTTATTTTTCTGTTCTAAAAGTCGTTCTGTTTCTTTCTTCAGGTCCTGGCTGAGATGTGTCAGAGCGGTTATAAAGATGCTCTGCGCTTCCTGGAGGAGAACAGTGAGTTTATCTACGACTGTCTATGAACATTATCTCATTATGATACGCCCCGGTAATAATCCGGGTAAACCTTTGGACCGTCACTGATGTCGTCGTGTTTGTTTGTGTCCTCAGACCTGTTGATGCTGCAGCACCCGACCTCGGGCCCCGCCCTGCAGGAGAGCTCGCCCTCCTGCTGCTGCAAAGAATCAGAGACCACCAAAGACTGGGTGCTGCGGAGGCTCCGCCTGCTGAGGAAACAGCACTGGTGGCTGGACGAGCAGATCGCTCTGCCCACGCCCATCAAGAAAGGTACGTTGTCATCTCCAGCTGGTTAGAGATTAAGAGTTTGCAAATTGAGTAAAAAACTGTTGGACCTGCTGTGTTGTTGACTATGTGCCGTGTGTGTATGTGTGTTTCAGTGTTCTGCGAGGCCTGTCAGGATAAATCCGGCCTGTACACCAAAGTGTCCGGGATGCTGCCGATGAGAGTGGCCTCCTACATGCTCATGCCGTACACTCTACCTGTGCAGTCAGCCTACTCAGTGGCTCAGAGGTGAGTAGACGTTAGAGATTGTGTGAAAGAAGAGGGTCTGAAAGGTTGCTTTTTCTGTACTGGCCAGCAGGGGGCGACTCCACTGGCTGCATTAAGGATTGTTAAAAAAGCCTGTGAGAACACCAGCCTCCTTTCTCTCGTGATTTATTCCTCAGTAAATATTTCCCGAACGAGTTTATGATCTCAGTCTTTATCAAAACAGCATGATGTTCATTTAGTACGTTATAGTCCCAGTTAGAGTCAGATAGACCATGACGCCTGGAAGAAGACTGGGTGGGGGGGTTACCTGTGATTGACATGTCACTACCTCAGAAACCTGAAAATGTCGCCCTAATCAAGCCATGATATCATTGCATTTAAAGAGACACACACACCAAACGGAGCGTTCTGAGAGAGCTGGTTTATACAGGGTCACAAACCTCATCTGGTGCTTGATTCATGTTATATTTTGACCAAAGCACAGCACAGATGTTTCATTTAGACCACAGGAAACTGTTTGAAAAGGTGGAGAAGGGGGATAATATGTCCTCTTTAAGAACTGGATTTGGGACTTCAAAACTGAGCCTGATCAGTCGGAAAAGAATTGCTCGCCTGGCAGATATTCCAAACGTTTCCACTTGGGGGGGGGTTACTTTCAGGTTGAGCATCAGCCCCCCTAATAATGTGCTGTAAAATGTTTCCCTTGTTATTCACCCACAAGTCCCCTCTCAGCTTTTAGACAGAGCGTTTAACAAATCCTCCACAGATCAAAGATTCAGAATCAAAAGGCTTATTATTCATTTTGTTTGCACCCTGAGGCGTCCTGTGAGAACTCCTTTAGATGTGGGCCACCAGGAGGGATTGAATCATTTTATTATGTGATATTATTTTATAACTTCTGCATCTCTCACAGGTTCGTGGAGTGGATCCCGGAGGTGCCCGCCGACATGAGCTGGCTGTTTGGTGTGGCAGGAAACGTGTACCGACAGGCGTGGAAGGGAGGCACGCCAGCCACCTCTATTAGGTGACTGATGATTTCCTTTAGCCTTTAGTGTGACATGCGTCCTCACAGTATAGTTTAAAAGTTGTTTGCAGTTTGTTTTAGTTTGACCTAAGGCGTCTGTGACCCACACGCTCTGGTGATGAGGGAGGTTTTAAAACAAAATAGTGTTTCTTAATGTTGTCTAAGTGCCTCTATGCATGTGTGAGTTTTAAATGACGTAAAGTGTCGTTTGCTTCACAGTGAACCGTGCTTGAGGAAGTGCTTGAGCGAGCCGCCTCCCTCTACAGACGGCGACGAGCCAACGCAGAGAGACCACCCTCCTGCTCTTTCCTCCCTCGACCTCCATGGGAGCTACTGGGAGATCCCAAATTCTACCTCCTCTTCATCCCCTCCCCATCCTCCTCACATCGCCCCCTCCTCTCCCATGCAGGTCTGCTTCTTCGTGGGCCTGCAGGACGAGCCTCAGAGCCCAGCATAGCCGTGAGATGACCAGCACTTTAACCACAGCGGTGTCAAACATTCACCTTCTTTTGGAAGCACAATTGGTGGATTGGTGGTGAACCTTTGAATCGTTGCTCATCTTGGACTCTGTACACTCCAGACGGCACCCAGTGTCAAATATTTTAACGAGTGCTCTGGAGAGCAGCGTCACGTTTTGCTCAGGATCATGGATTTGTTTTATGACCTGTTTTTAATGTGCAGTCTCGTTTCACAGTTTGACTACAACCTTACCTACCTGTTTGTTTAAAATATTTACTCAGTTATTCTTCATTCCAGCATAATTGATCCAATTGTGTCACTTTTTCTCCGCACAATTCACTCTTTCAGTCCTTCTGATTATGTTTGTTTTCATTGTGTCACATGACGGTTTTTGGAAGCCATGTTGGACGTTTAGCGGTCCCTATGTGTAACATATCGAAGGTTCCCATGAATATAAAGAAACAGATGTTTATCATATTCCTTGCGCATCAAAAGTTGTTTTGTAGGTATTCTTAATATTTTAAAGTTTGACATTTCCTGAAAAACACAGACACATTTGTAAACCTTCACTTTGGCGTACACAAGTTTATACTCCCAGTTTACATAATTACAAATTTTAAAAATTTCACATCACTCTTTCATGACTGTACATCCTGTCGGTTTCAAGCCCCAGTGCCTGTACAAGCTAACTACATGTTAACATCCAGAGCTTGCTAGCCTTCGTGTTTTGCTGGATTTTCCATTCCTTCGACTTATTTCCGATCTTTTGATGACCACTTGTCTAACACCGTGGCCAAATACCTAGTAATTTTTTGTCACAGTGAATGGTGTTCAAATTGTTGCAACTGTTAGCATTTCTCGTTAACTAGCTTATTAGCTGTAGTAAACAAACAGTCTTTCCTGAACCAGCTGGAACATTAATATCTACTTTCATTGATTAATGTTATTTCATGAAAGGTCAGTCCATGACTAGACAATCTTTAATGTTGTTTAATTAATTCTTCAGTGGTGTGAAAGCCTGTGTCAGATGCGATAGAAGTTTTAGCTAACATAGATGTTGGCTAATGTGAACATTTGAATCCCAAAAGTATTTTTATATAATTAAATTGAGAAAGAGTAAAGCCTGATTTACCCACAATTTCTACATATTCCACTCGCCGTTCTCCAGTGGACCAATCACAGGGTTGGAGGTCTTAATCGTTTCGACGTGTAGTTACATTTTTGAGGAGGTGTACTTCAGGCGTACTTAGTCTTCTGCGTAGGTAAATCAGGCTTAAGAGAGCTGCCGAAAACTATCTTCTTTGAACAAGTATCACTCTAATCTTACAAAAAGAGGATGTGCAATAATGTGTTTATTCTCACGTCCCCCAAGGTCAGAAAAAAAAGGTGAAACATTGCTCTCAAAAATGTACATAATTTTCTAAAAAGTTGAAAGATTTGAATCTGGAGTGCTTGGAGCAGCCGCACAAAAAAGGTGTAGCTGAATTGAAAAAAGACGCTTGCGCTCAGAATAAACGCTAGTTGGACATGGGGCCTAAGACGATTGTAGGGTACCATAATCTATAGGAATGCTGGCCATAGCTAAAAAAAAAAAAAAAAACTCTAGTAGTGAGAAACTTAAGTGTCCTTTAAGCAAAGACAACAATCAAAGCCCTTAAGCTTAGAGCCAGCAACAGACCGCCATGATGGTGTCATGTTGTTAATAAGAAGATTTGAAAAATAAGGAATTTCATTTGCAATAACGGAGTTTACTAATCCTGGCTGTGCTGTCAATGAGACTGCATCCGGTGGTCGTGTAACATCAGTGTTATCAGTGTTTTTCAAAATGGTCTGACCTTTGACTTGTGAATCTGTCATTTATCACTTGAATGTAAAGTTGTGTTAATGCACTGTGACTTTCTCTTTAGATTAAAATCTTTGAAAATGATTGGCTGTTCATCAAGTTTTTTCTGCAGGTGATGAAATATTCACCTTGATTTTTAACACATTACAGCATTCAAAGACCTTAATCCTGGCCTGGAAAAGGAAGAGGATATGGAGCCCCTAAAGGAACATGGATTGAAATCATAAAAATGTGAGTGCAGAGTCCTCGAGCAGGAACTGACTCTAAGGAGGATGTCAATCTGCCTTGCAAAGCAACTAAGAACAACAAATCAGTCAACAAACAAAGGCTTGATTTGGATCAAAACCTCTTATAATTAAGGATACATTTTTAGCCTTTTCTACCCTCCCACTGTCCCACATAACACAAGATTCTGATGGCAAATACCACATATTACCATCAGTGACCTTTTGTGACGCACAATGGACACTTTCAATCTCATCCATTGACTCGTCCTCCTCTGTTGCTCAACACTCCCATATTTTCAGCTCTGACTCCAAGATCTTAGTCAGGCTCTCCTCACGGTGTCGGATCAACCTGCCCTTAGTTTCATGATTTTCTGATGGACTGGTTTCTTCCATTTTTCTACTTCCTGTCTGGGTCAAAATAGCCTGTACCTCTTTCTGATGGTGTCTTTTGATGAAAATATATATATTTTTTAAATCTGTCACTAAACCAAAATGTTAGTCACGGTATGTAGAAAATCTTTCTACTGTGTGTTAGTTGTGTTCTGAACCTGCCTTTCTTTGTCTTTATTTTTCCTGTAAAATAAGTATAAGGCCATGAGGGAATCGTGACGTCATTAAGCGCACAGTTTCAGAACGCTGAGATAAAGGTGCGTTCAAATCCTATTCCAGTGCCGGAAATCTGCCAATTTAAAATGTCAACCAGGGAAGCGAAAACATCCAAAAATGTAAACTTGCCGTATCTTTGAATCTGTAAGAAACAGAGGATTTAAAACTTAACTGTGATGAAACGAGACAAGTAGAAAAAAAGGGCAAGCCCGTTGAATGTATGTATTTAAATTAGCCTGCATTTACATAGTGTGGGAAGTTTTCACGTCAATATATGCCTTTTAATAAGGTCTTTTTCGGTTGCTACAGTGCGTTGCTTAACAGTTAGTTAACACCAAAGTAAGAGTTGTCTAGTTTCGTTTTAAACAACAAAAAACAACACATATCGTGTTCCAATCGTCTACAATGTTCCTACATTACGACTGACTCGTAAACGCACCCCTCTCGGATGTTGGCTGATGATGAGACGCTCTGCGCATGCGCCCTGGCTCATCAACAACATCAGGAGGATGGCGGAGGACGGTAAGGAAGAGTCGGTGGCCACTGACGACGACTCAGACCTCACAGCTGCCGATACCAGCCTGAGCATCACGGTAAGAGCAGCTTCCTCCTCCCGTTTTATTCACTTTATTCACCACATCTCTCCTACGACACAACAGGACGGCGGGTAACGGTGCTAACGCTAACTTAGCAGAGCTCGAGCTGTGCCCATGTTTTTTTCTCGGTATAAACTTTATTTAAATCATCGTTCAGGACAATTAACAATTTTACATCCTTGTACTTAAATTTAACAAAGTTACAACTGAGTAGTTTGTGTCTGTGAGAAGTTACAACACTTAATTATATTAAAAGAAAACAAAGCAAAGCTGTTATTTAATCACCAATAAACCAAATACACAATATAAGGCATTCAAAATAAATCTTTAATCAGGATTACATTTTTAAAGCTTTCTTGTTGATGATTAGACACAATTGTGTTGCGAGGAGTGTGCAGACGAGGTGTGAAAAATGAGGTCTCAAAGAGCTGTTTCCAGAAGTTTTCTAATGATACTGTGTGTCCTGATTGTTAAGGTGGTGGAGGAGGGCTCCACTCTGATGCGCAGGATGGAGATCTGTGTTGCCGAGGCCGAGAAAAGGAGCGGGAAAAATGCAGTCAACATGCAGGAGACATTCACCGTGTATCTTGTGGAAACACGGTGAGGATAACACGTCCCCTATCATCAGCTTAAAGGTCACATATTCACAAAATCCTCTTCTCCAGGTTCCTCTAACTCTTATAATGTGTCCTTAGTCTGTTTACAAACCCCACAATGATAGAAAAGTCTATCCTGTCCGTCTTTTTCCTGCTACACTTCTTTTTAGAAATTGTGTGCTCAAACAGGCCGATTTTCCCTTCATGACATCACAAAGGGCAGTAACCCCTCCCCCAGGTGGGTGACACTCCCACAGCTAGGTGTTTGTTCTGCCCTCTGAGTCTGCCTTCTCACCGTAAACAATAGGACATGTAGTGAGAAAGCCCGAGCCACCTAAGCCCTTCCAGAGAGGGGGCGTGGTCAAACACAGCTCATTTACATATTTAAAGGTACAGACACAGAAACAGCCTGTTCTGAGCAGGGCTGAAATAGAGGGGTTTATAGGCATGATCAAATACAGGATCAGAGTGGATTTAGAACAAGAAACTTCACAGACATGTTTTGAGGAGCTCTGAGACTTAATTAAACTGGTTGAAGAGGAGGAGGATATGTGACCTTTCAGTGAAGGGCTGAACTGTGTGTTGAACTGAAATGTGAATTGTGTTGCATAAATCCACTTCTGTCTTACTTCCCTGTGCAAAAATAACTTTTCTGTGGCCAAATCTTCAAAGGCCCATGGATGCAATCGCTGAAGGTCGTAACCTAGCCCCGGACTCTCTGTGGAGGAGATACAGTGAATTTGAACTTCTGAGGAACTACCTGATCGTTACCTATCCATACATCGTGGTCCCCCCGCTGCCTGAGAAGAGGGTGAGTAGAGTTTTCCAAACCCAGTGAAGTATATTTGCTGCTTGATACAAAACAAAAAGCATGATTCAAATTCTCCATGGCTAACCAAGATAAAAAGTACTTCTGAAAACACCTCAGAGGTGCAACCCATCCCGCTGAGAGCGTCATAAACTGATGGGACTGTCTGCAGAGTCTGACTGTGAATGCACACGATGCAGCCGCTCACACAGATAATGTCGCCTAGTTGTCAGAAGCCTACATTTGGTTATGCAAGGTGGCTTTTTCTTGTCTGGATGGCTTCTGGTGCAAAAAAGTGTACGGGCTGAAAGATGCGCAACTTTGCAAAAATTTAGTTTCTTTTTTCTCTTGCATGCAGGCGGAGATTGTTTGGCACAAGCTATCGGCAGACAACATGGACCCAGACTTTGTGGAGCGCCGGAGGGTCGGGCTGGAGAACTTCCTGCTCCGTGTGGCCTCACATCCGGTCCTCTGCAACGACAAGATCCTCTACCACTTCCTCACCGAGGTACGGGCTTGCAGCTGGGGATCGCTGCAGCAGTTCAGATCATCATCAATCGATCCTCTGAATTATTGGCTAACTTTTTTCTCTGCGGTGTTCGGCAGGAACACGGCTGGAAGGAGGTGGTGTATGAGACAGGATTTCAGGCAAAGGTAATGACGCCTCTGTGTTTATTTTAACAATGAATCCACGCAGAGATTCTGGATGATCACAAGGCTTGATCTTTTTCAGGCAGATTCCAGACTGAGAGCGCTGAGTGCCACCTTCAGGGTGAGGAGTCCAGATAAGTAAGTGTGAAGATGTACTGAAAAAAGTCTATGCTGAGAACGTTTATGCACTGGTTTGTTCTAGGGATGCATCCGTTTCAATTTAATGGTGACATCTCGTACACCAAACTCTGATTTGTCAAACCTGAGAGAATGTTTGGTCATTGTGGGAATCGGCAGTCTGCTAAATTGTTTTTTTCAAACATCAGTATCAGTATCTGCCCTGATTTTTGCCCGATCGTTGCATCTTTAATTTGTTCCATTAGGTTGCTGACTTGTCTTTACACACCATTCTGTCAGGACCTAAAGACAGTTTCAACCAATTTAAACCAAAATCTTAAAAAGTGTTACTGTTTTCATGTATGGATGAATGACTACAGCACCTTTAAATAACATGGTAGACTGTAGCTAAAGAAGAACATTTAAACACTTTATATTCTCTCACTCAGGAGATTCTTGGAGATGAAACACTACAGCGATGAGCTGCAAGCTCACACATCTCAGCTGCTCAGAGCTCGAGCGGTAAGTCTATCTCACACACACACACACACACACACACACACTCTGTCATGGACACAAAGAAGGACTCGATGTGTATTTGTAGGGCATTCAAAAGACTGATTTGAAACTTTAAACGTGCAGTATGTACATTTCGCCACCAGGGGGCTCTCAATCAAAACAATACCCTACACTTTGTACTCTTTTTTTTCATGGGGTTTTTTTTCTGTCTCTTTCAGAGGGTCGCTGATCGACTCTACGGAGTTTATAAAGTCCACGGGAACTATGGAAGAGTCTTCAGGTTTGACAACAAACATTCCTATATTTATGTGTCTGTGCATGGCTCAGGTGGACGTAGATTATTGATTAAAGGCAAATTCATATGATAATAGTAATAACAACCTACCCTAACCCTAAATTCTGGTCGGCATTTTTTGTTTTGGATTTCTTTAAAACACTGAACACAGAAGTTTCCTGTAAAAACGAAAGTATGTATAAGACACAATTCAGCAGACGGCGAGCGTTTCGAGGGGCTGCTCGGCGAGCTGCCAGTTACATTAGCTTTTAATCCTGCACAAGTGTTTTTTTAACGAGCCAAGTTATTGGTAAAGATGACAAACTCTTTTTCCTCACTAAATGTGTTTCCCTGTGTGTGTGCATTTGTGTGTCTCCTGTGCACTGCAGTGAGTGGAGCGCCATAGAGAGAGAGATGGGAGACGGACTGCAGAGTGCGGGTCATCATATGGATGCGTGAGTATCAAACACAGAAACACGTTCTGTCGGATTGTTAGAAATCTTTGTCGCTTTTGAAGACTGATTTCATTTATTGTGACATTTCTGCAGATATGCTGCTTCTATAGATGATATCTTAGAGGAGGAGGAACATTATGCCGACCAAATCAAAGAGTATCTCTTCTACGCTGAAGCTCTGAGGTGAGACTCCAAAATCATCTTAACCAAGCACCGTAAAATCTGGTGTAACTGCGCTGCGTCTTGTACATCTGCAATATAGCAGAATAAAATGCTGACACACACCCCGCCATTACCACGAGTGCAGCCGCCAACATCACACACTGCACTGAGGTCATAATCCTGCTTTTAAATAAAACAGGTAAACTGTTCAGTAAGTAAAGCTTGTGGAGCTTCTTTGATTGAAAGAGTCCTATATCAAAGTTAAAGAGTGACCAGCAAAGTTGGGCAGCGCGACTCGCGGGCTCTGGGTCTACGGGCTACTTCACAACTTTCACCGTAGGCTGAGAGCTTTAGCTAGCGTACTCAATCAATCAATCATTATTTGTAAAGCGGCAATTCATGACAAGTGTTATCTTGAGACGTTTTACAAAGAGCAGATGAGATAATATGCAGGAAGGATTTCTCCTTTGTATTCCTCTCGTTCCTGTTGTCCACACGTCCTTGCCGCTGAGGTCGCAGGTCGGAGCAGGCCGACCTGAAATTGTGAGAAATGTATGAAAAAATCTCTTCCATATTTGTGCCGGCGACTGTATCGACACTCCTTATAACGGTATGAAGGTTTCTCTGTGAAGCATGTGTATAAAAACCCAAGCATACTGTGATGACGTTGAACTTTCCTGCAGAATGTCTCTCTGACTGACACTCTGGAGATCTGTTCCTTCTACTGACAAAGAAGAATAAATAACAGTTCATAGCAATGTACTGTAGCTAGTAGGAGTGCAAACCTCACAAAGCGAAAACAGATGGTCCTAAAAGAGCGACGCAAAAACTGCACGTTGTGGACTTTGCTGAACAACCATTAAAAACTTTTTTTTTTCTCTGGGCGATCTCTGAAATCAGACTGCGTCTTATAAACGTGATTTTAGGGAATTCTGTAGCAACTTAATCCGTCCCGAGCTGAAGCCTGAGACAGCACTTAAGGTTTTTCTTACGCCACGCTACTTTAAGGCATCATAAACTTGTGTTTATGTCGCAGAGCAACGAGCGACGATATTTTGCTGCTCACTCATTCACTTCTTCAAAGGTTTGTCGTTTTTGTGAACACAGCAGATAATGAAAACGTTGAACTCTTGGCTGTGGCAGGGCAGTGTGCAGGAAACATGAGCTGACCCAGTTCGAGCTGGAGATGGCGTCCCAGGACCTCGTCTCCAAGAAGCAGCAGCGTGAGGAGCTGGCTACAGGGGTAAAATAATACTCCACATGACTTTCCCTTTGTGTCGTCAAGAGGATTATTACAGATGTTCAAAACTCTCTGTGTTTCCATCGTCCTCAGATTGTGCGCACGTTCTCCTTCAAAGGGATGACCAACAAGCTCTTTGGGCAGGAGGCTCCTGAGCAGCGGGAGGCCAGACTGAAGCTGCTGGAGGAGCTGATCATAGAGGGGGAAGACACCGTCAAGGAGAAAACTGTTGAGTGCGAGTGAGTCATGCATGCTGCTTTGTCGGCAGATTACAGCAGCCTTTAAAGAGGATATGTTATCCCCCCTCTTCCATCTTTTCAAACAGTCCCCTGTGCTCTAAATGAAACATCTGTGCTGTGTTTTGGTCAAAATATATCATGAATCAAGCACCAGAGGAGGTTTGTGACCCTGTATAAACCAGCTCTCTCAGAACGCTCTGTTTTGGTGTGTGTGTCTCTTTAAATGCAATGAGCCCCCCCCCCCCCCCCCCTGAGTTTTCCCAGCAGACATCATTAGCGAGTATAAAAATGGCGGACCTGCGCAAAAGTTTTGCTCTAGGCTGGAGGTGGAGTCCATGGGTGGAGATACCAGGGGAGGGGAGGGGATTGTTGTACCAGAATCCCACTGTGATGTCACAAGGAGAGCAGATTTGAAACTGAGCATTTTTCTCTGTGTTGTAAGACTTATGCAGACCTCAAACAAAGGACTGGATGGGTTTATTTCATAGTTTGTGGGTCAGTAGACACTCAGGTTACCCAAATATATGTTCAAGAACACTGATGAAGTGGATTTTTCAGAATATGTCCTCTTTAAAGGAAAACATTTTTTTTCTTGAAGCTGACTACTATATTTAAAGATTTTAACATTCAAAACTTTAAAACAAGAGACGGCCCAGATTGGAACTCTGGATGTCATCTTCTTTACAAAACTAATCTTATTGGATGTGATTGTCCGCAGAGAGCATGTTGAACGTGCGTGGGTGGACATGCAGCGCTTCAAGGAGCAGAAAGACAAAGACCTGCGGGAGGCGCTCATCAACTACGCCGTCATGCAGATCAGCATGTGCAAAAAGGTAAAGCTCCGTTATCTGACCGGTTACACAACTGTTCTGACGCTTCAAGTGTTTTTAATCGCTCTCTGTCTCTGCAGGGAATACAAGTGTGGAGCAACGCCAAAGACTGTTTCCTCAAGATGTAGAAGACGCCCTATTCACGAAGAGGACACCCGCTGGGAGAAGTAAAGCAATTTAAAGATTGTGTGGTTTTCACAAGGTTTCTATACATGCATTAAGTTTACATTTTGGGAATTAATGAGGCCGGAAAAAGCTTTTTTGTACAATGTGATGTGCAGGACTCACGATTCTTCAGAGATTGACTCTCAACCCCAATTTTCACATTCTCCGAGGGCGCTGCTGTCCTTCAGCGCTGCACACTACAATGAAGCAATACCGCGGTCCGTCTCGGGAGCGTGCCAGCAGCGCCACTACGCCCAGCTCCGTTTCAAATACGCTGCGAGTCTCATGTAGACCGAGCTCGCTGCAAGCACACGTCAAGCTGGACAGAATAGAATGACCTGAACAGAAAGTTAGGCAATGCGCACAGAGCGTCCGGTCAATTTCAAAATACAACACAATATACGGACTCACAATCGTCATCCTCAGAAATACAAAGCAACATGTTTGCGCGTCTTGTAGTTCTCCAGTGATGTGCGTACGGCTGCTCATGACTCACATTCCAGAAACTGATCCAGTGGGGCAGGACGCACAGTGTCTGATGGAGCAAACCGTGGTGCTGTCAGGCCGCAGCGCAGGACGGAGTATGTGGACATTGGGGGACAGAGTTTGGCTGTCTCAGACACAGCAAGGCTTTTCATTATAACCTTCAGTCAAGCTATGATACGAGTAAAAATCAAACAATAATAATAATTGTTTCGATTCAACGGCAACAGAAATAGAAGTCCTCGTCACCCTGTGTGAGGTCGTTTCTTGTTGATGACTGCAGTTTCAACTCCTGTACAGTCTCAATTCTCAAACAGCGAAACATTGCTAACAAATTTGTGCAATTTGAAAAGTGTTGAGGAGTTGGCGTACAATTTTGAACCAAGTCTTTCCTCTCCAAAGAACCTTTCCTATGATAAAGATGTAGTTTTTTTTCAAAGCTTCGGTCCTTCTCGATTCTATGATCTTTAAAACGCCTGGTATCGAAGTATTGCACATTTTGACAACCTTATTGCTGAATGCCAACAGATGCTTGTTCGGCCCGTCTCTGCTCCACAACATGATCTGATTCACTTTAGGTAATTTGTCTGCTTCCACTGTCTCTGCTGCCTGTTGGTGGTGAAAGACGAGGGAGCGCGGCGATGACACACGACGCACATGCATCTGGTGAAAGTTTGGGGTTAGATGCGGCTACGGCGAGCGTTAACAGACAGGAGTGGATTGTTTTACTAAAACATTTAAATCATGATATAAAAAACACCATCCAGCTGTGTCTGATTGCGTTCAAACATGCAGCTCCTCCTGGAGTTTTTCAGGGGTTTCCTGCATGTGTGAAAGCTCTATCTGAGTGGCATTGAATTCTTCTCCTTAGATTAACTCTTATATATTTATGCTTTGAATTGATCTGTCTGGATTGAAGAAGATCCGGGATTTATTCTCCTAATGAGCAACAAGCTGCACACAAAGACTTTATTTGTTTTATTGGATTAATTATTAATTTATTGACTGAAACTTCTGCATTTATTATTTAAACAACATTTCTGTTTCTAATGTTTGCCAGCAATAAGCTTCGTGTTTGACCTGTGAAGTTTTTGTCCTCATCCCTTTTTTTTATAATTGTAATTTGGACGTTATTTTTGTTGCTTTTTTTAATTTAACGTGTTTTTTGAATCAATAAATACCCAGAGATCCTGAAGCTTAATTCATGTTTCACACATAGACGATGTGATTTCACACACACACACACACACACACACACACACACACACACACACACACACACACACACACACACACACACACACACACACACTGTGAAAGAGGCGATGGTCTCTGATTACCACCTTTGAGACCTCAGGGATGATTGAACCGTGTGGTCTGGTTCTATGGATGTGCATAAGAAGATGTGTAAGAACATGAAATGCAGTCTGACATAACTCTAGATAACATTTCAGAATCAAAGGTTTCCCTCAAGGTGAAGTACAGCACAACATTTTTAAGAAAAATCCACCAAAGGTTTCAAATTAATTATTTTAATGCAGACTCCTTGATACTGAGTTGTTAAAACAGTGGTGTAAAATTGTTCTGAACCTAAAAAAAACGTCAAACTATTTGTGTTTTTCTTGCCGGTAGATCACAGATCAGTACAGTAGGTGGAGCCTCCTTTAAAACTCTCCCACAATGCACTGCTCGCTCAGCTGTCAGATTACCCATTTCCGGGTTTGATTCGATACACCTCCACGTGTGTCACATAATTTTACTACAGAGATGTCAACAGTCCCTTCAATCCTGCATGGAGACGAGGATGAGGAGTTCACGGCCTTCGTGGCTCTGCACGCCGGAGCTCTGCAGTCCGCAGGAATTCCCCAAATCTACTGGAGGAGCCTGCTGCACAAAATCACCAACGAGGTCTGTCCTCAAACAGCATGCACACTACTTTATTTTACATATTAGAGTGAAATAATACAGAATTAAATGCAAATATGTCCTCTAGTTTGGGTTACCAAACTTGACGGCTTGCTGACACTTAAGAATATTTTGTTTTTTCTCTACTTGTTACCTTTTCGTTTGTCCCAAAAGGAGGTACTTCACCAAACCAGCCTTAAAAATCAGAAGCTTTTATTTGAATGTAATTTTGTTCGTACACATACATCATATATATCATGGATAAAGACATGTACTGCATGTGTATCTCTTAGTGATCTATTCGGCGTATAATATCTGGATCTGTTGTCGTGTTATTGTTGGTTTAAACGACCACTTGCTGCAGGTGAATGCATGTTTGCTCCATAAACTAAAATTAAGTTTGAAAAATGTTTCGTGTAGTACTTGGAGTATTTTATGTATGCCGAATTAAAGACTTGGATTATTCATGTTGTGCTTGAAAGACAGTTTACTACGTGGTGTATCCTAGAGATGACAAGCAATCAAACTTAAAATGGTCAGAATCTGATGAGGAGTCTGGTTATGACACCTTAACAACTTCCGGTCAATACAAAGCTTAATGTAATGATGCGTTTAAATTAAAATATTTAACAAAAATATGATAAATTACTGGTTTAATAAATATAAATACAACTTTTCGGCTCGTTGACATCAACGAACAGGTCATGTTAACCACGCTTAGCCCGGTTCTGTCGAAAGGGAGGGAACTCCACCAGACTCGCCCTACAAAATCCGCAATTTTAATTCTTCTTATATTGGTTTTAAATACACACATCAGATTTAACCCATGTACCAAATGTGCGTCTATTCGAGGTTTATTCGGCATATAATTTAGGTACTAGTTGGCATGTTATTAGTTCACACATCATATGTATGCTTAGTTTGTTGCTGTGATAAGGAGGATAAATAACGTCACAAACTGCTGCTTTAGGTTTTTTATTCATTCCGAAATAAAGAGGGGAGCTTAAATATATGTTTTCAGTTCTGGTAGTGTAATAAAGTGACTTAATTTAGAAGTTACAGGCAGGCACAACTAAATTGGCAACTTCTCCTATGGGGTCTGGTGAAGGCGCAAACAAAACAAAAAAGCCCATATTCTTATTTTTTTCTTTGTAGGTTTATGATGCTGGAGAAGTTTTCGGAATCATGCAGTTCCGACAAGAAGAAGCAGAAGAAGAGGAGGATGAGGAGGGCGGGATTAACGGAGAGAATGAGGAGAAGAAGGACAATCCCGGAGCTGAGATCCGCTGTAAAGTGGTTGTGACCCGGCAGAGTGGCCTGCAGGTGTCTGAGCCCACCAGGTGAGGGCGCCAGAGGACCCAATAAAAATGAGCAGAATTTATTTTGGCCTTATAATCAATTTGAAAAATACAATTAAAAATATTTTAAATGTTCGTACCGTTTGTAAAAGAGTAAAACAAACTATTTAAAAGTCAACAAATTGTAATAAAACTTTATTTTAATTGTTTATTTTCATATCAAAATAACATTTTTCTCCAGCTGTGAGGTGCATGTGTGAACAAACAGATCAAACAGATCAGGAGAATATCCGGAGCAGTCCTACTCAAATGATCTAAATATTTTCAGGAGCGCAGATGTGAAAACAGCTCTAGTGTTTTTTTCCAACCTGACATTTGAACATCATCATCTCTCCGCCCTGCAGTGTTTTCCTCGTGGATCACGCCTGGACGTACCGCGTGGATAGCGCCCGTCAGCAGCTGGAGCAGATCCCTGGCTTGCTGCCCAGAATGGCCTCCCTCATGGGGGTGGATTTCCACGGCGAGGCCCCTGACCCGGACACGGTGGAGCTGGTGATGGAGCGCATGTGGAAATACAACCAGACGTATCACATCTCTCAGGGGGTAAATTATAACAACATCATCATCCCTCTGTACTGTCACTCAGAATGTCATGACTGATGGAGGGAAAGTAGAGCAAAGTTTTAGCTAATGCTGAGCTATCCTCCCGCATCCTCCCAGCATTTCCTGTCTCTCTTCAGCTGTCCTGCCCATAAAGTGAAAATGGCATAAATATAACTTAAAAAACAACAGCACACATCTAATACAGTGTCCTCTACGCCTGCTCTCACAGGTCGTCCCATAGGCTCGTTATTTATCCTTCAGATGATTTCAAAGTCAACGCCATGTTCCTCGACCATATGTGGGCATATGTAGATTAATTTCTTCTCACCTTTTAAGCTTCTGATTTGACACAGGAAGTGTGGGAGGCTTCAGATAGAGGAGAGCAGACACTCAGTCTGCCAAACAAGCCGGATATGAGGGGGGTCAGCGAGGACAGACGCACAGACACACACACAGATGCACACAGACACACACAGATGCACACAGACACACACACAGATGCACACAGACACACACAGATGCACACAGACACACACAGATGCACACAGACACACACAGATGCACACAGACACACACAGATGCACACAGACACACACAGATGCACACAGACACACACACAGATGCACACAGACACACACACAGATGCACACAGAGACACACACACACACACACACACACACACACACACACACACACACACACACACACACACACACACACACACACACACACACACACACACACACACACACACACACACACACACACGCTGAGGTAGTCTTGATCCTAATTGAGATGAATCTCCTCCTGTCACTGAAAACAGCTCAAAACTTTTCGTTGTCATTCTTCTCAATTGTTACTTCCCGTCATTGACATGAGAGAGAGAGGGCTTTGCTGCTGTTTGACCGTGTGTGTGTGTGTGTGTGTGTGTGTGTGTGTGCGTGTGTGCATGCAGTCTGCAGAGGAGAAGGTCCCAGTGTGGTATGTCATGGACGAGTTCGGCTCTCAGGTGCAGCACTCGGACCGGCCTACCTGTGGCCTCGCTCCTTTCTTCTACGTTCAGGGTCAGCTGGCTTATTCTGTGCTGTGGCCTCTGCAGGACCTGCAGGAAGGAGGTGAACACACACACACACACACACACAAACTGACACACGCTGACTCACACACTGACACCCATTGTAGCATGTCCTGGACATGCAAAAAGTGGTAAATAACTTTACTATAGCTAAAGGAAGCTCACCACCCATTAGTTAACTAGACTACTCTTTACTAGAACCAAGTGAGATCTCGCTCCTTACCAGCCACTAGTCTACTCTTTCCTAGTACCTGGAGCTATGTAAAATTACTCCGCTGACAACCTTTGGAGGACGAATGAACAAGTTATAATTACAGCCCTAGGATTATCTGTCTAACATTCATTTCTAGAATAATTAGATTCAAGAATAACCCCTGGTATAGGACTCTAGATTCCCCCCCGGAGAGGGAATAACTATGAACTCCCCCCCGCAAGGATGTTAGGTGTATATGAGGTGTGTAGTAAAAGTCAGTAGAAGTGTGCCATGGTGTGACTGCTCATGCTTACCTTCCGAGGTTCACTGGGTCCTTAAGGGAGACTCCGATCTTTGTGGAGTGAATGATTTCAGTCAGAAAATGATTTTAAAAAAGTTTCAGAAAAATTTATTTAAAAAAACTTCAAATGATAATGTAAGTGCAAATACAAAACAGTAAAAGTAAAAATGTAAAAAGCAAAACACAAAGACCAAAGTCTAAACCCGATAGTGTAGACACTTAAGGTTTTAAAAGATCTTGGACACACACACTCTTTGTAGCTTGTTCTTTCCTCGCTCTGACCCAGGAGGGCTAGAAAGAGAGATAGTGAGCGGGAAGTCATGCCGGGAAATCAAATTCTGATACACACTGAAGTTTATCTTTCAGATGTCGAAGTGTTGATGTGTGTGTGTGTGTGTGTGTGTGTGTGTTTTTCAATTCCCATCATGGTTCAATATCTTCATATGTCCACAGATGAGGTGACTCGTGATTACACATACGGAGAGACCGACCCCTTGGTGAGGCGATGCCGTCTGTTACCATGGATACCTGCAGATCTGGAACACGTCAGCAGTGCCACCAGCGAGCCTGCGGACTCATACTACGAGGTGAGGACTGACACTGTCAGATAAACACCTGACTGGAACCTGCTTTTTTGAGGTTTCATTTGTTATGTTTATGGTTTTATAGTGATGATAATAGCTATGAGTTCACGAGAGGACAGCAGAATTTCAGGTATTCTTGAGCTATTGCTTCCCCATCGCCGCCTCTCTTTCCTGTGACCGGGTCGTTGGCATACAAACATAGTACACTTGTCACTTTGATACATAGTCTGTATGCCTTTTGAATTCTCTTCTGTAAATCTCCTATGGACGGTTGAACACTCTCTGCCCTCAGGACATTCACAGAAATCGATCGCGTTGGACTATCTGCTGAGCTAGACACCCACCTCTCTGTGTGCTCAGCTTCACTCATGGATTTGCTCTCGTTAACTCACTTTTAACCTTAGCTGATTAGGGTGTGTTTATAATATGCAATCCTCACACTATTGTTACCCGATTGTCGTGCACGACCTGAGAGCTCACACTACACGAGTGAAATCGTTGACAATTGTTAATAAAGTTTCATTTGAAAACTCCAACGGGCGGCGGTCGGTGTAACAGAAGGAAGTGGAAGTTGTTTTAGGGTGTATGAAAGTTGATCCAATCGTAGATATATGGACACATTGTTTCAGAACAGTGCTGCACTGATGATCTGTACCGCAAACTAAAAAACAGAAGAGACGCAGGGTTATGTCCTGCCCCTGGTCGCCATGACTACAGTCCTCCCTTGTCTCTCGACGACACGCCAGATGCGTTCATGACGTATTCATCAAGATTTTACATCCTAAATATCGTGTGTGTGTGTGTGTGTGTGTGTGTGTGTGTGTGTGTGTGTGTGCAGACGATTCATTTGGAGAACAAGGAGAAGTTTCCTGCAGAGATCCAGCCCTGCAGTTTGCTTGAAGACAAAATCCTGAAGTAAGTCTCTGAGATCTGCAGCTCCACATTAGATCGACTCCAAGGCTAAAAAGTGATTTTATGAGTGTTGAACCATCGTTGTGTTTGTCCTTCAGGGTTTACTCTGAAATTTCTCAGGTCACCAACAACCTGACGCACCCTCGCTTCCAGCTGACGGAGGACGAGGAGGAGGCCGACGTCATCTGGAGCTACAGTCACATCAAAGACTTCAGGTCAGAAAAGTTTTTAACCGCATTTGAAGATCGAGAACCAGAACATGAAGATCCTGCATCATGTCAGGAAGTTGTCACAAGAACATTGAGGAGAGGGTGACAAAACTACGGAGGCCAAGAGGTGTCAGACGAATGCATATCCAAAATGGTTTGGAATAGGGAGCAACATGAATGCAGATGAAGCCTGATGGATCTGATTTTACAGTATAGAAAGTTATCACTTCCTGTGCAGCCAGTCAGCACACACAGGTAGGCGGGGTCTCCAAAAAACCAGCTGAATAAATTGTACAATGTTAAAAATGATCTGTTCGGCTTTTAGCATTCATGACATTCTTGCATTTTGTGTTTGATACGCATTAGTCTGACACCAGCCGGCCACCGTAGCAAACGACCTTGAACTAAAAGACGAATTGGGGGATAATAAAAAAACAAAGAGTGATTCCATTTTTTGATACAGCCGCATTTTTTTTTTTTTTTTTTTTAAAGATATTTTTGTCCAAGAAACAAACCATGTGTATAATTTATTCTCTCAGCTCACTTCAGGATACTGTGACAAAGCTGCCACTCAGGAAAGTCTATCATACCAAAGTTTTGCCACCTTGAGTGGTATCGAAATCAGGTCCAACTCATGGAGTATAACCTTAAAGGGAGGTCCATCATAAACTCACTCTTAAGTTATAAGGTTGTGCAGGTTGGCTTGAGAGACTGGCTTTTATGCCTCTTGCCCAGGTGCAGGCAGTCACAGGTAAGTGGGAGGAGTCTCAAAGAAACCACCTAGCAAGCGGTAACGCCTGCAAACTGTCTGCAAATTGCACAGATTCAATGTTGAGTTCAGACTGTCACCTGAGAGACATCAACGTAACTTTTGCATCCTTTATTAGACGTCAAAAAGATTTTAGAAGAGTCAGAGTTCAAAAGCGTGCAGGGCGGAGCAAAACCACCAGACTGAGGAAGAAGATATTTCTGCACACTCACTCCAATGCCACAAAAAGTTTTTATTCCATCACAACATATCTAATAAAAATGATAATGTGACCACAAGAACCAGGCTGATCACATGTTCCAGCAGTGGCTCACTCCTTCCTCTTCCTCTCGTTTTCTCTGGAAAGTTACTGCAACGTTCAAAACAAACCATCAAAGAGAAATCAGGCAGAACCTGTTTGATATTAAACCAACCCTTTATAACAGCATGTGAAAGCCCTCTTCAGAGACGCCTCCTTCAAACCTCAGCTCCCCCCTCGCCCCCCCCCCCTCCCGTCTCCACGCCTCCTCCGCCGCTCCCATCCTGTTCGCGGACGTCTCTCTTCCTCCAGGCGATGGTGGAGCTTAGACTTTCAGAAAGTGGGAGGGGTTCATGTTATGAAACAAGTCTGAACCTCTGAGCGAATCATAAACAAGCTGAATGAAGCGTCCGTCCTGTCGGGGTGAACACAGAGCTGAGAACAACGCACCCAGAGGGAGTTTGACTTCACGCTCAATATGTTTACAAAACATCTGGGAAATTAGATTTTCTCTTTATTAATATTCAGAATGGCTAGTTTGGATCCAACGTGATGATTGTGTGACACAGCTAATGCAGGAAAACAAACTGATGGAGGTCGACCAGCAACGCCCGGGTTTTGGATCGTACATTTAATGTTTCTATTAATGGAGTCTGGTGGGTTAAGATGGAGCGATGTAACGGGTCGGACACTCTGAGTGTGTCAGCATCATAAAAAAACACGGAATCCAAAGGGTTAAATTACAGCCCTTAAAGCAGCTGCAAGCTAAAGAAATCTCATGGAGGAATTTCAAAGCTTTTGGCTCCTTGTACATGTCTCAAGAATTAAAAAATGTAGTTCCAGTTCTGGAAAAAAAAAAAGATACAGAAGTCTTGTTTCTGTCGTGGTTTACAGTCAGACCAGAGTGAAGCAGAGATGAGATCACAGCTCTGTCTGGTTTCTCTCTCAGCTGCACAGTCACAGTCGATCCTCTCTGACTCCATGACTAACTCTGTGTTTGACTTCAGCTGATTTATAGCTTTCCCTTTTTCCCCTCCTCCGCCCCATCAGCCTCCTCTGCTCCGTGTGAGCCAATCGTCACATCTCTCCTCGTTCTTTTACCAAACATGGTTCTGATCTGCTGATCTCGTTTCACCAAATGCCGTGCCTCCTCTTCTGCTAAAGATTAATGTGTAACATGACCACAAGAACCGGGCTGATCACATGTTCCAGGAGTGACTCACTCTTTCCCCTCCTCTCGTTTCCTGTGGAAAGTTACGGCAACGTTCAAAACAAAAGTTTCACCTTTTTTTTTTTTTTTTGCCGCATGTGAGTGAGCTTTCCTTCTAAGAATGCTTCTTACCTGAAGGAGGATTTGACTTTGATTGATTTAAAAATCAGAAATGTTATTACATAAAAGGCATCTTAATGACTTTATTGGTTTAGACCTTCCTCCAGCAGGTTGTCTCAGCAGATGGCTAAACCTGCTGCAGAAAAGATCATGGGAGCAAATTTAAGGTGTGTCCACACACAGAGCTCAGATAGTCCCGACTTGTACTCTGAATTTTTCTCGTTATCAAAAACAAACGCTCTCTTCACGGAAAGACACACCTCCTTCATCCCTCAGCTGAAAGTTACTCTGAGACAGGATTTCCAGCATAGCGGTGTAGTGGAAAAATACAAATGTCATTCTGACCTCTGCAACATCTCCATCTGCTAGATGAAACTTCTGATCTACGCAAACATCTGCGTCAGCATCTTTGTCTGTTCTCGCTTCCTCTACTCCTACGAGGAGGCATCTGCAACCTTGAGCAAAAGCAAAGAACTTTAAGAAGATCAAAGCGCAATCGCCTTACATGGTTACAGACCTGAAAAAACTCTTGTTTCTGGGCAGATTGGTATCAACTAGAATACGTCAGTCTGCTCATGCATAAATACTCTGTCAATGCAAAGCGAGAGGGGGATGCTCTGTACTCTTGATACACATCACTAGTGCTGCTCAGTTCCTCCTTTTTGCAAAAAGACCATTTAACCTCTGCAATAAAATTCACAAAGACAAGATCTGACTTCGAGACTCTTCATTCCACAATCAGGAAAATCCACAACAGCGGCTGCTGCCGATGAGCCTCAGGAGCCCCCCTGCAGGAAGAGATGACTGAGGTCACTCAGGCTTCGTCCGTTAATATTTACGGTCTATGGTTGACACCGAGACAACTAGAACCCTCTATAGAATTGTGTGGGGTTTTGTTCATTATTATTATTAATAATAACAACTTTATTTATATGTCAAGCAAAACCAAACACAGAAGAACATAAACAACAGCAAGAACATAACAAATGCAAAAGAATAAAAATAATTAAATACAATTCAACAGAAAAGAACCCAAATTGCACGATACCCAATAGACATGTATAACCCGACCATCACAAGAACCATCATAAGAATCCAGGCAACACAAGAACCCAACAACACGAGCTGAGACCAAGAGGACCAACGATTTAAAAAGATGTAAGAAACTAAAAGAGCTAAAAGCAAATAAAAAGATAACAGCAATAAAAAGGTAAGAGCAGTGAAAGAAGGATAAAAAAAAAAAATTAATAAAAATAAAGAGTAAATATAAAACAAATAGACTAAGATAAGAAATAACCAAGTTAAAACATAAAGGAGTTAAGATAAGAGCATAAATACGAGATAAGAGCATAAATTAAAGGACAGTAAGAAGTAAAAGAAGATAAAAATAGAAAAACAGTAAGATAAGACGTTTAGCACAAAATTACGGCACATACAGTGGGTACGGAAAGTATTCAGACCCCTTTACATTTTTCACTCTTTGTTTCATTGCAGCCATTTGCTAAAATCAAAAAAGTTCATTTTATTTCTCATTAATGTACACTCAGCACCCCATCTTGACAGAAAAAAAAAACAGAAATGTAGAAATTTTTGCAAATTTATTAAAAAAGAAAAACTGAAATATCACATGGTCATAAGTATTCAGACCCTTTGCTCAGTATTGAGTAGAAGCACCCTTTTGAGCTAGTACAGCCTTGAGTCTTCTTGGGAATGATGCAACAAGTTTTTCACACCTGGATTTGGGGATCCTCTGCCATTCTTCCTTGCAGATCCTCTCCAGTTCTGTCAGGTTGGATGATGAACGTTGGTGGACAGCCATTTTCAGGTCTCTCCAGAGATGTTCAATTGGGTTTAGGTCAGGGCTCTGGCTGGGCCAGTCAAGAATGGTCACAGAGTTGTTCCGAAGCCACTCCTTTGTTATTTTAGCTGTGTGCTTAGGGTCATTGTCTTGTTGGAAGGTGACCCTTCGGCCCAGTCTGAGGTCCTGAGCACTCTGGAAGAGGTTTTCTTCCAGGATATCTCTGTACTTGGCCGCATTCATCTTTCCTTCAATTGCAACCAGTCGTCCTGTCCCTGCAGCTGAAAAACACCCCCATAGCATGATGCTGCCACCACCATGTTTCACTGTTGGGATTGTATTGGGCAGGTGATGAGCAGTGCCTGGTTTTCTCCACACATACCGCTTAGAATTAAAGCCAAAAAGTTCAATCTTGGTCTCATCAGACCAGAGAATCTTCTTTCTCATAGTCTGGGAGTCCTTCATGTGTTTTTTGGCAAACTCTATGCGGGCTTTCATATGTCTTGCACTGAGGAGAGGCTTCCGTCGGGCCACTCTGCCCCGACTGGTGGAGGGCTGCAGTGATAGTTGACTTTCTCCCATCTCCCTACTGCATCTCTGGAGCTCAGCCACAGTGATCTTTGGGTTCTTCTTTACCTCTCTCACCAAGGCTCTTCTCCCACGATTGCTCAGTTTGGCTGGACGGCCAGGTCTAGGAAGAGTTCTGGTCGTCCCAAACTTCTTCCATTTAAGGATTATGGAGGCCACTGTGCTCTTACGAACCTTGAGTGCTGCAGAAATTCTTTTGTAACCTTGGCCAGATCTGTGCCTTGCCACAATTCTGTCTCTGAGCTCCTTGGGCAGTTCCTTCGACCTCATGATTCTCATTTGCTCTGACATGCACTGTGAGCTGTAAGGTCTTATATAGACAGGTGTGTGCCTTTCCTAATCAAGTCCAATCAGTTTAATTAAACACAGCTGGACTCCAATGAAGGCGCAGAACCATCTCAAGGAGGATCAGAAGAAATGGACAGCATGTGTGTTAAATATAAGTGTCACAGCAAAGGGTCTGAATACTTATGACCATGTGATATTTCAGTTTTTCTTTTTTAATAAATTTGCAAAAATGTCTACATTTCTGTTTTTTTTTCTGTCAAGATGGGGTGCTGAGTGTACATTAATGAGAAATAAAATGAACTTTTTTGATTTTAGCAAATGGCTGCAATGAAACAGAGTGAAAAATGTAAAGGGGTCTGAATACTTTCCGTACCCACTGTAAATATCTCTCATTCCAGCCATTATTTCTTCTTCTTTCTATTGCACAGAGGAGCTGAGGGACTTTTCACTTCAGGGGTGGGCTGTTATTTTCCTCTCCATGAAAAAAAAAAACGGAGTACAACGCCCACCATTGGTTAAACTTCAGCCACAGTTACCTTTCTGGCTTCGTTCTCCTTTTTATTTACTTTTGCAAGGGCAGACAAAGCAAAGTATTCACGCTTTTATCTCCAACCGCATGAATCAACATGTCCTTGGAGCAGAGTTTAATTATGTCCTCACATGTCCTTGGAGCTCAAATATTTCTGAGCTCCAACAAAGAGAGAATATGTTTGAGGTTAAAATACAGGAGAGAGACTGGATTGCCGTCCCGTCTCCAGAGGCGGGGGGTTACAGAGTACAAGTGCTTATAAACGAGGTGGACTTTTCAGGTATCTGTACTGCATTAGAGTGTTTGTCTGACATCATTTTACTATTAACACCAGACTTTCTATTAGTGCTGTCACACTCTTGAAAAACGCTAGCGCTGCGCTCCCACGCCTCCGTTTCTACCTCCAAAAGCAGTGGGGGGGGGAGGGGTCACAATATGCCTCCACAACATTCAGATTGAAGGCGAAACATCTCAGGGTCGGATATCTTCTAACTGTCAATGACGTGAACATGAACAGATGGCGGTCAGCAAACCCAGTTAAAATATGCATTTCCATATTGCGTCGCGGCGGACGGTAAAAAGGTAAAATATTTAAACCTCGCCATCCTTCTCTAGTCCACTTTAACGCCATTCGCCTGTCTGAGTCCATGTGAATGCAGCTTACACTCTGACATATAGTCCAACGTTAGCTACACCGTTAGCCACCAACCAACCACAAAGACGTGAAACTCATAACTCAACTATAACTGATAATTTCAACACAAACGCACAACTTCACGTTACACACTTTTCCGCCGTCAAAACACTGTTTCTTTGCACAGGAAAATTCTACCTAAGACGACTCTGCCAACTGAGCCACAGCCGCCCAAGCCTCCCACAGTGGCACAAGAAGTTGCAACTTGGTCCAGATTTGGAAATATTGGGGGCAATACTAGGTCTGTTTGGGGGATTCAATAACCCCTGCTTACTGATCCATGAAGGAAACAGGGTATGCAGTCAAAGTCAGAAGTCAGTGGTTGAGCCTCACACACAGGGGTGGCTGTGGCTCAGTGGTAGAGTCACTCAACTGGAAGGCCGAGGGTTCGATCCCCAGCTCCTGCAGCCACATGTCCGATGTGTCCTCGGGCAAGACACTTAAGCCCGAATGGGATAAGTTACTTCTGATGGACTCTTTACTCAGCAGCCTCCACCATCAGTGTGTGAATGTGTAGGTGTGACCTGTGGTGTAAAAGCACTTGAGTAGTCAGAAGACTAGAAAATAATTCTACAACCTCAAGTCCATTTACCATTTACCAAATTCCTAATTTCCAGCCGACGTCGTTTTTTTGTTTTTTTGTTTTTTTTGTTGACCAACCCTGGCATTTTGAAACTCAGAGTGAACTCTTCTGTAATCAAAGTCTTCTTTTCTGCCAGGAAGCTGAGCGAGGAGCGTCCTCATGTGATGCTGAACCAGTTTCCCTGTGAGAACCTCGTCACCGTCAAGGACTGCCTGTCCGCTGTGGCCCGCAGAGTTAAAGGAGGGCCGTCGCCTGATTGGCTACCGGAGACCTTCAACCTCCACACGGAGCTGCCACAGTTCATAAAGCACTACACGCTGAGACAAGAGAGGTTCGGACCGCCTTACAGACTGAATCCAGCTTTGATAAAAAACGAGTTGATGCTCTAAAAGCACTCTTTAGCACCGGAGTCTTTAAGGCTCCAGCTCAGGGCGGTGTTAGGTTTGTTGTTGGATGAATGTCCGTCGTTGTGTTTCAGAGGGGAGGACAACCACTGGATCTGTAAGCCCTGGAACTTGGCGCGAGGACTGGACACACACATCACGAACAACCTGGACTACATAATCCGACAAAGAGAGAGCACACCAAAGGTACACACACACACACACACACACACACACACACACAACACACACGATGTGGAACCAAAATGCTGAAGCTGTGTTCAGACCAGTGACTGTATATAACCGGCTCCACCTCCTCCTCCTGTTTTAACAGATTAATGAGCCTGATAAGAACATGATCTGAGCCTGATGTGTGTGTGTGTGTGTGTGTGTGTGTGTGTGTGTGTGTGTGTGTGTGTGTGCCTGTGTGTTCCAGGTAGTGTGTAAGTACCTTGAAGACCCGGTGCTGTTCCACAGGGAGGAGGTGGGGATGGTGAAGTTTGACATTCGCTACATGCTGATGCTTCGCTCTCTGGAGCCTCTGAGACTCTACGCCTACAACGTCTTCTGGCTGCGCTTCGCTAACAGGTGAAACATACACACATGCATGCATGCGTTTAACTCCTACTACTTTGGAGCTGTTCTACACAGAGAGGAAGAGAGGCTCCAGCTCCCCCATACCCACACATTCACACACTCACTCACTCACTCACTCACACACGCACAATCACACACACACATAATAATACATTAGATTTATATTATATGTAGAATGAGGATGTTGAGGTTTCCGGCATCAGAGGACAGGAGAAGGTTGTTGGTGATCTTGAGGAGAGCTGTTTCGGTGCTGTGGTGGGAACGGAAACCAGATTGGAATGATTCATAAAGGTCATTGGCAGAGAGTTGGATTTTGAGTTGAGAAGCAACAGCACGTTCCAGAAGTTTTGAGAGAAAGGGGAGGTTCGAGATGGGTCTGTAGTTGTTTGGGATGTCGGATTGAGTCCAGTTTTTTTTTTTTTTAAATGGGGGTGACAGCAGCAAGTTTGAGGGATAGTGGAACGGCTCTGGTGGAGAGGGAGGAGTTAACTGTTGAGATGATGAGTGGGGATAGGGTGGGACGACAGGCCTTGACAAGACTGGTGGGGATGGGGGTCCAGAAGGCAGGCGGAGGTTTTCATTCCCGTGATGAGGTCGGAGAGCTCTGCAGGGGAGACAGGGGAGAACTAGGACAGTTGCTGAGAGGTTAAGGTGGGGGAAGGGAAAGAAGGCGGGACAGGTAAAAGAGGTGCCAGGTTGCTGTAGATAGTGTCTATTTTTGTTTGGAAGAATGACAGGAAGGAGGTGCATTTGTCTGCTGTGAAGGATTGGGAACCGTTGTCCAGAGGGTTGAGGAGTTTGTTGATTGTGGAGAATAATGCTTTGGGGCTTCTGGAGCCAGACTGTATGAGATGAGAGTAGTAGGTGGATCGGGCGTGGGAAAGGGCATCTTTGTATTGTTGGAGGTGGTCTTTGTAGGCTTGGGCGTGTACAGTGAGTCCGGTTTTGCTGCGTAGTCTTTCCAGTTGACGGGCACGGGTTTTCATGTGACGGAGGTCTGGAGTGAACCAGGGAGCAGAGTTGGTGAAGGAGATTGGTGCGAGTAGGTCGAGGCAGGAGGAGAGAGTGCGGTTGTATTCGTCAGTGAGGTCAGGGGGAGGGGAGGCAGACATTTTGTCCATGAGGGCAGATGATAGGGCGGAAGGAGAGACAGTGTTTAGTTTTCCGAAGTGGATTGAGCGTTTTTGTTTTGGCAGGGGGGGGTGGGAATGTCAATGTTTATGTTGTGGGTGGGGAAGTTGACATGTTGAGTTAAGTTGAAGCAGTTCAGTATTTTGATGAATTCAGTGGTTATTGTTGAGTTTGTGGAGTCCAAGTGGATGTTAAAATCACCGAGGAGGATGGAGGGGAGAGAGAGCACAAAGCTGGGTCAGGAAATGAGGGCGCGGTCACACTGGCGATCCGTACCGTGCCCGAGCACGCTTCAACGCTAAAGTCCAGTTCGTTTGACCAGTGTGACCGCTCCGTATCGTGCTCAGGCACGGTACACTTCCTTCGCTTTGGCACACTTCGGAGAGGTGTGCTTCAGCATGGTACACTTCATGCACGAGCACAAGCACGCAGGTACACAACGCTGACAGCCTTCATTAAGGAGAAATCCAGAGTTTCATGGCTGTATCTGACTAACATGACACAATATAAGACACAAAGTGGCTGTCATGCTCTCTGTGTTTTTCTCTGATGTGCAGATGCAGACTCGACTGCACGTCTATCTCTCTCTCTCTCTCGCTCTCGCTCTCTCTCTCGCTCTCTCGTCCGCCTGTTTGTAAACGGAGCACGCTTCATGATAACATAAAGCGTGCATGTGTTGTATTACGACATTATGTACAAGTGGTAATCGTGCTTTTAGGCACGGTTATTAGCCCTGGCCAGTGTGACCGCGCCCTGAGGGGTTATAAATTTGAGCATGGTAACCCGAGATGAAGGTCAGAAGGTCATAAATCTATGGTGAGATACGTCTCCTCATATTTGCAGGAGGAGCTGCATGTTTGAATGCAAAAAAACACGTTTTTCACCCGGAGTTTCTCCTCCAGCCTCCTCGTATTTATTCTGCAGAAAGTCAGAGAGTGATCTGATGTGAGAACGCAGCAGGATATAATCAGGACACAATCCTCCTTGGCTCAGGCTGCAGTTGCCTGTGTCCTGCATTGTTGTGTTAGCATGCTAATGTTAGAGCTCTTTAGTTAGCTCGTAGCTTCACATTGCATGTAAACTGACACAGAATGATCGTGAGCTAAAAACTCTTAAATGCATCCAAATAATCAGTGAGTATGTTGTTCTTCTTCTCTTTAGTCCTTGACTAAAACAGCTTTTAGAAAGACAAATATTCTCATTATAGCGTTGTATAGAGGACTCTGCTGACTCGCATCTCCCCTCAGGAGACCTCTCGCCCCCCCTCCTCTCTGACAGGGATAGTCTCCCACTGTGACGAGCATGTGTGAACAGAGAAACTAATCTCTGTAAGAGGAGTGATGAATCCTAACTGTCCCTTTGATGACCTACCACCTGGTGGTTTTCCACTTTTTTTAGAGAGGTGCGATTGCCCTTTATGAATTTGCATATTTAAGGTGTATTTGTCTATTGTTGTAAGATTATACTTTGATGTGTTGACTTCGTGGGGGGGTTCTGTATTTAACAGCGCACTCACACTTGGCTCAAGCTCGGTACACTTCCTCGGCCCTGGCATGCTTGGAAAAGGTGTGCTTTGGCACGGGACAGTTCATGCACAAGCACGGGTACACAACGTGGACAGCCTTCATGATGGAGTATCCAGGAGTGTTCTGTTTGTATCTGACTAACATGACTCTGTAGCGTAATTAAGTTATTAAGATGTTATGTCTTTATTTAACCTCGGATGTAAGAAGGGGCACCACTTCCTGTTAAAGGAAGAAAAAATAACTTTAATGGTATAAGTTAATTAATCAGTCAGTTTCATATCTTGAAAGAAGTAAGTTCTGGAAATGTTAAACAAGAAAACACACAGACAAAGTCCTGAATTTTATGTTTAAAATTTAATATAAAAGGGGTAAACAATAATGTATAGATGAAACAGATAAAGAATATGATTATTGTGATCAGGATAATGCAATTATAATGTATGGTGACATTATATATATATATATATATCAGAACATGGGCAAAAATAAAAAGTTGATAAAAGAATTTTGGGATTCTATTTGGATTTAAAGGAGGGCTCTGAATAGACACGACTCAAGACTCAATCTTCCAACACCCCTTGCCACCAGCAGTCTTACTGTGAGAGAGTGTTCAATTGAACTCCGCCGTCTGGTCCCGCGTTTCAGTCTCTGGCAAGCGGTTCTTTCCAGGTCCAGAGAGGTCCACGGGCCAGATCAGATGCCTTGACACCTTGGTCGGAGTGTGGAGCTGGGATGGAGATTGTACGTCGGTTCAGCCGTCGTCTCGGAAGCTCCAAGAGGATCCAACAGGAAAGAAATTATTAAAGAGTCTTTTGATACGTCGATTTCCAATTCAGATTAACCGGATGGCCATCTTGATGAATCCAAAGTAAGTCATTGGCGTTCAAAATTGAAGAGCAAAGACCTTGGAGAAGAAAGTTCAAAAACCTTGCTTGAGCCAGAAAGAATTGATGTTCCAAAATTGTGCATGAAAAAGAAAGTTCGGCAGAGACTTGTCTCTATGGCACAAGCTTAAAAGAAGTGATTCGGACCGAAGTCCGAAGAGAAGAGATCCAGAGCTGAAGCTCTAAACTTCACAAACAGAAAACAAGAAGAAGAACCCAAGATCTGAGCTCAGTGTGAACTCTTATCTGCTGGCTGAGAGGAGGGGGGTCTGCAGGCAAAGAGGGGTGCCGCCCACAGGTGGCTCCCATTCTGACCGGAGGACAATTGTTTAAACTAAACCGAGTTTACTCAATAAGATTAAGAATAAGAATCTAAACATATATACGTCACCATACATTCATTTCGATATTATTTCTATCAGATCCACGTTGATGTAGGTTCACGTCATATATTTATCCAAACATTTCTATCAGATTCATGTTGCGATGAAAATCAAACCATCTGGGAACATCCTCAGTCAATCCCAGCCTGTAGGTGAACAAAAACATGTTATACAGTCAACATTCTTAATAAGACATATTAATAAAGTAGGAAAAGACATTGGTGTCTTTAAATAACACCTTCTATAGCTAATATCGAAGAGTATGCTTTATAACACGTCAAATTCCTATTAAACATAATATAACTCTTATTGCTGTTCTGAAGATCAGATTTGGAGTTTAAAAAGATGATTGTAATACATTCAATGTGACAATTACAAATATCTAGATGAAGAAAGACATAAATGTTCGTTTGATGCAGAATTGAAAGCTGTGGTTTAATTCAGCTCTTCAGCAGTCCTTCAACAGATGGTCAGTTTTACGACTTTGCAGAGACTAAGTAAGTAATCAACTTAAGGAATGTAAGGAATGTTACTCCACAGTCCTGAGTCCTGCAGGAAGAGAGGTTGTAAAACGCTGCTGATAACGGCTGCAACTCACAGTAACTCTGTAACATGTGTTTGTGTGAGAAGCATGAACGCAGCCGATCTATATTTGGAGCAGAGCCAGGAGTTTGAAAGGAAATACACTTTGCTGAGGCTGAAGAAATCAATGTGGCTGACGGAAGAAACACCTCCACCGAGCAATGATTTGAAGAAAAGCTGTCATTAGAGTGTCACACTGTTGCTTCGTCTGCCATCTTTGATTTGTTGTAAACATCACATTGACGTCTGCAGCATCCTTCTTTTTGTAATGTCATCATGTCTTTCCTCTCGAGGAATAAGAAGCTGGAGGTGTGAACAGGTGATGGGAGAGGAATGTGAAAGGTTAGAGATTAGCACACAACTCTGTGTGTCTCAAGGTCCGGATTGTAAACCTAATCTCAAGGCCTCCGACCACCTACAAAGGTCACTCTCTTGTTCTCAAACAATTGCTCCTCTCCTCACTGTAGTCCACACAGCAATGATGTACTTCACAACCCCCACTCGTGTTTAAGACCAAAGAAACCCCTTTTTAGGTCAAAAGTTTGACTCTTATCTGCAACCTCTGCTGCTCTCCTTTCTGCCCACATGAACTTTCTGCTTCTTTACCCCAACTCCGTCCGATAAAGGCAAAAATGATCTCTCTCTGAACACATTAATGGGTGCAAATAACTTCTGTTATCATACATTAATAGATTGAAGAAAAAAAAAAAAAAAATATGTTTAGTTCAAAACAAAAGCTGCAACTTAATCTACAGTTAGTGTGAAACGAGTGGTGAATTCTTTTTGACATTCTGCTAAGAATCACCACTTGAATATATTTGTTATTGAAGACCTAAGTTCTTACTAAAGATGTTTACCTTTAATTGAAGTCTTTTCCAAACACTATACAGTGAGTATGATGTGAAATGGGTATATTTGAGGAATGAAACTGTTGAAATGTGTATTTTGATCGCTCAAAACAAAAACAAATGTTGGTTATATGCTGTTCCTTGTCTGTTAATTGTCTGTTCATTCTTGTTACGTCACATCTTCCCTCAGGAGAGACCCCCTGCCCCCCCTGACAGGGATAGTCTCCCGCTATGAGGAGCACGTGTGAACAACCAGATCAGGATAATCTCTGGAGCATTCCTCCTTAAATTATCCAGATAGTTTTAGGAATGCAGATGTGAAAACAGCTTCTGTCATATAACACTGGACTACAATCTTTCGTAAATGGCTGTGGATGATGGGTAGGGACAGATACCATACGGAGTGGGCCGTGAAGAGGCCGCCTGGAAGGCCTCCTTGAAATCTTTAAACAGCTCCGCCTGTGACACATAGAGACAAAGGAGACATGAAAGGAGATTATTATCAGTGTGATTTACAGAGGAACGGCTCATCCTGAGACAAAAGGCTTGTTCTTAAGACTTACACTTTCTTTATTGTCGTTCAAACTTGTACTTTACAGTGCAGATAAGAACGAAATTGTGTTGCATTTGGCTCGTTGTAGTGCAGGGTAAAAACAGCAAGTATTTACATAGAAAAATAAGGTGCAGATATAAATAGATATAAAAAGAAAAGCTAGTAAGGGATTAACGTAACCATTAGAGAGTACTGTGTTTAAAGAGTCGTCCTCAAAGGAACATTTGAACCCCAGGTAACAAACGGTGACCTAATGTTGATGATTTATGTCTTTCAACTCGTAACTCTCTGAGGCATGCTCTTCCAGCTGCTGAGGGGTTAATTTGATTCTGAACTCTGTTTGACTATATCACATCATGGTTCTACTAGATAACATGCTGTAGCTATAAGGCACAGTGTTCTACTCTGTAATATGTGGTGTTCACATGATACAACACTTAAATGTATTTTAGACACTACAGTGTCCTGTAGGAGTGAGAGGTCATGCAGAAGCCTCTGATAAACAGAATGAGCACGGACCAGTGTGTCCTGAGCAGCGGTTTTTTTTTTTTTTTTTTTAAATGTCACAGACAGTTCGCAATAGGATTATGTTTAACACATCAGCACATTACAGTGAGAAGCTTGAGTCCCGCTGGCTGTGTTGTTGTCAGAGCCGTGTTTACATGGACGGGACGGCCGGCTCCTCCCCCTTGAAGAAGAAGAACATACTCACTGATTATTTGGATGTCGCAAGAGTTTTTAGATCACGCTCATTCTGTGTCAGTTTACATGCAATGTGAAGCTACGAGTTAACTAAAGAGCGCTAACTTTAGCATGCTAACACAACAATGCAGGACACAGGTGATTGCAGCTCGAGGAAAGGGCAATTTTGTCCACAGCGTATGCTTGACTCCTTCGTGTGAACTCGAGTGCAGAGGGGTTGGAAGTGTGTCTCTGGAGGAGAGCGGAGGCTTCAGTTTGTGCCCCCCTCATTTGCATATTAGAAATGGGGAAAAAAAAGGAGCGGGGAAATAAATAAATGTGGCATTATGAAAATAAAAGTCCCCTGAAATAAATAAAAGTACTCATTTTAAATAAAATCCTATTTATTTATTAACTATATTGACTCATTTATATATTTAAATGTAATTTTATATTTATTGCCTCATTTATTTATTTCAGGGTATATTTCATAGCCATATTAATTAATTCCATAGGCAAATTTATGTATTTATTTATTTCAAATTGAATAAAATGGCATTCCATAAGTGACTGATCTTTTATTTCTCCTTCTAGAACTTTCTCCTTGGACCACTTGGATGATTACCAGAAACATTTCACCGTCATGAACTATGCAGAGGGTGTGGAGCTTAAACAGGTGCATATTCATACTGGTTTCACCTGTTGGCTCATACTAAATGTCAAATCAGTCTGTGGTCACAAGATGAAAGCTACAACAAGTTAGAAGAGTAATATTCAGTATCAGGGAGATTTTTATAAGAGTTGAGTGTGTGTCTTGTGAAGTAAAACGAAGAGTTATAAATGTTTTTATCATTGTCTCTCTGTCTGTAGGTGCACTACGATGAGTTCATCCCCATGTTTGAAAAGCAGTACCCACTTCATCCCTGGAAGGAGGTGGAGGTTAGTGCAAACTTTAGACTCTTTTCCATGAGATCTTCTGAATTAAATTGCTTTCTTTTTCTTTAAAGGTCACATATTCTCCTCCACTTCAACCAGTTTAAATAAGTCTCAGAGCTCCCCAAAACATGTGTGTGAAGTTTGTTGTTCTAAATCCACTCTGATCCTGTATTTGATCATGTCTATAAACCCCTCTATTTCAGCCCTGCACAGAACAGGCTGTTTCTGTGTCTGTACCTTTAAATGTAAATGAGCTGTGTCTGACAACGCCCCCTCTCTGGAAGGGCTGTTAAGCTGTATACCTCTTTGGAGCTTGGTGGCTTTGATGAGAGCTATGTAGCGGTTCTTTAAACTTTTTTTTTTTTTTTTTAATCTTAAAATACTAAAAAAGTCTGCCTCTGTCAGACTCCTTTCTGCGATATCATAGAAAACAATCTGAGCCTGTCAGAACTTTAAGTGGAATGAGTTTTATTATTAGGATTGTGTATCAGCCATTTCAGCCTGAGAGATTTAAACCCTTTTTGTTACACCTTTTTAGTCATTTAGACCCTAAAATGTGTCCAAAAGTGAGGCCCATGTTGTAAGACTACATGCTGACTGTTTCAGAAAGGTCACCGTTTGTTATCTGGGGTTCAAATGTTCCTTTGAGAACGACTCTTTACACACAGCGCTCTCTAATGGTTACCTTAATCCCTTACTCTGAGGCATTTAAGAACAAGCCTTTTGTCTCAGGATGAGCCGTTCCTCTGTAAATCACACTGTCTCCTTTGTCCCTATGTGTCACAGGCGGAGCTGTTTAAAGCTTTCAAGGAGCTCTTCCAGGCGGCCTCTTCACGGCCCGCTCCGTATGGCATCTGTCCCTACCCATCATCCAGAGCCATTTACGCCATTGACCTCATGTTGAACTGGAGTACGGGGCCAAACGGTGAGTGGGAAGAGTAGAAAAATGTAAGAATCAATGGATTTGAGCCTCAACCTCAGGAGGCAGAGAAATGGTTCATCCTTTACCGCTCCCTCAAAAGCTCAAACAACTTTTGAACCAGTTAAAGGTTCTGGCAAAAACCAGTGACGACCACTCACCGACGGTCCAACTAGGACCGACGGCCGACGATCTCCTTGCTGTGTCAGGGCCTTTAAAGGCTATAAAAATGACATGACCATGATTTGTACGTAACAGACGCACATTCCGGTCTAAACAAACAGTTGTTAACAACAAATACTCGGCTCCTATCCAAATGTAGATCGGCTGCTATTGAGATGTTTTACCCATACATGGTTACAGCTTCGCAGACCCAAAAGAAGAATTACTCTGGTACAGTCGCAAAGTTACCAAGATGAATGAATTCATGAAAATTGGTACCAACACTCCTTCTCCTCCAAACGTTTCTAGAGGTAAATACAGACGAAGTTCAAAACATACACAGACTGAAGCTCCAGGGATTTCATCACAGCTGGCTCGGGCAACGTACAGGAGCGATTCTGAAACTTTTGTGCCTATGAGCCATTTAAATCCACAAGTATGTAAAAAGATGGAATTCAGTCCTGAAAACACAAGCTGCTATTTATTTCATTCCAGGTAAAAACTGCAGGTTAGATTTCCACTGTGGTGATTTTAGATCTCTCCCAACAGCTTACAATAAGAACTAATTCTGTGAAGATTTCTCGTATCTCACACTTGCTTTTGCTCTCTGTATGATGATGTCTTTATTGACTTTGTGATGTATTTTGATCTGGGGTCAGGTGAGCAGGTTATGCAGCCTCAGATCCTGGAGTTGAACTTCAGCCCAGACTGCACCCGGGCGTGTCTATACCACCCGTCCTTCTACAACGACATGTTCCAGACGCTGTTCCTGGATCAGCCCGAGCACTGCCCGGTCACACCGATCGTATGATCCCTTCAACAGCTTCTGCTTTTGTCTTTCTTCTGGACTCTTCTATCTCACTGAACACTTTGTTTCTGCTTCAACATGTTTGCTTCTGTGGCTAAGTATTTCAAAAGTTCTTTTCACACATTGCTACACAAATGCTTTGAGTCCAGGTGCACAAATGGCTGACGAAGCAACACAGTCCAACACTGTGATGACAGTCTTTGCTTTTATATAAACACCACCTGTGTTTCAACGTATTCACCCTATCAACAGAAGAGGGGAGAAGAAGCAGGTGGAGAGACAAGAGAGTGAAGCAGCTTCATTACGTGCACAGAGCGCAGTGTTTGCAGGCTGGTCTCAGGTTATAGAATCACACAGTTCCGCTAACCACTGACTTCACACAGAAACTTCTCAAGGCGGCTGGCAGGAAAACATTTGAACTTTGTGAAAATGTTGACGTATGTGTTAACAGGTGTGGCTCCCTGAGAAAATGTTCAGACTTAGTTTTTTTTCTTATGAAAGCATGAAAAATCTGAGTGGGCTGCACGTGTTTCACCTCGACGTTATCAGGGGGGGAAGAGACTGCCAGCCCATCTGGTAAGGGTTTTATAAAGAGAGCAGCTGTCATCACAGCTTAAGACGCTGTCTCTTCAACCGCTTTAATCGTATTTATTGCAAACATCAGAATTCCGTAGCATCCTTTTACATCATGTCCTACCTGCTGAGAGTCCCCTCTTCCTCTAATAGGTAGAATCTCCACTGTGAGGGACTTTTGTCAAAGGGAAAGTCCTGAAAAGTGTCTGGAAGTTGTTAGGAATGTGTGAAAAGGGTTAAAAATCACAAACCAAACCCAAACACAACTGTATGGATGAAAAGAAATAAAAACATGTTGGATAAACCTTGTTGAAAAGTTCTTGTGTTTGGTGCTATGAAACAGAAGTTATTACAGGATATACATCCCTTCTGTTAAAATCCTAACAATTGTTTTCCTCCCTGGTTTCCTCTCACCTCTTGAATTTTGAGTTCCTCGTCCTCCAGACACAGCGAAAAGAGGACGTGCAGATGCTGCTGCTGCCTAAAGAGGAAATGAGTTGTGTTTGTGTGCGTGTGTGCGTGGTGGTGGTGGTGGTGGTGGGTATTGCGGAAAAAACAAACTGATGATGAATACCTGCAAGGTATGTGGCCCCCCGAGCAGCCCCCATCTGGAGACTCTCTTCATAATATGTCCCCTTTAAAACACTTGAGGATCAGACACACAGTAACAAACCTCATGTAATCATCCTACTGATTTATTCTATGCCTATATGATCTGTGGGTTATACAACTGTCTCATAATTAAACATATGTTCCAGGAACTCATCGATTCTCTTTCCGTCTTAACCCAATCCGCCTCGACCAATCAGAGCTCGCCATGGGCAGTCTATAAGTACTCCGGTCGGCCCCCTCAGGCTCAGACCTTCACAGACTACAGGACGTTTCATCTTCAGGAAGCCCCTCGGAGGTCTGAGGAGCTCCGGGACAAGCAGACGGAATATATCCGAGGAAAGAAAGACGACATCGCTGGCTCTACTACGGCGGAGGAGGAGACACGGACGTTGACGGATGAAGAACACTTCGGTTGGGATTTCTTCCATCTTGTGACTTTCTTTCACACGGTGACATGTCGTCGTAGTGATTGTTTTAGAGGACTCGTCGGTTAAAAGGAAGCTGTGGGAGTGTTGACAAATGCGTTTAATAAGTTGAAATGAGGAGAAACGGTGAGTGTTGTTTGGCGTTAGAGGGAAACTTCAACGTTTATATTTAAATCACTTTTATTCTAATTTATGACGAAACCCCGGTAAAGTCTGTCGGATACAGTCAGTTTGCCTTACTTTAAACATTGTAGAAGACAGTTAGCCGTTGACGTGATTATTATTTTATGTGTGCTACAAATGACGTCAACGCGTTCTAACACGAGGGCTTTCAAATAGACAGAGCTGGACGTAACTTCAGACTATGTTTTCGCGCTTTTCTTGTCCTAATCAGTTTATATTTATTTATAGTTTATTTATATTTTTTTTTTGACGGAGAGACTACTTCTGCAGGAAAAAAACATTAATTCTCGTCGACTTGGTTGATTGCCCGCAGCTGCGCAGATTGCTGCTCCATTTCCCCAGCCATTCGTAGTTTATGGAGAGACAAAGCACCCAAAATGGTCACAAATGTACTAAAAAGTTTGAGGTCTAAGCATGTGGAACAATGTAAGAGGAGAACGTTCGCAGATAATTTTGTATTTAATGAAAAATTAATGATCTTGGACTGTTGCAGCCAGGTTAGGGAAAAAGGAATATATATATATATATGTATGTATGTATGTATGTATGTATATATATATATATATATATATATGTGTGTGTATATGTATATATATATATGTGTGTGTATATATATATATGTATGCATTATTAATGAAGTTGAATGGAGTCCTGAATTAAGTTGAAAATCTATAAGATGTAAAGATTAAGGCCAGACACGAGAAGTGAATAATGACAGGAGTATTATCTAAGGCACTTGTACTGAAGTGTTTGTGTCTGGCACTACTACAGTGAAAAGTGGCGCTTGTGTGTATTTTAACCATCTGCATCCTGTCACGCTTTGTGTTTCTAGGCTTGCAATATAACAGGATGTTCATCTAGACAGAAGGCTCAAACGTGATTAGCCAACTCTTGCAAAACTTTCTCTTTTTAGAGACATCTTCAGCAACAGCAGTCTAAATTATTGCACAAAGAACACTATTTGGTAGCAAAGGGTAAATCCTAGAAGACGTCACAATGCATTTTATCTTTCTTGCAACTGGCATATTTTTGGCAAGACATTTGGTCCTTGGTCCAAATTAGTTGAATTTTAAAATGGGCTTTAACAGGATTAACAGCTTTTTGAGTCAGCCTCAAGTGAACACTCGAGGAACTTTTTCACACCTGCGCATCAGCTTTGTTTATCAATATCAAGGTCTTTGGTGTTTTGTGGGCATTAATTTTAAAATATTTACTGACAATTTAGCGTGTTTTAGAACATATTTTCCAAAACAAGTCCATAAAAATCTCATTACCGCAATGGTCTCAAAACATCAAGATCATTAGAAATAAGAATACATTTTCAGATTTTTTAAAAACTGATTTATTAACAGTCATGCAAAGTTACTTGAAACATTTTTTTAGACTGATTTCTCACACCCTCCACAATCTGCAACCTAAAATATATTTCAATGAAACCTGTAGGTATTTTCAAAATGATGTGATAAACCTGAAAGGCATAATGTATATACTATGCACATATATTTTAAAGCTATTACCATTATTATACTCATTAAATTGATAGAAAATCAACACCTGCTGCGGTAATGATACATGGGTTTCGGAAATTAGACTGAAGATTTCGGTAATGATAAATGAGTATACTGTAAGTAAATATTAAGACTGAGGTATGGTGGGGGGGCCTTTGAATAGTGCATATGCGCGGGACTTTTGAATAAAATGGCGAACCATAGTGTGTGTGTGTAGTACTGTATGAAGGCATACACTTCCTATAGAATATATACAGTAAATGCCAATTACTCTTGCTGTGACCTCTCTCTCTCTTTCCTTCTGTACTCTTCCAGTAGTTCTGGGTTGGTGTAAATCCTAGTTTGTCAGCCTAGCCTTAGCTAAAGCTTTCTTCCTGTCACTTGATCAGCCTGCAATGAAACGGGACATAAAGCAAAATATCAAGTTAGTATATAATATTGAAGTTCATAATATTTATTTAAAAATATAGTTTGTATGGTTAAATTCTCATTATTGAAACACAAGTTCTCTCTACCGCTACTGGACTTAAATTGTAGCGGTAAGTGAGAATGGTGTTTCGGAGGGTGAGGAGCATGTTTGGCTAACAATAGGAGAGCCATAATGACTAAGCAAATTTTTACTCAATGAACATAATTAGACACAACTAAGTATATTTCCAAAGACATTTTTAAAACTGACATTTTTCTTATTGTAGAAAACAACAATATTGGTAATGATAATCAATACTGTGGTGAATGCAGTCTGATAACAGAATGTTTAACTTTTAACTGGAGAAATATGAAGAGTTCTGCTTATCTTGTAGTCATCTTGAACATACTGGCAGATGTGTTGCTTCATTCTAAATCAAAATGTATCAAAATTCTTAGTGGACGTGTAAACAGTCTTTCAAAAATGCTGCTGAGTATGAGAACATCAGTCAGGGACGCTTAAATTTTCCATACTTACATACATACATTACTTACATACATACTCCATAATTATTATACGTGAATATTCAGTTTCACATTATTACATTTTCTGCCATTTGAAAACATCTAGTATAGATTACATTAATTTTTTTCAGAATATTTTCATTTTACTCTGTTTAAATTACAAAAAAACATCAGAGCTGGATGAGTTGCAGTAATGAGAATTTCAGTAGAAAATGCAATAAAATTACAAAAATAATTAATTCTTGTGTTGAAATTACTCTTTGTGCAAGGTAGAGAAGATTGTTGTCTTTATTATAATATTAAGTTATATAACTAAATTTGAAGTTTTATATTTAGAATCATTACTGCCATGGTACTTGGCCATGGTTTTATAAGAATGACCCGAAAGGGGCACAAGTTTGTCAGAATTTTTTATAAAAATTGGCAGGAAAACCATCTGGCCCTGCAGCCTTCCCGCTCTGCAGTGAGAAGATGTTTTTATGATTTCAGGGGTGACCTCTAGTGATGCAACATCATCTGGATTCAGTTGAGGAATGTTTAAATCCTTGAAGAAATTCACAAATAGATCTGGGTTAAGCTGAGAATCAGAGGTGTATAATTCTGAATCAAAACATTTGAACTCGCATTGATACACTTGTGATCTGAAGTTACAACGCCAGAGAAAGTTTTAATGGCAGAAATGGTACGAGAGGCTGCTTTTTGGCGAAGCTGGTGAGCTAAAAGTCTGGTGGGCTTATCTCCATCCTCAAATAGTCTCTGCCGAGTTTTCAGGAGAGATTCCTCTGCACGCTGAGTCGTTCAAAGGTCAAATGAAAGAAATGTGTCGATTTCATTGGAAATATAAGAGATAAAGTTTGGGTCAGAAAGGAGAAGAGCACCGAAACGCCAAGACCTGCTTGAGGTTTTCTCGCGTAAAGAAAGTTTGAGGGACGCATGATCTGAGATGATAATGCTTTGATAGTCACAGACTGTCATCGAGCCCAGTAAAAAGGCGTCTATAAAGAAATGGTCAATTCGCGTGTACGTTTTATGCACTTGGGAGAAAAAGAGTAGGACCTCGAGGATGGGAATTTGAAGCGCCAAGGATCAACATCGTTATAGATGTCCAAGAATTATTTAATTCCTTCAGACGATTTAGAGATGGGATAGGGTTTGATAGAGGAACGATCAAGGTTTGGGTCTAAAACCAAGTTAAAGTCGCCACCCAGAATTAGGTAATGATTATCCAGGTCTGGTAGAGAACTACATAGATGATTAAAAAAATGTACATTGTCCCAGTTAGGGGCATAAATGTTGACAAGCGCAATAGCAGTATTATATAGAGTGCCAAAGACCATCACATACCGACCTTTAGGGTCCAAAATAGAGTTAGTTACAGAGAAGGGAACATCTTTGAGAATAGCAGTACCTCTGCTTTTATAATGAAAGTTTGAGTGAGCTAAAAAATATATCGGGGCTACATCGTCGTGGCATAGAAAAAAATGAATTAATCATTAACCAAAAGAAAAATAGTCGGAAACCAGACTCGTCCGAAAAACAGCCCATAAACAGTATGCTGAGCAGAAACAGTTTGTTGACAGAAATCACAAGTAGTGTAACTTAGCCTACCGTGTGCTGATTACACATTTGCAGTTGGAGGACTCGAAACATCCTGAGAGGCAAACAGGCTATGTTTAACAAGACAGCTCACCACCAGAAAGTCACAAAACAGAGGTGCTAGCAAAATCCCCCGTGGTCGTTGGTGTCGGTATGTGCTTGTTAGAAAAAGTCCAGAGCCTCAGACGAGCTAGTGAAGCTCACCTTATCGTTGCTCCACACGAAAACCAGACGAGCGGGATGGTAGAGGCGGAAAGAGATGTTAGCCTGATGGAGCGTGCACTTCACAGCGGTGAACAAGGGCTGACGTCCGGAAAGAAGTGAATCCGCTTACCCTGGTACAAGAACGGCCCCTCGTGGCAACTGGGGAGACGCAGCACCAGCTCGCGTACTCTGTAGCTGTGGATATGAACCAAAAGTGGCCTTGGCCTGTCCGCCGCTGACGGCCTGGGCGCGGAAGTCCGGTTGGCTCGGTCAATGATGATGGGCATCTCAAAAGCATTAGGGCCAAGAACTTCACGAAGGAGGTTACTGACAAAATTAGCCGATTCGGGCAGGCCTATTATGCGGATGTTCTCTCTTCACGTGTAGTTACTCAGATAGTGGAGTTGTTTTTTGACTTTTTTTGTCAGATTGGCTAACTAGCCTCGCTGTAGAGTTAGCCGACAGAAATGTTGACAAATCTTTTGTTTTCTGCGCTGCTTTTGGCATGGTTACAGTCTGTGAAGTCTTGCGTAACCGTAGGTCAAGAAAATACTTTTCAAAAGTTTACAGAAGCACTAATAATATAAAAATCAGCTGCGATGAGACCGTCTAACACGCGCTCATGCTTGACCGGAACATAATCAAGGCCCGATGGAGTGGGGAAAAACTGGAATTGTATGCAACTGAGATCAATATCTAAAACCTGTTCCACTGGTCTTGCATGGATTATTTATGAACTTGTACATTATGTGTTGACATGTTTTCTGATGGACCAGCGGTTGCCATATTCTTAACGGTTTGGTGTTTTCTTCTTGTAATTCTTGGTGTTTATAATAGCTCACTTTGCAAATGCATCTAATTGTTTCTGTCCAAATTACTCACAATGACATGTGTCATTAATATGTTGCACAAAAAAGTAAAAAAAAATATAACCGGCATTGCATTTTTTGAAGTCTGCAAAAATATCACACATTTTAAGTCATTATACATAAAGTTAGAAAATTCCTGTAGGTACCCAAAAGCTAAACGTGACAAGAGAATCCGGTGCTGACCACAGAGTCTTACCGTCCTATCGGACACAGATTTGCATTGCTGTCACTGTATCTTGGTAATTCATTTTGAACCATCTGTTTATAGGTCGCCCAGCAGTCTCTCAGTGTCTCTCAGGAAGTGTCTTCTAAATTTACATTGCAAAAACAGGCAATATTTAAATATGTTTTATATATTTATTCATGTATACTTTTGGGTATGCAAAGTGTCTTTTAGTTCACAGCACAGTATGAAAACCTAACCTAGAGAGTTGATCAGGTTTCATGCTGTCTTCCTAACACTTTAGAGCCTGAAGCTGTTGGTCAGACACTCCTGTCAGGCCTTTTAGTGTTGGTTAAGGGACTGCTATTTGAGTATTTGAAATCTTGCGGGATATTAAAGGTCATATGCAAAATACGCTTTACCATGTTTAACACTGTGTCCATAGCCTGTCTTCCCCCCCCCCCAATATTCTTTTCAGTAATCTACAGAATACATTCAGTGTACCAATGTACACTCGTCAAATCTGCAAGATTAAGAAAATTGATTTGAACCACCAGTCCAAATGTGTACAGAAGCAATCTGAAACAACAGCATGGTTCACTGTAAATCTGACAAAACAAGCTCCTTAAAGACTGTTCAGTTGTCATCGTTTCAATGGATAAGTTAGCATAAGAGCTTTCTGTTGTATTCGGAACTAGAATTGAATAATGCCTTATGGGGCCGGTTGCACCAAATCTTCTTAACTAAGACTGGTCTTAACTCTTAAGTTGGTTGAACTTAAGCTTAGACTTAACGACGCCCTGTCTTAACAATGTGCATTTTTGTGAATAACCACAAATCTCACTTCCCAATGATTCGTTTAAGAAATTTCAGTTGATTGATGAAAACCTGCCTAATGTGCCAACACCATGGACAGCTTTAATGCTATAAGAAGCTGCAACGTTGGTGACGGTGCTGCGTTGCAGTCTAATACACTGCAAGATGAGGTGTGATGATGAGGCATACCATCATTATTGGTTTTAGAATGTTGTTACTATAGTGACGACCTAGCTTCCAACTTCCCGCCTCCTATCCAGGTGCAAGATTTATGACAGGTCTTAGCGAGAAGAAGGCACAAGCCCTGGTGTTGAAACCATCGTGTCTGTCTGGTCGGACTTAGAATGTCATGTTAAGAACGACTTGGCTTTAGACCAGGCATGATCCCTGTTGGTGTAACCGGCTCCTGGAATCCCTTCATAGCTACAGCCATATCAGATGGAAATCTATGTATTGATTGTATTTGGGTCCTGAATTTCTTTGCCAGTATCATGCTTGTAAAACAGCCAAGCACTAATTGTCATGTTTTATTCATCTCTTTGACCCAAGGTCCCTTAATTGAAGTCATCGCTTGAAGGATCACAGGATTCATGCAATGTAATCTAGAAGACTGCACAGCTGAGACGGGGTCGGTACAACTTGAGTAACACAAGTGCTATCACATCACGTCGAGACTATACCCTGTACCAGTGTTTTGACATGTACATGTACATGGAACTCAAACATGGTAGCAACTCAATGTCCTGAGAAGCTCAGGCTTGCACACACACCTTCTCAGTGGCAACCACACAATACGCAATGCCATCATAACTCTTATGGACTCCCTCGCCAACCTGAGTCACAGCCAATCATAAGCAGTGCAGGATTCCATTGTCGTGGACAACACGTGGTTTACGCCAATCAAAACTGGAGTGGTGATTTTGGACCTTGTAAAATCATTAAAACTGGACTGCAACTAAGACAACATTCAAATTGCGCTTGTCCATCCTTTCCAAGTCTTGCAGGAGACAGTCTTGAAATTGCAACACAGACATCTCCATTACAGGATATGTATTCTGTACCTGAGAAAAAGAGGACTTCTCACCCCATGTTGCAAGCCTCACTGAAAGGTAATCCTCCAGATTTAAGTCCATAACAACTCTCCTGTCTTCTTTGTCAGACCAACCTATTGTCCACCTTGAACTAAAAACAAGTGCTGCTTTTTCAGATGTAAGACACTGCAAGAGACTACAAGTAAAAGGGAGACTCGAATCTATAAAACATGGATGGGCTGGAATACAAAACATGAATCATTCAGAAGGAAGTCATTCAAGCTCCAATCAGAACCACCCATCTTCCTCCACTCAGGAATGGGAGGAAAGTGTGATAGCCATTGTTGACAAAATGGTTGCAAATATTCGGCGCCGAAATGTAGAACACACTTCCTCCAACTTTGCTGCTAACCAGTCAACTGCTGTGGCTACAAAGGCAGGTGAAGAGAACAGTTCAGAAGGCAGCAAGGCAAATTCTGAGCCAATACCAGAGTTGAAAGAGGCAGCTCATTCTGCTACATCTGCATTGGAGAAGGATTCCACAGGTACATTACTTTCTTCTATGCGTCACTTGAATCTGATTTGCAACCAGGAAAACGCTTGTATGTAACCATTCCTGATAAGGCTGATGGCAGACTTGTGTGTTTGGTCGATTGTGAATATAAACAATGTGTTCATACGAATGCAGAAAGTTTCCCCTGGAATATCGATAACATTCATCTCTTTACATCCACAGAGTATCCTAGGATTATGAGGAATGTTGCAGCCACTTGCAATAAGGGTGGAGATGAGACTATGACCACACCTCCAGATGTGCCCTTGGATGAACTGACTGAGGACCAGCTCAATTCATCACCTGACTCCAGTCCATCTCAAGAAGAAAATAAGCCTCTTCAGTTGGATATGAGGAAGACTGTGAATGATACCAATCAACTATCTGGGGTTTCTAGGCCTCTCAAAGGCATAGCCGAGGAGCATAAACTGGACGGAGGCATACAATCAGTGGAGGGATTGTGGTTTGGCAAAAAACATGGTGTGGTGCATGTCTCGGAGGAACTTCAAACAAAGTCTGTTTCTGAGGAGAAAACATTTCCACCTATGTCAAACATTGATAATGAAGATTCAATTAAAAATATTAATAGAGACCAACAGCAATGCAATATTTTTGATCAGGAACTTATTTCACATTCCAAGCCGAGTTCATCAATCGATAAAGTTCAGATTCATAATGACCCATCAGTTCCTACAAGTAAGCAGCTGGGGAAAAGAAGTTCTGAACCTTTTAGTTATGATGCATGTTCTGTGTTTTCACCACCTGAACTGAGTATTGCATTACCTGAAAACAAAGTCAAAGTACAGACGGGTCAATTGAAAGGCATTTGTGAGGAAGCATTGGTTGTGAGAACTGTACATGACCCAGCATACGAAGACATTTCAGATGAAAGTCAAATGAGTGAGGAAGCAATTGCCCAAGAAATTGCAAATAATCCAGAATATGAAGACATTTCAGATGATGGTCAAATAAAAGGCATGGGTGAGGAAGCAATTGCTTTAAACATTGTAGGTAGCCCTCGGTATGAAGACATCTCTGAAGATGACATGTCACAGCCAGCCACCAAACTCCCTCTTCCACACACTGAGGAGCCAAGTTTTTCAGCACCCCTTGAACAACTTCAACATACAAGAGAAGACGAAAATTCAAAAACTGGAAATGTGTCGACGCAAAGGCCGTCTCAAGTAACTAAACCAAATGATAAGCAATGCCTGAAAAGGGGAGTCTCTGCAGATGAGCAACGGAATGAGAAGAAGCCGGCTACTCCTAAGATTGAAACGTTTGATTTAAAACAACTAAACTGTCATTCACGTTTCGATGAATCTGATGATGAAAACCACTCATTTTTACGTAGCTTTGCTGATTTGAAATATGAAGTGATGGATGATCATACTGATGATGATGATGACTGGATAGTAATACCTTTAACAATCTCTGACCTGAGATTTGATCAAGAAACTGAAAATCAAGAAGGCTTAGGAATAGTTCAACTTGATAATGGTGAAGCTGACGCCACAGAAAAAAAAAAATTCAACACAAATTGCACTCCTTGGCAAGGCCCAGAACAAACTTTAGCTCCTTCCAACATAGAGGTATTTGAAACAGTTGATAGCTTTGAACAAGCCACAGAGGTACAAATACTAAATCGATTTGAGGTAGCATACTCGAGCTCTCCTGACCATGACGTTGATTACACAAAACAATTGCATGTACCTGAGAACAGTCGAGAACAGTTACCTGAGGATGAAGACAGTTGTGACACTGAAGACAGCTGTGATTACCCGTCTGAAGCAAAGCACAATCATTTGACTGTCTCCAGGAAGTTGTTGGAGCACAGTTCAGTACCTCCAACCCCAGCAGCAGATGGCCCTTCATCTAGAAATGAGGTAGAAGATAAGATCACATCTTTGAAAGATGGCCAAACCAAGAGCTTCTCCAATTTCAAAGAAAAAATTCAACAATTAATTGGAAAAAAGACTGGCTTTGGACAAAATAAGACCTGTGGACAAAATATTTCAGAAAAGACTGATGTATTACTCCTTGAACTTGACCCGGAGGGTGAAATTGGCCAAAGAAGGAGAAATAAGGCAAAAAGGAACAGGGCATTTCGTTCAGGCTCAGAAAACAGTGAAGATGCCTCATTAAATCAACACGGGAGAAATTCACCTATTACACACAGACCGACAGAAAAAACAACGACTTTAAACAATAGTCCAATAATTATTGATTCTGACCCAGAAGAAGGAGAGACGGAGAGAAGAAGGACGCTAATCAACAGCCCAATTATTGTTGTTACAGACTCGGAGGATGAAGGTGAAAAAAACTGCAAAAAGAAGGCAAAGAGATATTCCTCTTCTGGCTCAAAGGATAATGGTGATCTTGCATGTATCGACGAACCACCACCTCAGCGGAATGAAGCAATCCATGCTACATGCTCCAAAGCTGACTCTGAACCTGCTCGACATACGGCATACATGCAAAAGATTTCAAATACAGAAAGTCTTTCAGTCACACCTGTGCCTCCTGCAAACTCACAACACTTGTCTAACCTACCCGATACGGACAATAATGAAGTGATGCAGGATATGTGTTCTGACTTTACTCTCAGTGGGAGTGGACAGCTAAGTAAAGCTACAGAATGCTTTGAGAGTGTTAAACACAAGACCAACAGACAAACCGATTCAGAAGACACTGATGAAGTAAGAAAAAAACATCCACGTAAAAGAGCAGCAAATACAAAGACATTTCTCCCATCAATTTCAGAAGATTATGATGATGATCCCTCAATGGCCACAAATCACAGACCTTCACCTGAACCTATGAACCCCCTTTTTGTGGCCAACAAAAAGTCTGAAAAAGACAGACTGTCTTCTGAACACTCTGCAAAGAAACAGCTCCAGGACGGGAAAGCAGAAACCACTGAGCATTGTAATTCTGTAGTTTCTCGTCTTTTTTTTTCAAATGGTACTGAACACAATGGGCACTTGGAACTTAAGAGGAAAGCTGAAACTCAGACTCCGAAGAACCAAACATCATGCAGTAAAGTCCGCAAAAAGAATGAACAGCACTTGACCAGAAGTAAGGTTCAGGAGAAGGTAGCTAACCCCTCACTGGTTTCAAGACAATTTTCATTAACTAACCATGTAGGCCCATCAACCTCCAACAGCAGTTTGTCTTCCACAAGTGGACCACTAACTGATATAAGACGAAGTTCAGCCTCAACAAGCGGTTTGCCTTTGTCTGGTGTGTCCAGACATACATTGAACTCTGCTAATCTTCCTAGATCTGAGCAGAGCACATCTACACTCAGACATTTGACCTCATCCAGAGTCAAGCGGTCTCGCTCATTAAGCAGCTCTTCAACAGTAGATCCACCTGGCTCTCCCACAATAGCCCCATCATCTTCAGGGAGGAAAAAAGTTCTAGAAATATGGAGTCGTGAACACAGAGAAACCCAATTCAGAAAAAGGGGCTATGGAAAAGACGTTTTAAGAATCAGAAATGATTCATTGAGGGAAGGTAGATCAGGAAGTGATCAAAGTGAGTCAAGGAGAGAAGCCAGAACAGAACCTAGTCACAGTGGTTTGTCGAGGGAAGCTAGACCAGAATCCCGTCACGATAAGAAAGCCAGGCAGACGCACAGTTCTCCTCTGAATTTAGCCCCCACTGATGAAAAAATCCATAACTGACTACAAAGGGGTGCCAAAGGCCAGAAATCGGGAACCTGCAAGGGAACAACGTGCGTGTTTTTTAAAGTCTTAAATGTATTTATGTCTTAAATAAATTCATACTTTGTCTCTGTTCTGAATTAATGTTGCTAACCGTCATTCTTACCACAGGTTGCACTGTGGGTGAGAATTACAAGTGGTCAGACAAGAGAAAGCCAAACAAAGGTGACAGTTAGCATATTTCCTCGTTTATTTTACAACTGACCAAAGCATAATGCAGTTTAATGTTTTTTTTTTTTTTTCTTTCCAAAAAAAAAAAGTATAATTCCCTTTTCTCTTGCTCACTGCTTCCTGATTCTAGGTCCCAGCAGAGACGGGATGCAGTGATGATATCCTGCAGGACCTCATGAGAAAAGATTCTTGTGTCTCTTTCCTGACTTTGTTTTGTTCCCACAGGAACAGATGATTGATGGGCCAAAAAATCCAGTTACTGTTGTAACCAATTTGAATTTTTTCAGACTTTGTATATATTTCAATGACATACAGCGTTATGTATATAACAGAATATTTTGTATTTTAGCTGCTTGTGTGTATGTATATATTCATTTTGTAAATATGTCAGCTGTTTGTGGTTTTTTTTAATTGATTTGTTTGAGCATTTGTTTATCAGCTACCTCAATAGGCATCAACATAGAGCATAAAGCTCTTTCCTTATTTTGCTCTGAGTACGTTCTGGACATTAAACTGAAGTTCAGCTGTCTAATATCTTTATTTTTTATATCATTCTTTCCCTCTTTGTAAACTGTTAATGTACTGTAAATAATAACTGATTGCACCATTCCTACTTCCTTTTAAAATGTCAACGGTGAAATATAAGACGTGACTTAATCCATGTGTGTGACCTTGTTTGTGCATTACTGAATGTTGCCTAGGATTGCTTAATCATGAGTCCCAAGGGAGTTATGTAAGAGAGTTACTTTTGCCAAAACATTTTTTGACCTTTTTTGGTCATGAATCTGGACCACGGAGATCTTGTGAAGAAAAAGAAGAACAAGCCGGTCGAAACAAGAACAGCAGGATGCAGGCGGTCTCACTGAACTCCTGGTAGCTGAAGAAGTGATGATATAATGTCCCGTCTGGGATGAAAAAAAAAAAAGTTAATTATCTACTCATGGATCCAGCTGGTGGAGGGAAACTTTAAGTTTTATTGGTCACCCCAAAATAAAAATAAAACATTGCCTTGTCAGAGGTGGGACTCCCCCGAGCCCTCCCTCAGACCCATCCCCATTCAGATATGCTGTAGAAAGTTTACAGTAAGTTCTGACCAGTCTTTTCTTCGGTTTAGGAAGTCTGTTGGTTCTCTTTGAATCGTACTCTTGGGATTAACTTACCTTTACATACAGTTTACCTGAGTGAGTCAAACCCGAGAAAGAGGGGTAACTCCAGCCCATTCCAGAGGGAGAGGTCTGAGTCAGTTACTATGGTAACTGAGTCTGTGAACCTAACCTGGTCAGGAGCAGGGTTTTTTTTCAATGAACCCCGAGTTTCTCTCGGTCGCCTCCCTCTTTCAGATATCCTCATTCTTTCATTCAGTCCGCATCACACGCATGTTAGTAAAGATTCACCATTTGTCTGACTAAAAATACAGGTTGTTTTAATATGATAGCCTATGTTAGGTAGGCATTACTACAGCGTATATTGTATATTGTCACCCGTTGCTATGGTGAATCGTATAATCGGGGCTCCATTCATGTTGGCCTATCGTCGTGTCGCACGCGCTGAACACCGAGTGGACCTACTCAGTTTATTTAACTAATTCAAATTTGCTGATCTGGAACCCGAAAACTCAGAATTTTCCATCTGACAGTAAATCAACACAGAGCTCAGGGTTAGACTGAGGGTTTGTTGAACCTTCTTTCAGAAACAGGCCCCAGGTCTGAAGACACCGACAGCATCTGTCTGTTCCTCTCTATCTATCTCTATAAGCCCCTCGTGTGTATGTGTGTGTGTGTGTACACGCAGTTGGGGCGTCGCATTATATAACCCATGACTTTGAGTAAAGGAGAGATATGTAACACCTAGTGTTTATGAAATGAAAGAATGTATCACCAGACACGTCTGCCCAGGAGAGTCATGAAGCCAATAATGATCTCTCTTGAACATACAGAAACAGTTGTATTTATGGACAAACCCCACTGGAGAACTTGTGCTTCTCGTTATGGGGCTTCAAAAACATCATGTAACATCTCCATATTTGGCAATTCTCTTACACAAAGCCTTAAGGTAAACATTCAACTGGAGGGGCTCCTATACCGGTCTCATACAAATTATTTTCAGATGTCTGTGTTACACAACATTAAAAGAGCAGTATATGACCTCTGTCCTAGATTTTTCAGACACCTCAGGTACAATCACATATATCTTAACCAGTTCTCTTGCCTGCTTCCATCACTGCAACACCTGTTGGTTTGACCTGATAACTGCTCTCATATCTGGCTAACCGAGGGGCGTCCAAAACGGCCGTGTGGGGTTGCCTTTAAACCGCCTACCTTCTCCCTTCTCTGGTCCAAACAAATCCAGAGCATTCAGGAGCAGAATCTAAAGTTAGAAGTAGCACATACTGGCTGCTGCATTGTTGTCAGAGAAGCCAGCACTTCAACATCGCATGTTTCCTTGATGTCTGATCATATAGTTGTTGTGGAGCAAAAGCTCCTAAACAATCAAACGCATAGCTTATGATTGGAGGATCTGTTTTATTTCAATTAGAGCAGTTCTTATATACCATCTTTGACATCCTTTTTTGGGCAATTAGATCATTGAACACTTACATACAGTGGGTACGGAAAGTATTCAGACCCCTTTACATTTTTCACTCTTTGTTTCATTGCAGCCATTTGCTAAAATCAAAAAAGTTCATTTTATTTCTCATTAATGTACACTCAGCACCCCATCTTGACAGAAAAAAAAACAGAAATGTAGACATTTTTGCAAATTTATTAAAAAAGAAAAACTGAAATATCACATGGTCATAAGTATTCAGACCCTTTGCTGTGACACTCATATTTAACACACATGCTGTCCATTTCTTCTGATCCTCCTTGAGATGGTTCTGCTCCTTCATTGGAGTCCAGCTGTGTTTAATTAAACTGACTGGACTTGATTAGGAAAGGCACACACCTGTCTATATAAGACCTTACAGCTCACAGTGCATGTCAGAGCAAATGAGAATCATGAGGTCGAAGGAACTGCCCAAGGAGCTCAGAGACAGAATTGTGGCAAGGCACAGCTCTGGCCAAGGTTACACAATCATTTCTGCAGTACTCAAGGTTCCTAAGAGCACAGTGGCCTCCATAATCCTTAAATGGAAGAAGTTTGGGACGACCAGACCTCTTCCTAGACCTGGCCGTTCAGCCAAACTGAGCAATCGAGATGCAGTAGGGAGATGGGAGAAAGTTCCACAAAGTCAACTATTACTGCAGCCCTCCACCAGTCGGGGCTTTATGGCAGAGTGGCCCGACGGAAGCCTCTCCTCAGTGCAAGACATATGAAAGCCCGCATAGAGTTTGCCAAAAAACACATGAAGGACTCCCAGACTATGAGAAAGAAGATTCTCTGGTCTGATGAGACCAAGATTGAACTTTTTGGCTTTAATTCTAAGCGGTATGTGTGGAGAAAACCAGACACTGCTCATCACCTGCCCAATACAATCCCAACAGTGAAACATGGTGGTGGCAGCATCATGCTATGGGGGTGTTTTTCAGCTGCAGGGACAGGACGACTGGTTGCAATTGAAGGAAAGATGAATGTGGCCAAGTACAGAGATATCCTGGAAGAAAACCTCTTCCAGAGTGCTCAGGACCTCAGACTGGGCCGAAGGTTCACCTTCCAACAAGACAATGACCCTAAGCACACAGCTAAAATAACAAAGGAGTGGCTTCGGAACAACTCTGTGACCATTCTTGACTGGCCCAGCCAGAGCCCTGACCTAAACCCAATTGAACATCTCTGGAGAGACCTGAAAATGGCTGTCCACCAACGTTCATCATCCAACCTAACAGAACTGGAGAGGATCTGCAAGGAAGAATGGCAGAGGATCCCCAAATCCAGGTGTGAAAAACTTGTTGCATCATTCCCAAGAAGACTCATGGCTGTACTAGCTCAAAAGGGTGCTTCTACTCAATACTGAGCAAAGGGTCTGAATACTTATGACCATGTGATATTTCAGTTTTTCTTTTTTAATAAATTTGCAAAACTTTCTACGTTTCTGTTTTTTTTCTGTCAAGATGGGGTGCTGAGTGTACATTAATGAGAAATAATAATTTTAGCAAATGGCTGCAATGAAACAAAGAGTGAAAAATGTAAAGGGGTCTGAATACTTTCCGTACCCACTGTATCTGACAACTTGGCCATTGTGTAGTTCCTAGAATGTCTTGTTTTTACAGGATTGACACAGGCTGGGCGTGGGTATGCATCTTGGGACAGATGTGTGTGTGTGTGTGTGTGTGTGTTTGTGTACATGCCAAATCAAGTTCCCGTTAGGTGACCGAATAAGGTCAGTTAAACACTGCAAAACTCCAACATAGTAAGATCACTTTATCATTTCAGTCACTACATATCTCGCTGATTGCTAATGTTTGAAAATATGAAATGGACGTCTGAATGTATTAAATAAAAGTTTGAACACATGAATGAAAGTCTGAATTTCTGTTAAAGCAATTTGAATGTGTGAAGTGCAAGTTTGAATCTTCATTAAAGGTTTGGATGTACTTGATTAAAATGTTAATAATTCAATACTTCTGATAACTATAAAGTGTGTTTATGTTATCGTGTTTGAATATATAAAGAATGAAGATTGAATGAAATAAAATGAACTGGATAAAATCGTTTCTCATCAAGGCAACGGCGCCATCTTGTGTTTGTAATGTGTATCTCGTGGTAGTGGTATGTCATCAGGTCATACTGTATGTAACTATCAACAAAAACAATGAAACTATACTTTTTTAAAGATTTATGTTTCTGCTTTTTTTGACTTTGGAAAGGAGCCACAGGTAGAATTTGAGCCTGGGGCGCACGCACTAACTACTACGCCACCAGAACCCCAAAACTATACTATTATACTTTGATAAAATATGTCCACACATTCATATAGACAGAAAGAGAGAAAGAAAGTGTAATCATGTTTGGTCAGATCACCTCATGTGAATCCTTGTTTGCTCTCAAAGAGGGATGGTCAGCTACCCTTGGCCCTTGAGGTAAACTGTACTGCAGGACTCCAGGTCATGTCAGTTTGACCCAGCTGACATGTAAACACAGACAAGGTGATGTGACTTTTATTTAGCAATGCAGCTCAGTTTGGCCTTTGAATGAAATCCCCTGATGCGTGATGATCTGAAGGTTGTCCAGAATGAAGCCAGACAAATTAAAAGAAATAAGACATTTTATTGAGAGGAAAACCAGTGTTGTCATCCCAAAATAATAATAATAAGATTAATGACCCGAACCCTTATGAAACAGAAGAAATTTACTCAATATCACAGGGAAACAGAATAACTGTATGGATGTTTGACTTCATGCACAAATATTTTGTCCTCTTCTGTACTGGTAAATGTAAAGGGAATCAAATGTACCTCAAGGTGCAGTGTTGATTCTGAACACTAGATGGGGGTCTAAGTCCAAAACCAGGATGAAGTCAGCAGCAGCTCTGTTAACATCCGACATCATTCAGGGGCCTTTATTGCGATAGAAGAATGTATTTATACCCCGTTGTCTGTCTTTTATTAAATGTTCGACTTGTTTATTGAATCTAATGATGACAATTCTGCATTTTTCTTTTAAGGGGGACATATTATGAAGAATCCACTTTGACAGTGTTTTTGAACATATATTTGGGTAACCTGAGTGTCTACTGATCCACAAAATGTGAAATAAACCCATCCAGTCCTTTGTTTGTGGTCTGCATAAGTTTTAAAACAAATAGATAAATGCTCCGTTTGAAATTTGCTCTCCTTGTGATGTCACAGTGGGATTCTGATTTAAAAAAAAAAATACCCTCCCCTCCCCTGGTATCTCCACCCATAGACTCCACCCCCAGCCTAGAACAAAACTTTAGTGCAGATCCGCCATTTTTATTCTCCCAACAGAGGAGCGATGTCTACCTGGAAAACTCACGGGGGCTCATTGCATTTAAAGAGACACACACACCAAAACGGAGCATTCTGAGAGAGCTGGTTTATACAGGGTCACAAACCTCCTCTGGTGCTTGATTCATGTTATTGAGCAAAGCACGGCACAGATGTTTCATTTAGACCACAGGGGACTGTTTGAAAAGGTGGAGAAGGGGGATGATACATCCTCTTTAACTTGAACAAAAATAAGAAACTGCTCTGACCCCAGCGACATGAAACAACACACCAACAAGAGAACTCATGTTTTCTATTTATTTTCCACAAAATGAGTTCAATTTACAAAATCTCGGGCAAACCGCTGAAATTAGCTCGTTATCATAAAATAACTGAGTACAATGAAATGTTTTGATCCATGTCCTCTCAGGGCTGAGTCTCAGAGATCTGACATGTTGAAAGCAGAAAACTAAAGACGATGGAAGATGATTCTGAGAATTAAAATATGAATCCGAGAATTAGAAAGAAATCTGATTCAGCACATGTACGCATACTTCTGATTCAGGGACTGACATTTTTATTCTATGAATCTGCTTTAAAGTTTTATTATTTTGTAAAAAGGTCAGAAATTGTAGATTAAAGTCAAGGCTCAATTTAATTGTTCTCAGGTGGCCTTAATCTTCTTTGAAATTATTATGTAACCAATAAAAAAAGAAAAGTATTGTTGTAAGTAAATAATCCGTCAGTAGGTGTCAGTAAACACACTGTGGATATCTGACTGGAGGAGCAGATTTGAATATCCCGCCCTTCCAGGAGAAGAGGCGGAGATCCCTCTCTCTCTCTCCCCGCAGCAGGCAGCAGTGTGTCGGGAAGCTCCGTGCACTCGGTCCGCAGAAAGCGAATAACACCCGAAAGGAACTCCAGTGCGCTATCAGGACGCTTTTATTAACACTCGGGAACCGATACAGAAGAGTTTTTTTTTTAACCGAGTCGAGCGTTATATCCACATTCCCTTTGTTCCTTGGAGATGTGTCTCCTGGAGGTCTGAGCAGCGAGCAGAGCTGCACACTGAAGCCGGGATGAGTGGGAGCTCCGCGGGGTCCGGCGCGGCGCCCTGCCGCCTGGTTCACTACTTTGTTATTTGTGGGATAGACACAGAAACTGGACTGGAGCCGGACGAGTTAGCAGGTAGGAGCTTTGTCTGCTTTTTTCTGCTTTGTTGGGAATATGAATGTGAACTTCAGGAGAAAAAGAACAACAGCTGAACACATTTGAGACATATTATCCGGATTATCCCTCCACAAGTTGGCCTTTCAATCAATCCATCCGTTTTTACAGAGAAAAGTTAGGCCACCTGAGAGCATGTTATATGAAGAGCATGTGTAGATTATAATCAGAAACACAACTTTAATCCACTATGAGCAAAAGCCTGTAAACAAGGGGCATGAACAACTTTATTTGAACAGGCAGAAACCCCGAGCAGGACCAGACTTATTTGTGGACCTCATCCATCTGTCGCCTCGTATTAGCTGAAGCTTAACGTGTCTGGATTTGCTGCAGGTTTCATAACTCACATCATTTGCGCTCTTGCAGGTAGGGATGTTCAAATGAATCGTTTCTACGATGCATCGCGATGCGGACGATTCTACATCCATGCGATTGTTTTGACGCTGATTTCTAAATCACTTTGTAAATAATCAAAAGGGAGGTAATAATTATCTGACCGCTTGACTTGATTGATGAAAAAATAGACATGTGCAGTAGCCTCATATTCGAAAATTGAGCATGCAACACATCGCAATGCGTCATGAGTCTGTTGTGGCCCCTCCAATCAGCGTTCATCCCCATTATGTTAAAAATAATCTGACACAAACACATTTTTTTGTGTGGAAGTTATGCATTAAAGTGTCTGTCGTCCAATTTGAGGGCTAGACAAGCATCATTCAGTGTTTTTCTATGAGTCAGTACTGTAAGATGGGGCCCCCCTGAGGAAGGTTTCCGACTGTATATTTTGAGCCTCTGTTTATCAACTTAAGTTTATCAGCCCTTGGGCCCGGGGTCCCAAGCAGTTGCCTGCCTTGCATGTTGACAACCAGCACCTCTGATTCTAGGAATTGTAATCAAATTGAATCATAAGACCAGGGAAGGTGCACAGCCTTAAGACCTGCAGTGTGGTTCCCCTCGTCAGCCTCAGCGTCTCAAACTCGCGCACTGGCGTCATTTGAGGCTTTCAAGAATTACCAGAGAAAGTCGGATATCGTTTCTGATTTATAATCTGATTTAAACTTCCTGTGATGTGCTTTACCGCTCTCAACCTGTAAAAGTAAAACTTCAGTCAGGGACCAGAAGTTTTCCATCAGCGCTTTCTAGGTCAGAGAAAACTGTGACAACATGAGAAGCTTCAACAAACTTATAAGAGCCATTGAATCTCAGAATCGTTGGACGATCGATGGATCATCACGGGGATTATTCAAGTAAAAATGTCAGACATATCTCGCGAGGATCTGCTGCTTTCTGTCTTTTTTTTCTGACTCATATCTGTTATGGAAGTGGTGCATGTACAGCTGTGGTGTTGCAGAAGGCAGACACGCTCATTTCTTGGCTCAGTTTCTGCACAATAACAGGCCTTTGATTTCGTCACAGAGGGGAGGTATCGACCTCCTCCTGAGTCGCTGAGGTGTTGCATCACTGCTTCTGTCTGTGCCAAAGTTCAGAAAAGCAAAGTCTACAATCTGAGCAGGGATTGAACTTTTATCCTGATTGTTAGTATTAGGAAAAAATGTACTTTTTTTAACCTTAGTTTACTTTACTGTGGTGCGAGGCGTTTTTCAAGTCTCTGGTTGTTTTGTTGATTTGGAAGGTCTGCATGTGTTTTTGTCTGTGTGGGCTGTAGCAAGTCCTGAAGGTGACACTGATAATCTCCCACCATCCTGAGTCCATATGCCCCTCAGTCTGCTCTGCTTGCATCTTTCACCTTTACTCGCTGAGCATCTGGTGTGTTTGCGACTCTGCATGTGTTTTGTGTGCGGGTTAACTAAGGGACAAGTCACCAGTCACTCCAGGGGTGATCTCTCTCGAAACAGAAATCTGCATATGAAGCAGAATCTTACTGACTGGTTCCATACAAAGCATTCACTGAGGAAACGTTGAGACATTGAACTTTGTTTAAAAATATTGTTTTGTCTTTTTTTTTTTTTTAACGTTTTTTTTTGGGGGCTTTTAATGCCTTTATCTGAGAGCGGATAGATGAGGAAAAGGAGCTGCGGGTCAGAGCTAAACCCGGGCCACCCGCTTCGAGGACTAGAGCCTCTATACATGTGACGCAAACTCACCACTAGACCCCCACCGCGCCATACCACCGATGCCCACAGAGTTTAAATATGTGGTATCGAGTCAATCCTGTGTCCTCCCTCCCCCCCCCCCCCAGCGCCGCCGCCCACTTCGTCTTCAGCGTCTCCGTCAGCTTTCCTCCACACTTCACCGGAGATCATTTACAATTCTGATCAGTCCTGTTGCTGTGCCCCCCCCCCCCCCCCCCAGCGATGATTCACATCAACATGTTGCCGTGGGTGATCCATAAACCTCTTTTTCTTTTATGTGCACCCCCACATTTTCTTGCACCCTAATTTGAAGGCAGACATAATTGCAGTGACCCACATTTATCGCTGTCTTTGCCTCTGCTTATTTTAGGATGCACCCCACCCCCCCCATCCTCCCTCCTCCCTGCTCTTTGTGTGGCAGTGTGGCCTTATTTCCCTCAGCCCATTGTTGCAGTCAGAGGGCCAGACTTCCTGTAGACCTGCCTCAGGCTCCTTCATGGTTTACAGTACTACGTGGTTTTCTGCTCTCTGCAGACAGTATCTGAACATTTTCAACTCCTTGCCTCACCGAGATCCACAGCTCTGTGCTTGGATACTAATTATCTGGTTTAATTCCTCCCATAAGTAACGTCTCTGTCGAGCCAGACGCTCGCCACATACCATGCCATCGAAGCCTCGGCGGTATAAATAGTCCCCGGCTGGCACACCAAGCCTGAAATAGTCCCTTACACCAGAGGCAGCGAGGCTGGGCAGCATTGTTGAGATGAAAGGTGAGAGGAGCTCATTTGAAGAGGGGGATGTTTGGCGTTCCAGTTGTAGATGGTTATAGATGAGGTCAGCGCTCGAGAGTGGGAGACGTGAGGCCTCGGCCATTCAGGACAGGGACGTCTGTGGAGCTGCTGGAGGGTTGTTTACATATCAGATACAAGATGACCTCACTTCAGAGCGGCAGAGATTCATCTGCTTTTTCTAATTTCATAGACATGAGGGATGTGCCCACATATCGACTGTGTTGACCATCCAATAATGTTGAATGAACTGATATCAGTTGTAGGGATACTTGTTGTTGACGTTATTACTCAAGTCACATTTCAGTAATCTGGCACCTGTTGCCATAGGCTACAACAGTTCAACTTAGGCCACATGCTCACCTAGTTTTTTGGGGGGGGGGCCAAAAGAAAAGCGCTGGCTGTGCGCTCGGGAATGTTTGCATGAAGCGTTTGTGCGCTGAGAGGAAAAGCGCTGCACGTCCGTCCTGTCTCCATGACAACAGTCTGTTGACAACGGCCGCTGTATGACCGACACTGATCGTTTATTTCCCGATCAGACACGGAGCGAGGAGGATGTGGGAACAAGGCACGATCTGTAGGCGGCAAAACTACGGGGAGTATTATGCATTTGGAAAAGAGGGCCTGTGATGTGAACGGCGCCTTTCTGAAAAAGTTGAAAGATTTTTTTAACTTGAGCGCTCGGAGCGGCCGCACAAAAAAGGCAGAGCGCTCTCAGAAAAGAAGCTTGGCGCTGCGCTTTTTCTCCGGGCGGCCGCTTTCTGCTGAGAACGCAGCAATGTGGCGTGGAACCTGCATTTCAGCTTGAAGTTTAACCCCGTGAATGCGCTTAAGTACCAGGAGAAACCAGCAGAGACGGACAACATGCCGCCTCACGTTACATCGTTGCTAACCCTGCTAGCACAAAGCGCTGGGATTACTATAACCACTGATGTTTATCTGTTGAGTCCCATCAATTTAATGCTGCTTAATTACTGATTCAGAGAAGATTTTGGGCAGAGGAAGTCACCTGTTGGACAAACTGTGATCGGTTTTCCTGGTCAAACATGAGAGAAAATGTTGCCATTTTGGAGATTTACACCGAAAGAAATGATGATAATACCTTCGGTATCAGTAGTGTTCCAGTCGGTCAGGAGTCCTCTTTCATGTGTTTCCCCTCCCCTCCTCACACCTGAGTGTCACCCGCTGCTCTCCCATGCTGAATTAGACGAGCTGCTGTCAGGGTTTTTATATCCCACGTTAGAGACAATGACCTTAAGGACTTATTAGCACCTCAGGGTGAGTCGCTCTGGTTGGCTAAAACTCAGATTTACAGCCGACTCTGGTTCCCCGCCAGGTGCCAATAAGTTCATTTAGATGAAGGAAGGTTTCCTGTCTTTTCTTCCAAGTTTTAACATGTTGACGTCAAAGAGACAAATTGAAACAAGGAGACATCAGAGAGGATAACTCAAACCCTGACAAGAAGCTGCACTCTGATTTTACAGCTTGAAGTTGGTATGTTGGATGATAGTGACATGACTGATTCTGTCTGTAAATACAGAAGCGTATTTTGTAAAGATTAGAAATGTTCTTTTTTAATTTAATTTTGTATTTATGGTGACTCTCGTCGGCTGTTTGACTCTCCTCTTTGAGAGCTCGGAGCTGCAGTCTTGCCGTGTTTCTGTTTGTTAATATTCCGTTTTTTAACGGCTCCCTTTTCTGCTGTTGGGATCTGGGCGGTTGGCATCTGCAGATTTCAATCATGACGGGGGTCCAGAGGTGAGAGGGGTGTGAGGTGTGTGAGCATCCTGCCGCGGGACAACAAAAGAGATTTGAGCAGCTAAAGCTCCTCTCTGTCCCCGACCATCTGTCCACACAGAGACTGTTAGCACAAAGGCTGCACGCTAACACTGCTGCCCTCTGACGTATGATAATGATGACAGAGGCTAACAACACGGACGCAGGACCCTGCTGATGTATGCTAACGATGGAGTGCATGTATAACAGGAAGATAATTGTGTATGGCAGTTACAATGCAAATTCAACAGTTTCACATGGCAGGAAACGTCTTCTCCTGTAGAGCTCAACAGTGTGGTTCATC